GCATCAGCATGTTCTTCAGATAGAGAACTCATCATCTTCCTTCTCTTCTGAGCTGTTGTTCATCACCATCTTCATATACTCAATTCACCTATCTATGTCTTCTGACGCGGCCACTTTTTCCTTGTCCTAAGCTAAGACAATCGATGCTCGCTGTGGACGCATTGTAGAGCAGGCATCTACGTGCAACTAGCCCACAGCCACTCGTTCCGCGGCGCTCCCTTTCCCTCTCTTCCACCTCATCCACAGAACATTCAGCAACCAACGGCGTCTGTACTGGTAGACTTTCGTGTCAGAAGGTCTGTTGGTAATACTCTACGCTAGAAAGCTGTTCAAGTGGCAAGTGCTTCTTAAAGGCGTCGACGTTATTCTATGATACTCAATCCTGGTCACTCGCAGACAATAGGACTAGAGTCCACTGGTGCATATCTGCGGCGAATAACCACAAGCGAATTCCTTGTAATGGTCCACTGTGATAGCCCGTGGAGCTGCATACCCATATGCCGTTGGGCAATCTGTTTACGAGGAAGTCGGAATAGTTACACTCATACGAGGTGAGCTTTTGCAGTTGCGGTGGACTGATCGTGCAAGTCTCGGGCCGTACTCCTAGCCGCAAAAGCTAAGGTGTTATCGAGAATGTTTTCATCAAAGACTGCAAAGCTCTCCAGGAATTCCATCAGCTCCTGCGGCTCGGAATCCGCCGTTCCTTGTTCCCGATGACCAGGCTCTCCCCTGCATAAGATTTGTCGCATCCTACATTTCTTCATCGTCATGAAGCTCGAAACTCTGGTCTCAATCAACACACGCTTTCCTACGTAAGATTGCAAGCGCCAAGGGCCCCAGTATATATCTACATGCCAGGGTGCCGACAACCACGTGGGCGATCTACGTCTCGTAGCGTCCGCGGCCTTGTCACTTGCCTCCCAAGGACGCAGCCTACAGCTGGCCATAGGGCACCACACAAGAGCCAGGTCGAATACATTCTCTAGAAGAGTACTCGCGAATCTCCAGCCAAAAGAGGCAGTTAGTGCCGAAAGGAGTCCGGCGAACGCATTTAGCGAATCAGATGGGAAGGACAGGTCTCTGCGAGACACTTGACAAAGTCAATAGCATTGTCGATAAGCTGCGGGAGCTGCCCACGAATTCTTGATAGGGCATTGGAGTATTGAATCTCACCTCCAAATTCTGTTTGACAGTGCGGAAATGCTTCACGCCGCCCCAGACGGAACTCGGAGCCAGGTATCGACAGTCCCGGCTCATTCGAACTAAGCTCATGCGTTCGACGTCGATCAGTATTAGATGCTGAGAACCTTTGCTCTTTCTCTTCGAATTGCGCTTTTCTCCATGATCGGATTGACAAATTGCGATCCATCCCTTGGTCTGTGCGTAGTAGGTTTCGCACCACCCCCCCACCCCCAGAGGAAGCGCACAAGTTCCACCCTGATGGAGTGGCCACGCAACGCTCGGTTCCGCGTAGAGGAGGGTAAGTATCTAGCCAAGTACAGAATAAGTTCCAGAATTCCAATAGTCTCTAGAATGCACACTAAGAGTTCGAATTACAAAATTGCGTAGCGCGCAGCAAGCGTTCCTGTGGATGCGCTGGCATAGCCCGAGCTCCCGCGGACTAGGGTGATCATCATTGTGGAGATATTTCGCAATGTCGATGACACGGCAGCGGGGCCGGTGGTATTCCAGAGAACCAGCTTGTGACAGGAATATGATGCTTCTCAGAAAGAATAGTGGCGCTGCGCGATCACAGACTTGCGACACGTGATATAGGGTAAGCAAATGCGTAAACAAACCCTTGCGGGGGTCCCGCGGATGAACTATTGAACGAGGTGCTTGCCTCGAACGCGACTATTTGAGCATGATCCTCCCACCAACTCCCAAAGAACGGCTCTACGCGGTCGAGGGACCGGGACCGCCAGGCGCCCTCATCGGTACCATTGCACAATGTCCGAGAAGGGGCCGCAGCTTGCATTGTGGTGGTTGTCCTGTGGAGGTACTTTCCGACAATGTTTTATTGGACAGACAAGCATCCTCATTGGGTTTGCTCATTAAGTTCGCTAGTGCTCGGGATCAACGTGCGGTCGGTCAAGGCACCAGGAATGGAGTCAGTGGACCCAGACCCGGTTAAGCTCCGCCTAGCCGAGTCGCCGACCCTGAGCAAGGTTTGTGGGGTAGCGGGCTAGAGGGAGAATGCAACCCTCAAGTAGCCAAGATGGTAGATCCGCGTACTGCCGCATCGTATCGCCTCAGGGCTGAAACAGTGACTTCGGAGCCTCTTGGACGATGGCCGTCCCTGGGCAACATTACAGCTCGAGAGTACTGGACCTACGGCATCGCCACCATAGGTGTTCGGGTTCGACCTCGACGCTTCGCCAGCACATGATATGTGAGGCGTATCAACAGGAGGCTCATGTACCTTGCTCGCAGTGAAGAGAGTGGGGTCGGCCACACAACTTCCGGGAGTGTAGATCTCGTTCACGGGTGTCTAGACCACACGTGACGTACAGGTGGCTTATGTGCGCCCTATATGGAGCCTCCTACCAGGTGCCAATAGTTCGGATAGTCAAAACTGCCCGCAGTCGGGAAGATGGAGGTTTCTTTCCGCGCCTCGCGATGGCTCGGCATCATCGAGTAAAGGCAGACGTCAATATGGCACACCCAATGATGGCCTACCAGACATTTGGCACGCATAGACACGCAGTTAGGCCAGGCAAATGCCGCGCATGATGCCCCTGGCCGAGGGCCCTACCGGCGGTCAGGACAACAAGATTTCCCAGTCCGCATTTCAGTGACGTTGAATCCCCCCATGCCTGCAGGGTCACGTCGCTCGGCAGCAGCAAGTCAGTATGCCTTGCAGAGGTCCGTGGCGGGAAGATGATGTAAGAACCGCTGCTGTCGAGAGAATGACAGTCTGCGGAGCTGAGCAGCGCAGCATGACACGAGAAGCTTGAGGCGTGAGCGGACTGTCCAGAACGTCGTTGGACACAGCGAGACGCAGCTGCGCTAGCGGTGATGGGGTCAATCTCTGCTAAGGCGCTGAGGGACCAGCCGCCTTCTATGAATCCTCGCGGCCGCGGCTGGAGGCTATCGAAAGCATCTCGTCGCTCCGACTGCAGTTGGATGCATGCTAAATTCAGCTTGATTACCCCCTTTGATCCTGTTAGAGGCGGCTGAAGAACATGCACGGCAGCCTCCCCTCGCTAATGAAGGGTGCCACTGGCCTTGCATACTGCGACAAGAAGCAATGGTGGGAAAGGTTCTCGCCATTATGCTTCAATAGTGACATTAAATAGACTCTAAGTAGTCTTTAGATCGTGCCAGAGGGCACAATGGTTCGTGGACATCTCGTATTCGAAAAGAAGAGAGCGGGGGGAGGATCATTTCTGGTGAGTCCGAACCACGCATCGAGGAGTCTGGCATACCCAAGGCCATCGAACACCTCACGGAGACAACCAATGGGCGACCAGCACGTTGCCTTCTCTTCTCCGACTATTTATACGTCGAGGAGCCCCCAGCTTGTCTTGCTGTATTCATCCCAGCACTCAACAGGCTTCATCTGACCACAGACACTTTCGCCAAATCAACGTATCCAATACATCATGTACCTGGGAAACATTTTCCTCTCTTTCTTGGCCCTTGGTGGCCTTGCTGCCGGTATCCCAAGCCCCAGTGGCAACAACGTCCACGATATTGAAGACAGGGACATCGATGATGGCCTACACGGCATCGACCCCCGCGCAGCCGACCTGGACAAGCGCACCTACAGGTCATGCTGCCCCCGCGACACCTATCTGGACGACAAGTACAGTTGTGTCTGCAAGGACAAGAACAAGATCTTTGACTCCAAGACGGGCACCTGCGCCTGTCCCGAGGGACAGAAGTGGGATGGCCGTCAGTGCCGAGCAGATTGTGGCTGGGAAGCCTACTACGATAACGGCCAGAAGGCCTGCGTGTGCAAGAAACAGGGCCAGGTGTACAACCCGGACGGAATGACCTGCGCCTGCCCCGACGGCAAGACGTGGAAGAACCACCAGTGCCAGTACGACTGCGGCAAGGAGGCCGAGTATAACGAGCACGAGAATGTCTGCAAGTGCAAGAAGCAGGGCCAGGTCTTTGACCCTGCCACCAAGGTCTGCGCCTGTCCTGACGGACAGAGGTGGGATGGCCATCAGTGCCGAGCCGGATGTGGCAAGGATGCCTACTACGATAACGGCCAGAAGGCCTGCGTGTGCAAGAAGCAGGGCCAGGTGTACAACCCGGACGGCATGACTTGCGCCTGCCCCGACGGCAAGATGTGGAAGAACCACCAGTGCCAGTACGAGTGCGGCAAGGATGCTTTCTACGACGAGGAGCAGAAGGCCTGCATGTGCAACAAGGAGGGCCAGGTCTACGATACCACCGGCAAGAGTTGCGCCTGCCCCGACGGCAAAATGTGGAACGGCCACGAGTGCTACGTCGACTGCGGCAGGGGTGCCAAGTATAATGAGCATGAGGACGTCTGCGAGTGCAGGAAGCAGGGCCAGGTCTACGACCCTGCCAACAAGGGCTGCGCCTGCCCCGACGGCAAGATGTGGGATGGACGCAAATGCGGGAATGGGCGTTCCTAGTGAGGGGAGCGCGCCCGGTTCACCATGGCAGGATGCTAGTCCTGCCACGGATGGGACGGCCGGTATTTGGGTGGGCGGAAGCGAATGAGGAGATTGGTGAGGATTTGATACGGAGGAGATGTGTGGCACTGTTAGGGTTGGTATACGTATCGTGTTTTCCCGTGGTCTCACTTGAGGCGCGCATCTCCTTGCCAGTCCAGTTTCCAGTTTGGCTCTTATCCTCGCTCGACCAATGTTGCAGATTGGGTGTTTGCGGAGCCTGTCACTACAGTAGCTGAGGGAAAGCTTGCACCACAGATGTAGGGCACCTCGAGTAATTAATCAATCGTCTGTTACCATCGTCTGCATGGATATACAAATTGGGCACGTCGTGAACAGGCTGCCCCTACACTCTTGCTCCCCGGACTGAGGACATGAGAGGCCTGCTATAGATCAGCAAATCTCTTGCCTCAGACGCTTGGAGCCTCCATGGTCCGGCCAAAAGGGTAGCTTGAGTAAGGATCATCCCGAATAAAGTCTTCATAACGCCAGAGGTACTGCCGTTCCACGGGAAATGACATGTGGACCTGTGATCTAGAAATGACCATGCCGCCATCTCTTGCCGTGTCAATACAGATAAGATTTCAGATCACTGAGAAGGCGAGCTTTAAAAGTGAGATGAAAACACAAACAGGCTAAAGAATTCCACATGTGCCTTGAATGTGGCTAATTGGCATATATACGCAACACTACCTAACTTTTGTAACCGTCTGCGTGGAGAGTGTGCGGTACTGGAGCATACCCTTCTGTGCTCGCTTGTATCACGGGGGCGTCTGAGCCACCCCAGCAGTCCATGCTCGCCTTGTCCATATCCCAGCGCATCGTCAGCTGCTTCTCGTCGGGCGAACCCGCGTTCTGCGTGCAGCGGCTCGTCCGCGGCGCCAGGATCAGTTTGGTGACCTCGAAGAGGTTAGCGGGCCTCAAGGCGGGCCTACGCCCAAAGAAGAGCTTGATGGAAAATACGAGGGCTATAACGGTGGAGAGGGCCGGTAAGGCGAGCAGCACGAGGATCCACGCGTCCCCCTGCACGCCGAAGCTGTTGTAGTACGAGATGGCGTCGACCTGTGCCGCCATGGGCATGGTGTCGGTCTGTCCCGTGGGCGACACCATGCCTGCCGAGAGCAGTCCCCGGACGACATAGGTCAGGACGTCCTCGGTCTCGTACGCCCCGTATAGGGTGGACGTGAGCCGGCTCTTGAGCAGCCAGCCCATGCTCTGGCCATTCTGCTCCGGCGGCACGAGCAGCGCCGCGATGTGCTCTGCGAGGACCATACCGGCGCTCGTGGCGTTGTTGTGAGGGAGGAGCGTGTTGGGGTCCGCGTCCGAGCCGCTGCAGAGTCCCACGTCGTCGGCCTCGAACGGGGCGGTCAGCGCGACGTCCGCGTCGCCCACGCGCTGCCACGACACGGGCGAGAAGCGGAACGGGTCCTTCCTGACGAGACATCTCCCGGAGACGAGCCCCGACGCGCCAGAGCGGGGAAACGTCCCCAGCCCCTTGCTGCTCAGGGCGATCCAGTCGGTCACGTCAATGGACGCAAAGATGACGGCAAAGTCGCCCGAGTCGAGCTCTTGCGTGGCGACGTTGGCCAGCTCGTCGAGGGTCACAGAAGCACCCCCGCCGTAGCCGTCGAGGGCCGGGTCGTCTAGCTCAAAGGTGGCGCCGTCGCCGAATCTGCTCGCCTCGAAATTCGAGATGGCGCCGCTCTCGGTCGTGTACCACTGGCAGCTGATGGCGTCCTCCGCAAAGGTCTGGGCGCAGGTGGTCACCCTGTCGTCGTTGGATATGTCGCCGTAGAAGGGGGCGTAGCTGGCCACGTCGTAGGGGGCGCCAAAGGCCGTCTGGTGCTGGTAAATGAGGCCGCCCCGGTTGCCGTCCGAGAACTTGGCGGCGGGTCGCGCCAGCGAGTTGTAGATGACGTCGAGCCTATCAAACGACTCGACGGCGTCCAGCTTGGCGTGGTACGTCCGCAGATCCGAGACGGCCATCGAGTTGTAGAACCGGGACAGGGACGACGACGAATCCTCTCGGTAGTACGGCAGGACGTCGCCGTCCACGTTGCGCTGGTCGAGGTCGGCGCCCGTGACGTTGAGGCTGACCTTGTCGGAAGACACGGTGGTGTAGACGCCGAACTGGGTGCTCAGTATGGCGGCGCCAACAGCGGCGTTGATGAGCACTAGGGTGTACCGGTTAGGCAGGCCGAGCAGCGAGCCGGTGAGGGCAGACCAGCTGCGGTTGAGCTTGCCCGCCGGTAGGCCGGCTTGGAGGCGAAGGGCGAGGTCCATCTCGAGGACGCCTTTGGCGGTGTCTGCTAGCCCTAGCGTCAGAACCGAGGCCAGGACGGTGATGATGAACTTGAGGGCGCCGACGGTGAAGGCGCTCGGGGCGGACACAATGTGCTGGTTGAAGCCTTCGACAAGCAGGGGGCGGATGTGGAGGTACGCCAGAACGGCTGCGACAATGGCCCAGTAGACGGCTGCGTAGAGGCAGAAGAACAGCAGTCGGAGGCGGAGGCGACCTGGGCTCGTCCAGTCACGCCTCCTCGTGGACACTGGCCGTGCGTCGGCAGCGCCCAACTGCTGCATCATGGCCATCGTCGCGTGGGCCTTTCCGGTCGGTGCCACTCGTGGTGTTGGCGACCCGAGGTCAAGTCAAGTTACCTGGCAAACGTTGGGGGGCAGAGGGACTGGTCGGACCAGAAGCCACACTTGAGTCGTTGCACAGGCGATGCGCTAGTCTAGAAAGAAAAGTCTACGATGGGACGAGAGCGCGTGGGAGAGTGAGTATTTGAACTCCCTCCCGCACCGTGGACATAGCGGCTGAGTCCGCAGCTGAGTCGTGGGCTGCCACGCCAAGACCCGGGTGAGCCTCGCCGCAAATCGGATGGCCGCAGAAGGCGCAATCGTGGGCACGTGGAGCGAATAGTGCTGCGTTGGAGGGCGCCTCCATGCATGGTGGCCGAGGAGCCGCTCGACTACCTCTGATACCAAGAGGTCATCGGAGAGTCGAGAACAATAGCTACAGAAGTATTCCTGCGTCAGCGCTCTGACAGCACAGCCCTGCTCCGAGCAACCCAACTTGCCTCCGCTTGTGATGCAGGTTCGCCCGCGGCGTCGGGGGCCTTGGCGGGTGAGGTGAGCCTTGATCGCGTCTGATGTACCTGTTGGATAGCGTGTGGATAATGTGTGGCTGGTGTGGTGTGGATCTATGAGGGATTTTGTAAGGGGCTTACAGCTTGAGGGATTTTGTGGGACACTCGATCAGAAGATCAATCAATACAACACAATCTGGCCTTGTGATAATACCATCGTCTGCCGCGATGAAAACATGCCGCTCCCTTGGCCAAGGCTCGTCGTTCCCGCTGCCATCATCCACGTCGTGGCGCAAAACAAAACAAGAATGCGCCCAGGTACCTCAATCCAAGCCATTCAGACAACCAAGGTCTACTCGAGGCATCAGAAGGACCAAAAGTAGCTTGCAGGCCGCGACGGGCGATCCTGATGATTAGAGCTCCGTCGTTGATGCTTGTAAAACCTCACGCGCCCTGCTTGGCAGTACGTGCTGCCTGTCGTTTTCTGATGACATGGCAACGCACGCATGGATGCGAGGCGTAGCAGCCGTATTCAGAAACGTAGAGATGAGAGTCGCATCCATATTTACAGGACGACAAAGCTTATTAAATCGACATCTCGGTATTGCTATTGTACTCTTTCCTATAAATATTATTATCAATAATATAGAACTAGCGGTAGTCGTAGCTCGATTGCGACATAAAGCATAACGATTGCAAGCCAGTAGCTAACACCTAGTCGCAATCTGGTGTGTCCTTTCAAGAAGCCCCCTTCCGCTTCAGGAGACTATAGTAATGCTGCTGAATATCGATTGGGTCCGTAGGCTCGCGGTTTCCTTCAAAATTGCCTTGCCCGTGGCCATTGAAATGCACTTTCCAGGCTGCCGGGAATGGTTAGAATTTCTTGTACGAGGTGTGAAGGCAAGCTTACTGCTGGCATCAAAAGCAAGGTACGACCAACTATCGTTGAGATACGCTTTGCCTGTGGGAAGATTGATCGTCTTCACCTGGCCCATCTGGCCGGGAGCAGGGCGCAGGTGCTTGAGGTCGGCCACAAGCTGGACCAGGCCAGTGACAAAAGCGTCCGACACCTCTTTGCCAAGACAGCCGTGCTGGCCATAGCCATACGCTCGGATACCATCTGATCCACGTTTCGGGTTGAACTTGGCGTGATCGGGAACCTCTTTAGGATCGCGCCCGGCTTCTCCCTACGCCACAATCAGCTGACATGGAACCTTTAGACAAGTGAGCTGGGGCGAACTTACAAGCAGCATTATCACAATGTTACCCGGCTCGACGGACTTTCCCTCGAGCTTAGCTGGCTGCGTCGCGACTCTTAGGTTGCGCTGCGTACTTGTCAGACGCTGTGCTTCTTTGACATATTCGTGAAGTAAGTTGTGGTCGCCCCTCTTGGCAGTGAGTTGGACCTCGGCCCAAGTAGCCGCGTTTTCTGGGCGCAGGAAGTACTCCATGACTTCGTAGAACTAAAAACAAACACCAGCCGGCGTCAGTTGAACTATTTAACACATGTTTATGATTGGGGGGGGGTGGGGGGGGAAATACTGACCAGAGTGACCGGCACCCCGACGCCTCCAAATGCTGTCAGGTATAGTTCATCGGTCGCACGCTCGGACGAGCTGCCCTGCGCAAGCAGCTGTTCGGCTAGCTGGTAACCGCATGAACGCAATGAACCCTTCTTGAGATAGGCTCTCCTCGACGCTACGTGAGAAAGGGCATTGGTAATGCCAAAGCCATAGCCGCGGTTGTGAACCACCTCGTCAATGAGCTGGCGGGTAGTCTTGGCCATGACCTTGGCACCTTCTTGCGCACGACGTCGACGATTCCAAGCCTGCGCAGGATCATCATTGTTGTTGCACCATATTCTCAGGTTGATGAGGTGTCGATAGAGTTCGGTAGAGCTGAGGGTGCCTGTCGGGTTCTCGTCGCTGCGCATGTCTAGATAGAACAGATCCGCGAGCAGGCGTGCATTAAGCGGAATGGCCACATCCCGAATCAAATCAATCTGATTGAGGCCCTCCTTGAGCTGAAATGTCTCCTTGTCAATGATCTGTTTCCCGATATTCTGGATGAAATCGTGCACTGCGCCGTGCAAGTTCTCCACCTTGCCCATTGCCTTGCCGAAACTGGCACGATGGGCAACGTTGCTAGGTTCATCACCAGCCAACATAAACCAGCTGAGGTCTTTCTCTCCAGGGAAGAGATTGCTCAAACCCGAGAGCCAGGGCACCACGAATTGCTTGGTGTTACCCAGTACCTGCCTGATGGCAGCCCCGGTGGTGAGGACAACACGCTTGCGGGGCGGCCTCGGGTCATCCAGCGTATACTGCTTGATCGTGCCAATCTCTTTGGCAATTGTCTCATTCATCTTTTTCGTGTACATGGGCTGCATGACGGCAACCGAATTGAACGGGAACCAGCCCGGAAGGCCGCGTTGGATCAGCTTATACAGCATTGACCCACCCAGGGTCTTGTAGTCCTGCTGTACCTCATTGTGGCCCCAGTTTGTCAGCGTTGCAACGTTGTAGTCGATAGTGTAGAACCTGTCGGAGCGCACGAGGGTAATGGCGTCAGCGAGAACGGCGCGTCCGGCCGTATACGGTGGGCAGAGGCCACTGCCAGCGTTGCGCGCAGGCTTGATATCTTCCAGCATAAGTCCAGGATAGAGCTCAACCATGTCAGGGTCTGTATACAGCTTTTCCAAGATATGAGCAATATCAGGATCTTTGTTGATGTCCGTGAACTTTTCATGCCTCTTGAGCCCAAAGAAGTCGCGAAATTCATTAAGGGATGCAACCTGCCACTTGCGGGCCTGGAGAATACCTTGGACCTCTACGATCTTGAGAGCTTTAGGCACTCTGCGGGCACCGAAGGCGCCAGCAGGGTCTTCCATGGCCTCTTTGAGTACCCGAACGAGGTCCTCGTCCTTGAAAGTGTTGTCTGCCTGACGCTTCAGACCAGCGAATGTGCGAGCGGAGGGGTCTTTCGGGATATTCTTTTCAAAGTCCACGAGCGCTGCTCCGAGTTCGTGCCAGCTGATGTTTTCCAAATCCTCAGATTTGCGACCCGGGAAAAGCTTGAGAAAGAAATCATTCATCCAACGCTCGTCCTTTTTCGAAATGCACGAGTGGAAACGGTAAAGTAAGTTGAACTCGACGCTGACCTGGTTGCCAACACCGCGGGGAACGCCTTCGCCATCATACTGTTTTCCAATCTCAATGCGTGGGTCAAGCGTCCAGTCACTGTCGGAATGGTGCGTATTCGTCGCAGCGCGCAGATAGTCGTGCAAGCAGATGTTGATGTACAGTCCGCCAACGATCAGGCGAGCTGTATTGAAGAGATCATGGTCCTGCTTGGCCTTGGCCTTGGCCTGGTCCTCTGGGCTAGCATCGCTGGTGCATGCAAGTGTGAAGCGGCCATTCTCGTTGATCTTGAGCAGGATATCTGCGACGTAGTTGTGGAAACGGCTGTAGAGAACCAGCATGACGTTGACGCCCGCAGGCTGTCCAAGCAGACGCTTCTCGTGAAAGGTGTCAGGCTTGAGTTTACCTTCCACCATGGTACGGATCTCCAGTTGATCCGTGAGAGAGGAGCCATAGAGCGGTGCCAAGTCAAGGTACGATGAGGTGTCGGACTTGTTCATATCCGTGCGTCGAGTTCGAAAGATATCATGGATGATAATGGACGCATGGTAGAAAAGCATGGACGAGAGACCCGCCTCGTTTTCTTTGCAGTCGTCCTCTTCACGGGCCATCAAGAGATCAAAAAGTAAGCTTGGGTCTGGTCGCACACCATGGAGTCGCTTTGTAGACTTGACGGTCTTGGCGTAAGGCGTCCCCGCCTTACCCAAATTAGGCTCAAGAATATTGTTGAAGCCTCCATCGGGCATGCGGTACTGATGAAGACCATCTGGAGCTTGAGGGACCTGCTCGCGAAGTCGTATATCACTGCCGGGAGCTGTGAACTCGATCGTGTCATAAGACTTGGGTGTAGAATTTCCACCCTTTTCCTTGGAATTGACAACCTCATACTTGACATCGCCTCCGACGTAAGTCAGAGGTGGATGTTGTAGAAAGCCCCACAGCGTGTCAATGAGTTTGCTTGTGAGGTGGAACCTAGTCTCCGAGTCTGACGGTAGAGCAGCCAGAATGCCGGTCAAAAGCTCCGGTGTTCTGTTGACCCGTTAGACATAGACAGAGTTTCCTGGTTGGAACTTTCAATACCCTTTCTTGTCATCAATCGGCTCACCTTCATTCATGATACTTTTGATAAGACCAACCACCTCCGTCAGGGACGCCTCGCTCCGAAGGGCAGCATAGTCCTTGAAGAGGTCAGATGCAACCCGAACGGGGTCCGACAGAAAGCTTGAAGATGATTTCTTCGGCGCTTCCCCGTATGATTCACCGGCCTGAAACTTGTCTGTAGAAGACATGACTCCGTAGAATATTGGGTTCGAGTTTGTACTAATGAGAGAAGTCTGCAAAGTGAGGGCCGTGTAAATTGTTGTTGAGATCGGGTCAACGAGCTCTTATAACTTTTATAAGCATACCCAAGGTGTGATCAACTACTCCCAACGTCCATTGCTATATCATCGAGACTCTGAGGTACATCAAGAGGCCGGTTCCATACGTCCATGATGTACAGGATCGTGTCCTCAGGTTCCCGCCTTGTCGTCAATACAGTCATTCTGATCAGTTTCTCCTCACTCCTCATCAAATCATAGCTGTTTCCGGCACGTTCAGGGAGAAACATGCGTCTAGCTCATACCTGAATACGCAGGAGAACGGGGACTTGAGGGTAGAATAAACAAATGAGTACCAATGAATCTTATCTCTTCTCTCACATTGCACTAACTATGCTGCCTAGGTGCGCCTAATAACTATTCCGCATGTCTCACTCACATCATGTGCAACCTCATTGGGTTTGCGTAGGGCTTTGGGTAGTTAGAACGTCTCAGGTATGCGGCATGTCATCCTTTACATAAAAAGAGTTTACAACCCTGTTAATTATCCTAGCAGTCAAAAAGCATAGCGTTCAATCTTCTCGAGTATCGTACGGGAGCCGTCCGCGCACTACAGATTGCTCTGGCTAATCAATCAAACACGCATCCGAGGTACTTGATGTATCTGTAGGATAGACTAGTATTAGAGGCACCTGCCATCTTAGAGCTACATATCGTAGTGTCACAAATGGTGTAGCATTTCAGTGTTCTGCGAGGTTGAGGCTATGGGTAATTTGACGATCAGCTCCCTTGAGACATTTCAACAGATAACAGACCAGGGCTAGTACGCGGGCCGCACCTTGCAAGCCCTAACAAGATGCGGAATATTGGTTACATGCAGCTCGAGTCTTCTCACAAGCCAAGAAACCGGATCGGCGACCCGTGTTCAGCCATGAGATGGAAAGATGCCTGCATTCAGCCATGGCATGGAATGATGCACGCAAAGGCAGACATACCTGCTTCGTGCAGGAAGCTTAAGACAATTGAGGAATGAAGAGCCAACGGCTTGCAAAAAGACATCGCATATGCACGTCTTAGGTCTTTCTGATCCAGGGAACTTGATAAGTGCCCACTTCCTAGCTGAATGTGCTAATGCAGCAAAAATTCCCGCCACTTCTTAAACCAGTAAAGCTCATGCGGGAAAACTAGCTGAGACGCACCTGCGAACGGCAAGTGAGACAGGAAGTAAGACCCGTGCAAATTGCCGGTCGATCTCGCTTGGATGTGTGATCATCAATCGTGGGCATGGAAGTTGGCAAAATCAGGCTGCATCTGGGCAGACTGCGACTGTTTGACGGCTGGTTTGCTGAAGATACATACCAGTACTTTCACCGCACAATCACGATGTAGCGATTTAGCGCCCTAGCCACAACTGGGTTGGGAAAAGAAGAGCTCTCGTCCCCGCCAGGGGTAGCTGCTATGGCAACTATTTCGAAAATATAAAAAGGTTGCTGCCCTGGCAAGGTCAGGTGTGCACTGCCGCCAACGACATAGCTCCGTAGCAATTTGTTCTTGGCGAGCCTCGAAGCTTCTCCCCTTCCATCGTACCCATCATCATGCCCGCCTTCGTTGAGACTGGGGCCAGGCAGGCAGGCCCCAAAAAACTCGTTCTTTGCTTCGACGGTACTGGCAATTCGTTCAGTGGTTCGAACGCGGACACGAATGTTGTCAAGATTCTGAGCAAGCTGGAGCGTAACCAACCTGGCCAGTACCATTACTATCAAAGTGGGTTCCTCTCAGCTCTCCGTGCCGTCTGCGCTGTCACTCACAACTTCCCTAGCCGGTATTGGGACGTACGACGTGGATGAGAAATCTGTGCACAAGACGAAGATCGGTGAGATGCGAAGCTCCGTCTCGAAGACAATTGATCAGGCAATCGGGACGACTTTTGACCACCATGTCATGGCGGGATACCGCTTTCTGATGCGTTACTACGACTCTGTAAGAGTTGCCTTCCCAAACGATGTGACTTCCAACGCCATCCTGCTCACACGTCAACCTCAAGGGCGCCAAGATCTACATGTTCGGGTTTAGTCGGGGTGCCTTCACGGCCCGGTTTCTCGCACGCATGATCCACACCGTGGGACTGCTTTGCAAGGGCAACGAGGAGATGGTGCCATTTGCCTATCGTCTCTACCAACGTTACCTGGCAGGCGAGACTGAGGATTTTGTTAAGGCATCGTCCGGAGCACAACAAAATAAAGACATTGACGTTGATGAGCAGACTAGACAATGCGACCCCCTTGAACATCACCACGGCCAAGGCTTCGAGCTTGCCCTAGATGAGATTACAGCATTCAGCCGCACCTTTTGCCGGAAAGAGTTTACAGACAATGACGGAGTCATGGAGGCGAGTAACATCAAGGTTTACTTCCTCGGAATCTGGGACTGTGTGAACTCGGTCGCAGTCCTCGAGCGTAGTGCGCCCATTCCGCAGCCGGTGAAGGGTACGGCTCACCATGTCCGTCACGCTGTTGCAGTCGACGAGCGACGGGTCAAGTTCAAGGCTGCCCTCATGACACAGGACACGAGCTGCGTGACGCAGACCGACGAGGATATAAAGGAGGTCTGGTTCCCTGGCTGCCACGGCGACGTTGGGGGTGGCTGGCCCGCAGCCGAGAACAACCCGCTGGACACAAGCAACAGGCAAGACATGTCGTGGTGGCAGCGTGTCAAGAGCATCTTCACAACGCGCAAAGCCAAAGCGGCTACCAGAGATGTCCGTTTGGACCTTTTCCAAATGAGCGACATTCCACTCGCCTGGATGATCCGCGAACTCGAGCTACTGGGCGAAGAAGATCCCTCGGCAGCACTTCAGTGGTGTACCAGCGTCCATGGTTTTAAGAGAGCCTTTCAGGAGAAGAAGAAGCAGGCGTTGTCAGGTCTCCTCCATGACTCTCTCTCTTTTGGCACAGGCACGGGGATGTTCACTGTTCTTCTGTGGAAGCTGATGGGTAAGTGTTTTCCTGGCCCGGCTGTACATTGCGCCGCCTGCAGCTGGCGAGAACCTAGAGCTGACTTGGGCAAACAGAATTCCTGCCAATCATCAAGAGATGGGAGCTCGAGCGTGAGAAGTGGGAGAATGTCCGTTTCCCGCTTAACAAGGGCTCTGCTCGTGACATCCCACGCGATGCGCTACTACACAGTTCGCTGCTATCGCGCCTGCAAAATGATGAGAAATACTGCCCCTTCAACAATCATGGGGGTCAGCTGCCACCTTGTCTTAAGCAAAAGGGTACCGTGACCGACTTTGTTTCGATTATGGAGGACGGAAAGATCGCAGACCCAGACCATCAACTTTATACTTTTGCCAAAACTGACTAACTCAAACATGGAGACACAGCAGAGATTCAGAAGACGTTATATCTGCTGCGAGGATATCTTGATCAGGGTAAAGCGAGGTATAGCGATATCGTCCGGCAGTATAACCTCTCTAATACATTAATAGTCATGATCAGTATGTACCAGTGTCTCGATATTGTCTGGAGACCCCGCGGTCCGCCGATCTCCGCAAGTTTGATGACGGCAATCTCATCCCTTGTGATTGTTTCGTACTGCGGGCGCCAGGGAACCAGCATATCTTTAGCAGCGGCCCTCAGATCTTCCATGTTTGTGAGCGGGGTTTAAATCACGATCGGTTGTTCAAGAAGTGCTTGCGCTACCATACGGTAATGCACAGCCTTCTCGTCCTCCGAGCGACAAAAGTCACCACCAATCAAGCTCGCGATCCGCGTGTGGCAGAGACTGGGTCACAACACGAGTCGAGGCAGGCTGTAAATCGGCAATCTAGCAATAAGCCCCTCACGCTTCTTCAGGAACGAAGGGGCTAGTGGCCTGGGCATCCCGTCGGGGCGTTGTGGGTAGACCCCCCACCCCTCCATCGGGTATTCCATGCTCATGGGAAACTTATCCTGGAACAGAATGCACTGCGCCTTCAGCCGGAAAAGCTGCAACCTGAGGGCTACCTGCTCGTCGCATGTAGTGGTAAGGCCTGGGCGGCGTTTTGGCTCGTCTACCAATAGGGCCATACTGCCAATCCCTAGCTCTGGGGCAGCCGTCTGATTCCGACGCATGATGATGGCGTCAGACAGCTGCTGAGCGTGCTGTTTTTCTTCGTCCACCTGCTCTCCCAGCTTTCGAGCTTGCCGCTCCCGGCGTAAAATGTCCTGGTACCGCTCACGCAGCAGCTTATCCCCATACCAGCCGTCAACAAGCGTGTCAACCTTGCCAAATCCAGCCGTTGCCTTTCCAAGAACCTTTCCAATTTCAGCACAGATGTCTCACGCAGCTCGAACGCAGCAATTCAGTGCGTACTGTGAGTAAGAAGCGCTGCGTTGCGAACTGCCGCGCGCGGCACGGGGCACTTGCGGTCCGAGACTGCGGGCACGCGGGCCCCGGGGCCGCGGCCGGATGCTGTTTCCAGTAACGAAATAAAGTGTATGGCCGTGTCTGTTCGCGCACGCCCACGGCCCCGTTGAGCATGTGGGCACGTATCCACGCGTAGCTGGCCGAGGTGGGCGCCGTCGGCACGGCCCGGCCTTTTGTCTTATATATCCACGTCACCTACGCTCGCCTCCTATAGCCTGCACGAAGGTTGATGACTTCTTCAGCCTCAGCCGTGCCCACGTATCCGCAAGACGTGCACTCAAGTATGTGCAAAGCTGTGCGGAGAGGACTGCGGGGGATATCCGGCAACGCTGCACCAGAGTGATGCTCCCGTATGGCCACCAGCGCTGTGACAAGAATCTTTTGTGCGGCCACCGGTGTCCCAGCCTGTCCGCCGAGGAATGCCCCTAAGGTTACTGCTCAGCGTCTCCTCGAGTTTAAGACACTCGCTGAAACTGAATTGGACGACAATCGGCTTATTTAGGTACGTGGCTGCGCGGCTAAGGAGGAACAGGTCGTTCTAGGTATAACTATCATGTCCTTGGGCGAACCTCCCCCCCCCCCCCCTTTTTTAACCACAAGCCCTTTAGAATCAAGGAAAAAGTTCCAGCCGCAGATGAACATCAAAACTGTGATGCCTTTCTTTCTAGGTCCTAAGCGGACACTTGAGAATGCAGCAAAGCATGCAAACAACTGAGGCGTCAAGGTACGCGGTATCCTGAGATGGAATTCAAACGACTTCTTGGTTATGATGGATGGCAACTTTTACAGTCATAAAAGCAACCTCGCAGTAGTTAATGTACTGCTTGATTGCATACAGACAAGCAGCAACCTCTGGACTGAGAATACGATCTGCGATTAGTTGATCGGCGGAATGAACGATCAATATCTGGCAGTTTTTCTGCACGAACCTCTTTTGAGGGACACCTTACAAGTCTCAATCTTAGCCATGCAATAGATCGTGGTTCGCTGTTGCCTATGGGACTGGGATGTTGATAATTATGGAAGGGGGTCTTTACACTCCAACTGGCGGGGTTAACTGGCTTTCCACGTGCCTTCGCGCGGTGTACGCTACTTTCAAAGCTGCAAATAGAAGCGTCATCAACTATGTAGACGCCGTTGTTTAGCATAGCTCTTTCGTCCAGGAACTTTCCGTCAATCCACCAAACTGAAGCGGAATCTTAAATGTAGGTCAAGTGGAAGGAAATACGAAATTTTAGTTTCCTTTGACCTAGAACTTGAAGCCGCTCATGACATCACAAACCACGTAGATAATAACGCCAATAGAGGGCTCAAACCTTGATCGTACAAAGCATGTCCGATGGTCTTTAAAAGGAGATCCGGCGAATATAACTAGCTCAACCAACAAGGCGCCAGCTGGACCTGTCTGGCAACGACGGGTAGCGCTAGACGAGGGCGGGAGACGTAGTCTTGAATGATAGTGGGGGAGGGGGCATCTCTACATACTGCTCTATTCGATCTTTTTATGCCGTTTTTTTAAAAAAAAAAAAAAAAAAAATTTGAATAATAAATCGGCTGACGGAATTTAGTGGGAAGGGAGAGTAAGGACGCTGTGGTATGAAGATATTTGTCCTACTCAAAGTGCAAAGGTTTTTACCTCTAGCTATTCCGAAATAGAAGGCTAAGGAAGCTGAGCATTGTCTTAATATAATTATACGATGTTATTACGCGATAGGAAACAGAGTGATTAGACTAAACCTTGATTCTCAAAGGTTATTGCCCTATTGGCTTTTTGTAATAGTTTAAAGAAGTCTCTAGTGCCTGGGGCAAATGGGGGGTAATAGTGTTAATATAGTCATGACTAGGCGGTTAATCTTAGCAGAAAACTCTGGGTATCCAACCAAGAGTTAGCAATAATAACTAACGAACCCTTACTCTTGTTGAGTTTTAAATTTCTATCCCTTTGGACTATTTGAAGTTAATTAAGTAGTGATTCTTGATCAATATTAGCTAGAGGTGCGAGCACTCCGTAATTATCACAAACAGCAACCAGCACACCTGCATGAGCTTCGCAGCACCTTGGTGTAATAGAAAGCCTATCTGCTCGAGCCCTGTCCCAAGTCAGACTACTGCAGGAACGCTAGATTGATCCCGGCATCTGGGTGCCTCTCGTGGAGTACCTGGGTTTTCCATAGCCCTTTGCAGCAACCCCAGATACATAAGGTACCGATTACCAAGCCGAGTAAGATGATGAGAGCAATTACAGTTACACCAATCCATGCTTCGTCAACATTAAAGTCCCTCCGACGGGTCTCTGGAACGTCAAATGCCTGGTAACCTCCCGTAGGAAAGCCTGGGAACTGGGAAAAGATCCACGTGTGCCGCACCAGCAGTTGTCGATTACACCCGACAGCTGGTACATCATAATGTTAGCAAGGTCTCAGCCAGCTCTGAAGTGGAGGTATAATTCGACTTACAACGATGATGGTCACAAACAAGAGGAAGAGAATGGCGGCCAAACTTGAACAGAAGTAAAACACTTTGAAAAACTTCTTCATCCATGTCTTCTGCGGGGAGCCTAATTTGGATTTTCCGGAGACCAGGCTCCAGAAGACGCGCCCGAATTGCACAAACCATGTGGTGCTGGACAAGAAGGCGTACAGCAGGAAGCTTCCCGACCAGCATCCCAGACCCGCTGTGGGTGAGTTGTAGGCAACGGTGAAAGCCATGAGGATGAAGAACCAGAAGATCAAGAAGGAAATACACGCTGTAACCAACCACGAGAAGGAGATGCTTCGTTTGTCTTTCCCGTAGAGAAAGCCGTATACCTCTTCCGCGGTTCTCGTGTCGTATGGCTTATTGTATTTCTTGTTCCGTGCTGCCTTCAAGACGGCGAGAGCCAAGCCGCAGATTTCCCCTGTGCGTCCCTGACCGAGGAACTCTGTGATCTCAAAGATTTCGTCGTCGCCGGTATTATGAGTCCACCAATTCCGAGGGGCTCCCTGATTTTGGCCTGCTACATTCTGGGCAGCGTTTGAATGAAAAACGTATGACACGTTGTACATCCACCGTTGGAAAAGCTCTCTGTGTTCTGTCAGTTCCATGGGGCCAATAGCTTGTTCCAGAACAAGACTCAAGAAACGAGACTAGATGTATAGGGACATACCTTGACCTCTCTGTAGAATGTGGATTGCGATCCACAATGGAGAACACAACCATGACAGGCATCCATGAGTACAGTAGACCAAGTGTTAAGGGTGTCACCGTGGCGTCAGCGTCGGCAATAAAGGCCAGGGCAATGGAGATGCAAAAGGCGAAAATGAAGATGACAATAGTGCAGATCATTGGCACAACGCCCCGCCGCCTCTGCAGCCGCAATTGGTGAGACAATAGCAGGATGAGAGATTTTGTTAACTCTTTTTTCCGCTGTGGATCTTCGTCAGCGTCGGCATCGGCAAGATCTTCGTTGTCGTTTGAACGAGGAGGATCGAGAGGCTTACATAGGCCGTATAGGATGGTTTGGAGAACCTGATCTCGATTGTTCGATTCGGGCCTGATCCCCGGGATCTCGAATTGATTCAGACAGCTCAAGACATAGGAACTGGCAAGGGCGACATCCTCGTTCCATTTCAATTTAGATATCCGACTGCTTCTGCATTGGTGTACAAAGCACTTGCATGTCTGGTAAATGTTGAACAAAGTTGCTGTCATTGTGTTGGGTGGCGATCCCATCCAGTTCACAATAGAAGAAACTGTGTTCAACTTTTTGGACTCAAAGGGAAAGGTGAAGATAATAGAGAGCGGGAAGATCCAGGTCGTGACCATAGCCAAGGCCGTCTCCTCGTTAAGCAAATGGATATGGTCTCCGCAGATCTCACGGCACCCTGAGTAGTCAGCGTCGGTTTACCCGCGACATTTCATAGTTAGTACCGGACCATACGTACCGAGGTAGTTGATCGCAACTATAGTAGTCCTATTGACAGAATCTTTGAGGAGTTGGATAGGACCGTGCCAAATGTAATCGTCTATGTTGGTCTGGTCAATGAGTTTGCCGGATACCTTTCCAGTCAAGTCCAGTGTTCCATTCTGGATCGACTGCACGTCGTCGCGGCATGCTGTCCAATCATCCGCGGCTGCGGCACAGATTAGGACCAAAAAAGCCAGCAAAAAGACCAAGGCTAGCGTTGGACCCATGTGGTGTAGCTCTTTTCGTTGAGCAATCGTAGAAATCAAGTGTAAGGGGAAAAGAACGTGTATTGTGTCCGGATCTAGGGTGGGGATATGGGAGAATAGTACATTCACGCCGAAAGTCTGTTTCAGCCGTCTTAACTGAAAGCAAAGCCTCTTTATATAATAAGCGACGGGCCTCTTCTTTGTGCTCAGAAAGCATATGTGTCTGTCTTATCTGTATCAAAACTAGTTCAGGCCGACCAAGAAATCGCCGAGTTATTCAATTGGCTGAGCAAGCTCAAGTCCACCAAACAGTTCATCGGCGACCCGCATACAGATTGCTCACTCTGTTTTTCAGCTTCATTTCCTCCCTCGAGCTAAGGCGAAGCGCCTGCGTAGCTGGACCGCCTCCGTAGCCGGGTGTGATATGTCTAGCTTACTGTGGCGTCCAACGGCCGTAAAAATGCTTGCAGAACTACTTGTGGAGAAGTAGTATACGGGATTTCAGGCGCCTAATCTAATCATATTGTCACAGTAATCACCAGCCATTGCGCACCAAGGTGGCTTTCCGTGACGAGGCTTCAGGGGAGTTTGCGCCACGCGTCCTAGAGCACAACGCCCGGATAGCTGATACTGAACCCAAATTTAGGGAGCTCCTTATCATAATACACTAATGGGAACAGTTTTTCTCCTATCTCCTCGTGCCCATCAATACCGATATCTTAGCAGGTATTGTGGCAGGGACAAGTACCGATCATTCGATATTCCGAGTGCAACTACCTGCCCCATCGGATGCCCCAAGCAGTCCTCGTCTTGAGTAATTCTTTTTTTTTTTTCGAAGATCTCTTCGTTTCTCGTGGGGAAAAGAATTCCAAGCAGCAGCGATCAATATATCTCATCTACGTAACTACTTCATCATTTGGCGAAGTGGAACTCACGAGAATAGTCGCCGCGGTCATATCCAGCGAAACCTCAATATCCATTTTAAATATCACTCTTACTTGTTCTCGGGTGTTGACGTTAGGACTTATATCACATGCAGCTCACGACCTCGCCCACGGACAGCCCCGAGCGCATGGCGCGGAAACACCAGACAGATGACGGGTGTGAAGCGGGTATACGTCTCGTCCTAATTAGAGCATGAGACCCACGCGATGGATCTTCACAAAAAGTATCCTGGCGAGGTAAGATAGGAATAAGGCTCTGAGCTTAGCGCGGACAAGCACGGCACGAACTTGCCAACATTGCCCGAATCAGTTTGAGGAACAGGGGTGGACTACCTGCAAATGCTCCCCTCCCCCTCCTTGTTTTAGGAGGCGTGCGTGAGGCTGTTGCGCCTCCCTTGTTCCAATATCTGGGTGCTATCCAATCATGCCAGGAAAGAAGCCGCTGGAGGGCAGCCACCGGATGTACCAGACGTCAGCCCTGGAGGCTGACACACCCCCACGTTCAGCTTGCCAAATAAGCGCGCCTCACAACTTGTTGATTTCTCGACGTTGCGAAAGTCGCACAATCGATTCCGCGCTTGCAATTTCTTGCGCCTGACGGCCTCAGGTGAGGCGCTTGGAGTCCTGGATGTCAACTCCTGAAAACTAAACTTAAGACTCATCGCAATATTACAAAACAGAGTTTTGCGGGATTGGATAAGTCTCCGGACTAGTCCAGGGTTCAGTCAGACATCTGTAGCCACGGCCATACCTAGCTTGAGACTCCGGAGGCGAGAAGGCAAGCGCTGCTCAAATCACCAAGGTTCCCCCGAATCAACCGGCGGAAGCTCGAAAGCATCTATGCAGGAGTGAAGTCGTCTCGTTGGCTGTGGGACTGCCCCGAGTATCAGAATACGACCAAAGAACATGGCCCGAGGGGAGGATAAATCCGCAGTCTTCTGACCAACCTTTCTTGCTCTGGCTCATAGGCAACCCAGTAAGTCGACAAAGATTCGGCGTGCTCTGACTCTTGCAGAGGACAACCGGGAAGGGGATTGCCTTCATTCACATTTTCGCCACGCTCGAGGAGGGTGAACCAAAAGGTCAATGAAAGGGTTGTATCGAGCGTTCCTCTTCCAAGTCCTGCAGAGCGTTCAACCAGCAGACATCGACAGTGTGCTCGGCGACTTCTTTCCCATGACAAATAACGATCCGTGACCTGTTCCGAAGCTTCAAATTCCCCTCGAGATCATCAAAAAAATGCCCTTTGGCCCAATGACCTGGTTTGTGTCAGAGTCAACAGCCCACATTGACGGCCCGACCGGCCGCGCTGCACCCTGTCAGGGGCAAATTAGTCCTTCAACAGCAGCCTGAGGCATCAATCTCTTGATAACTTCATTCTTTCTGCCCTCTAGAACTTAGTTCCGTACGCATTCCTAATTGATCGATTTGGCCCAATCACAGAGCGTGATCCTGGTGTTGTTATCTCAAATTCAACAGTTTGAGGTTGCGCTTGACGAATGCAGCGACGATGATATTCCGAAGATGGCGACATTCTTCAACAAGCTCGTGGCGAGCGGGTCCTTTTAGAACACACAACTATGGGTATACCTTGCAAGCAGACCTTTTCCAGTTGTTGGCATGGAAAACGCAAGCCGGATCGTAGTTCAGGACCAGCCTGGCATAAGGAGAAAGCCTATCTCAACAAAAGCCTCCGTATTTGAATCACACTATGTGCGACAAAGATCCAAGGAGATGTCTCTGAGAAGGCCGAGGGCGCGTTCAACTGGACAAAACTGGTGGTTGGTGGTAGGCATGATTCACAAAAAGAGTAAAACGTTGCTCGACTAGGTACATGAACGCCGTACTATGGAACATCCCAGAAGACTTGAATGACCTTTATAGCAACATTCTGCAACGCGACCGCAGGGACCTAGACTGGCTGCGGATACCTCCTTGTATGCAGTTGCTCCTGTTCGCCCCCCGAGCCTCTGACACCTATAGATTTGTGGTGGGCCAGGCTCACATGAACGAGATAGAATCGGGGGCGTTGCCTTGGACTTGCGAGGGAGCACTGGCTTGGGGGAGTTATCACGATGGTATCGCGCGATCCATCAAATCTTACGCATTTCCAATGTTCTACCAACGCCTCTGTGTGCTTGCTTCTAGAAAGCCCGCTGCCTTGAGAACACGCCGCTCCGCTTTTGCGAACGCTTCGGCGTACTCCTCATCTTCCTCGACAACATCGTCCCTGCTACACAGGCCGCCCAATGTGAAGCCTGCGGCGACAATCTTCCCCGACTCCTGCTTTGGCGGCCCGAGCAAGACACCCTTAGTAACGAGCGTATAGCCATAGGACGTCCATCAAACCTCTCTCGCGTGTCCTCTAGGCCCTCTAGTCCGTGTCGCACAGAAGCGGAATCTGTCGAACAGATATCGCAGGCTGCTTAAAAGAGCTAAAAGACAGGTTCCCAAACGAATTATCTGCTGAGACTACTATCGCATTCATGCACGCTAGTTTGTTTCCATCGAATGTTCTAGTTAAAACTAGTAGACTATCGGGTATTGCCGACGTGTAGATCGCTGGCTTTCATCCCTAATATTAGGAATGCTCTGAGCTGATAAGATTAGTAAGACAAGGGAAGTAGTACTAATTGATATATAGGCGTATATCTGGTGATACATACGATGATAATTTCAAGGCCGAAAACCTTCTTAGGTCTCTTTTCCTGTCTCAAGCTCCTCCGCGCCGGATAAGTAGTATACCGTGGGTTAGGGGCAATAAAAGAGTTAGCTCTATATAGCTATATAAATGAACCTATTTTATTTTAATGCTTTCAGTTGGGGGCGGCTTGAGACTCGCTTAAACCAGGCCTCGACGTTGGGCGTCTTCGAAAGCTCGAACTTGCACATGGTCATGTAGCCCACAAAGCTCCACACATGCGTATCTGCCAACGTGTACTCCGATCCGAGCAAGTAGTCTCGTCCTTCAAGCGCACCATTAAGCACACAAAGAGACTTTGTAATGTCGGCCCTAGAGCGGCTCTCTAGTGCCTAGGTTGTGTTAGCATGGCGGGCGCAGGCTGAGGAATTCCAGACATGTGGAACATACCTTGATTTCTGGTGGCTGGCCATCATGCAGTGGAAGAGTATGGGCAGCGAGGTGCAAGTTGGGCCAAACAATCCACTTCATAGCTTCGCCGCGAAGAGTTCCAGCTTCGGGGAAAAGCGGTGTCCTGACGCCTTCAACCTTGCGGTCGACACCGAACGTTTCGCCAAGGTAGATGGTGATAGCGGCCGATTCCCAGATAGTGACGCCATCGTGGACAATGACGGGCACAAGGCCATTGGGGTTCACTTTGGACAGGAATGTCTCAGTTTTAGCTTCACCCTCGGTAATCTTCACATTGACTGTCTCAGCCAATGGCTCGCTCTGCCCATGCTCCAGCTCAGCAATGACTGCGCGTGTGACGTCCGCACTGGACATGGGAGAATAGTAGAACTTGAGAGGCATTGTGACGACTGGTAAGTGTCGATCTGTTGACTAATTCAATAGTTTAAAAGATTAAAATGGAATCGTGAGGTGCCAGAAGAATGGACGGGATGGTAACGTTTATATATAGTTGGATGGCTTGGCGACGGAGTCACAGTGCATTCACCCCGCTACAGCTGAAATGGGTGCTGGGCTGTGAATCCCCCAGCAACCATCGTGAATTTTGATATATCCTCAGTCGTACAATCGTTCACTGAACAACTGCGGGGTAGCACTACTTGTTGCCGTCGTTTCTTTCGGCGGTTTGGCTTTACTACGTAGCTTCTCCGGGTCATGGAGATGCCTGGCATTCAGGCTCGGGCCATTGGCGTCCTGCTACGCTGTCCTCAACATGCACGTATGATCGAGACGTAACATAGAAATATCTTAGTTCTTGTGATTCTTTAGATTACAGCTAGTCACGGTAAACGTGCTGCTGTCCTATGCGCTCGTTAGTGTCACGCCCAGTACGTCCCCCACCTGCTCGCTCCCGCGAGATCGATACTGCTTTCGACGCACGCCGTACGCCTCTTGCTAGATAGCTTCAAGAGGGTCGGCGACGCTCTTATAGTCCACAAGCAGGGATTTGACGAGTGCTACGGCAGAGGTTTTTTTCAGAACCTAGGTTGATCCTGGACTGGACGACCTATCTATTGCGGGACCATATTTTGACCACGGGAAGGGTGCACAAGAGCACAACGCTCACTCCAGAGGCATAGGGAGTGTGCCTTGGAACGGTTGCTAAATGTGGCCGTCTACGTATGCGATGCTGTACTACATATCTCTGTAAAGTCTGCTTCCCAGCCCACCTTATGCGCGTGGGACCGTGCTGGTACTGCCCGAAAGGACAAGATATGTTCCTTCCACCATGATGCCGCTCTGGTCTGCTTCGCGGTGGCATGCCTCGGTGTCTACGATTATAGTTGTGCGTGCCCCCGGTCGGTCCGAATGAGCTCGATATGCTCCCGTGCCTTCGAGGCCCGTATGGGCCATGTGTCTTTGTGAACACGGACTCGCCCAGGTTGGGAAGCCAATGGACTAGGAGCTGCCGCGCGGCAGGGAAACAGGCGCATGTCAAGCCCACCGTGACCTCTATAGTGAACCAGACACAGTGTAGTAGCCCGAAGCCGCGACGCAGAAGAGGCAGCCTGGAACGAATATCGAAGAGTGACGTGAAGAAAACACTGGTACATGTTTCATGAGATTTATGTCCCTCTGTCGTTTGGGAGAGGCTGCCGCAGCCAAGAACATGCTCAAGTCCCTACTCCCACCCGCCTACGGAGGTCACGGCAAACGTAACGAGTGGCAGTACACCAAGTACACCTAGTCGGGGAAGGATTCTCAATTCTTTCAAAAGGGTCTAGAGCAAGACCGGACGGCTGAGGTAGAGTGGACACAATCCGAGTCTAGCCTGCATTAAGTGAACTTGGCTGCCGACTGGGAACGAGGCAAGCAGGTTCTGGAGGTCGCTGCTCGGCGCCACATCCTCCCACTCCAGCCCGATAAGCAGGGTATCTTAGACTGGCAGATTGCAAGCAAGGCTTGGCTGCTGCGATATACGAAGACACCGGGTCTCCCATACGTGCGTTCGAGGAGTACAGCGCGACGCTGGGTTCTCTAGAGCGAAGAATCGTTAGACTCTCGGATACTTCTTCTCGTCAAAATACCCGTTCGACAATCCACACGAGCATGATATACGAGGGACTTACGCGGGCCGCTTTATACTTTTCCCAGCAATATAAAAGCTCTTTACCGGTGCTTGACGCTACTCCTCCCATCTAAGGAAACACAGACTAGAAGGCGAAAGCACTTGAATTCCTATAGCGAGGCCGAGTAAGGGCGCTATTTAATCTTATTTTCGCTTAACGATATCTCAGTGGGCTTACTAATAATCTTCTTTAGCAATAGTACGAGAAGGAGTACGCCCTACGCAAGCTTCTAGAGGCGTAGAAAGGAGTCCCATCCGCCGACGTCGATAAGCTTAAGAAGGAAGAGGCCCTCGAGCGTTCTGCGCTCGAGTCCTACGCGCCCGAGATTACCAAAGTATTAGCCATAAACCGACTCCACCTTCCTATCGAGGAAGTCTTTCGGCAGCACTAACCTAGCGAGGTTGTCATTCATTCCCATCTCTCTCGACATAGACTTATACTCTTTAGCATCACGCACAAGGGTATTAATCTTATCCGTCGGAGCGAAACCAGGGACATTAACGTACGGCGTTCTGCCCTCTCGTATAATCGATGCTTGAGAAACTCGTTAGATCGGATGCTGTCGCCAGAATAACTCGTAACTATCTTAGCGAAGCTTTCGGACATTCTACTCCTACCCTACCCGGACATACTGTAAGGCAAGGATTATATTATCTTTATTCGTGCCGCGGCTCTAGAAGGTTTCCCGCTTTCGGTCCTCCAGCTGCGCGGGAAACCGTTAATACTCACGCATGCCGTTTCCGAGACTCCTAGTCTCGCTATTCTTCATATGCTCGTGCAGACAGCCAAGGACCGAGCTAAGACGAGCAACAAGATTAGTATCATTACCGACCCCCATCTCGACAGGACACAAGGGGATTAGGCTCTAATAGTGGGCATAGGCGCCCTATCGCTCGCCAGCAAATACGAAACCGAAGCGTAAAATCCCCAAAGCGTATATAGCGAGACATTCCGGTCCTAGTTCCAGGAGTCGCAGATTATGCACATAAGCACCCACGGCACTATATGCCCGGACGCGCCGTGGCAGTCGTCTCTGGCGCTGCAGGAAGAATTCAAAGTCATACATCTCCTCCAGTTACAATCCTAGGCGTCGCTCGTTATTTTCGCCACCTGCCTCTCGGGGCTCGGTCGCACCATATCCGGCAACGACGTGACCGGCTTTTCGCACGCTGTGTTACAGTCCGGTGCTAGTGCATACATTGGCGCACTATGGCGGGTAAACGACCTAGTATCCATGGTGCTCATCTACGTCTTCCACAGGCAGCTCCGGTCGAATAGCGACGCTATCAGTGTCGCAGAGTGCTAGCGTAGGGCGCAGGAGACGCTTTACCGAGCGAATACCGCCATCTTCGGCGACCTGCTCAGGGAAGTGCGTGAGTCGATCGACCAAGAGGCCGCCGACACATTTGGGATGCCGGGCGCGAGGGATCTCCTCGACGACGCCATCTAAGATCTTGAGGATGAGGATTTCAGCCATCCTTAGTATTGGGCCCCGTTCACCATTGTTGGCTACGCTGGCCAAAGGCTCAATGGTCACATGTCGTCGGCAGAAGGACAACTTGAGCAACAGTCTCAGATGTTAGCCAACATGAAATACAACCACGGGTGGGAAAACCTCTCATCATCCACTGTGACAATGACCTCAAGCAGATAAATGGTATGCCATTCCTACCCAATGGCAGAATTAAAATCCTCATCCACGATTCCCACTCGCCGTGCCTTGCAACACTCCCAATGCGAAGGATACCATCCTGATTGGCCCCAGAGACATGTATATGAAGTGTTGGCCGCCAACCTCAGCCCAGCCGAAGACCTCAGGGATTGGGACACGGCCTTGTAGCCGCTCACGCATCAATACCTGGGCCTCGACCTCGGCGGTCGTAACGTCGGCTGCATACTTGACGGCTACTCCTAGGGATGGGATGATAACGGGGGGTGGACGGTTGAAAGATGCGGCACGGTAGTGGCCAGAGGCCTCACTCAAGGCTCTGATCTCCGCACGCGAGGGAAGCGCGGGCGCTCTACGCTCTTGGAAGAAACTAGGCTAGGGGAAGACCTTGATGGTTGGGTGTCGGTGCGGAGCACGCGCGTCGCTCTGGGGTCCCATTCGTCGCCATCGAAGCTGAAAAGTGGCCAGTGTTTCCGGGCGCTCGATATGATGATGCCGAGTTGAGATTCCTTGGCGAAAGATGAGGGCGATTGGGGCCGGTAAGCATAGCCCCGGCACTTTTCTTACAAAAGTCGTGCAGCTGTGGTCCGTGCTTGAAAGTCTACATGTAGCTTATTTGCAGAGGAACCAATCAAGTCGATCGGAAGGAAGACCCGGATCCCGGTGGATGCTTTCCCGCTGTGCGTACTCCGTACATGTACCTTAGTCGCGGCACGCCCAGAACTCCCGAATCCTAATTACGTAGTAGATCTATGCGCATCAAGCCGAATCGTCGTCCACCTTCCCGTTCTGCCAACAATGCCCAGACAGGGTCGTCATGCCAATGTTTCCAAGCTGATTAGAATGTGCAATGACCACGTTGTACTGCATCCAAGTCCCCTTGGAGAACTAAACCGGGGTCCGGGGGTCGGCTGGCCGATGCCTCACAAATCCACGATTGTTCCTGTTTGGCCCCTATCGCGGTGCACGATGGACGAATACGCGCTAAGTACGCGTTTTCCTCACTTTCTTGGATATAGCGAAATAGCAGATTTGTTTCAGTAGTATCAATTGTGCCTGGCTTTCTTTCGGCGTCATCAAGGCAATGCCGGGCCGATCTGTTCGTCGCTGCTCGTCAACTACAGGCTCAATGATTTTTTCCTCGTCGTCGCGTTTATGAAAACATTGGTCCATATGGGCTGTAGCTGTCTTGGTATGATATACGCCCAGAGCGGAGCCGAATCCTTCCATGCACGAAGTGATTCGGACGACGTCAAGTGGCGGCTTACGTACCCTGTACACGCTACACCTGTGGTTTCTGTAAGGCATTGACTTGGCAAACACAAAACATGGACTGCATGGGGGGACTCTAAGCATCATACTACTACCTCGGCCGACACATGTGGTTCCTGTTCTGTCTATAAAAGAGCTCGGTTACTCGCAAACTTGGTGTAGACATCAAAGCAATAACCAGCCCACTTCCCTCCCAGTCAACAACCACCTGAACACTACCTCCACACTTTGATATTGCACATCAACTCTTCGACATGAAGCTCAGCATCGCCGCTTCCCTCCTCCCTCTCGTTGCCTCGGCGGTCGTCCTGCCACGGCAACAATCCTGGGACGAATACGACGCAACCACGGACATACTGATCGAAGATGGCCTTTGCCGCAGCTACCGCACGCTGAACCCCCCGCCCGAGGCGGCCGGTCTCGTAATGTGTGAGATCTTTTGCGCGCCAGCCAGGGAGCTCGCGGGAGAGGATGAAACCTTTAGCTGGACGTGCTTTGGCGATACGGCCCCCAACCCCGTCACCGTCTACGACCCTGCGGGAGAGCCGTACACGTATGGAGAGTGTAAATGCAACCACCCGGCCATCAACTTTGTTGGCGAGACTTTTGTCGAGCTTCTGCCTTACGTGGGCCGCGTCACGTGCGCCGTGTGGAAGTTGGCCATCTCCGAAGCCGCCATCATTCTGGCCGGCACGCCTTTCACGGCCAGCACGGCCAGCATGACCCTGTTCAAGGTGGCCAAGACCATTGCGAGCACCGGCTCGGGCGCCTCGGGCTGGGAAGAGTGGATTGCGAGGGTGTCCGCAGACGACCCTTGCGACTTCAGCCCCGGGCAGATCTTCGAGGACTTTACCGGCATCAGCGACGAGGACATTTCAGCTGTCCTGTAGACGTCACGCTCACGAGTATGGATTGGAAATGAAATAAAGAAACGATTGGGTAATATCGTGAGGCGAGGTGTGCGATGCAGGGGACTGTTGGTCACGCAGATGACTGCCGGAGAGTGCAATACGCATTAAATTACATGAATCAGCATGATCAATTTCGAGACACGACCCGTACTGGAGCGTGGAATTGGACCTGTGAGGCATTCTCTCTTGTCGGATTGTAAGAACTATCAAGTTGTAGGCTATGGATTCTTCTTCGCCAAGTGTGCATGTGGTCAGCCCCCGTTGCCTTGCCCCCTAGGCAGTACGCTACTGGTAGTCCTTGGCAGCCTGCGCAAATTTGCGCGCCGACACCTTGGTATGGAACAATTGGTCCAACGTGTCCGCCGTCATGCCCTTGATCTCCGGCAGCCGGAAATAGGTCCAGACAATCATACAGGCCGTGAGGGCCGCCGCCGGAAACGCCGCCTTGCCCTGCAGGTTCGCCTCGCCCGGGTTGAGCAGGTACGGCGACACGACGACGTTGATGATGGACAGGACGTAGTACATGTTGCGGCCGAGTGAGATTGTCTTGACACGGAGATTGGCAGCGCCGACGGACGCGGCAATGCCGTACGGCGTGGGGCCGATGCTAATGCCGTAACAGAAGAACCATGCCAGGAGGAGGGCGCATTGGCCCCAGCGAATATTGGGGTTCGCGTCGACGGCCAAGTCCAGGAAGCCGACCAGGCTCATGAGAGGGAACATGACGACGAGGCCACCGAGGTAGAGCGTCCTCCAGCCGAACTTTGTCATCATGAGCCAGGACAAGACTGTCCCGACAAAGGCCAGGCCAGCGTTGCCGAGCGACATGTTGAATGCGTCTGTGGGAGAGAGGCCGGCCAGAGTGAAGAAGTAGGTGATGTAGTTCTGGATGGCGAACCCAGGCAGGATCTGGCAGCCCCAGCTGACGACGGCGATTTCGGTGCGACGAAGGTTCTCGCCCTTGAAGCACTCGAGAAAGCTGCCGTGAATGTTCATGTCCCGCTCTGTCTGGACGGTCCGCATCATCATGGCCAGGTGGTTCTTGGGGTTGATGACGGTCTCGGGAGCGGAGCACAGGCGTCGGATGTTCTTTTCGGCCTCGTCGAAACGTCCTCGCTTGACGAGCCACCACGGCGACTCGGGCGCGAAGTAGGTGGCCGGGATGAGGAACGGAATCCACATCCACTGCAGCGCAAACGGTATCCGGTACGCCCACTCGTCTGTGCGGTTCAGCATGCCGCGGAGGACGCCAAAGGCGATCATCTTGCCCATGACCCAGCAGAGGTTGACGTAGACGGTGAGGTAGCCCGTCAGCTTGAGGGGGGCAACAGACGCAGCGTACGAAGGCGTGGCGGCGGCGAAGATGCCGCACGGGATGGACAGGAGGAGAGTTCCTACGGTGAGAACCTCGACGCTGGGGGCGAAGAAGTTAATGAAGACGGTGGCCGCTAGGGTCATGTGCGAGCCAAGCATGGTCCACCGCAGGCCGAACCTGTCGGCCACGTACCCGTTGAGGAAGACACCGATGATCATGCCAATGTTTACGACCACCGTCAGGGCAACCTGCCACTGCGCAGGGACTTGGTACGAGCCGTCCGGCAGCAGCTCCCCGTACCGCTGGTTGAACACGGGGAACGCGAAGAAGGAGTTGATGAGGAGAAGGTCGTATGACTCCATGACGGTGGACATGGACATGGCGAGCGACCATGCAATGGCCTTTTTGTAGTATCGGAGGGCATCGCGGACCGTGAGGTTGACTTCCACCTGCTGGGCCTCGTCGGCAGCGACATCGCGGGCACTGCGAGACTTGGCAGAGCCGGAACAGGCCTCGATCTGAGCCTGCGACGGCTCGACCTTTTCAAACGACATTGTTCGTACGGAAGGGGGCTCGCGTTGGTGCAGGATGGGTGGTGGCGAGGGCTGTGTTGTGTACTGGGGAGTGAGTTGGCCGATCTGTGATGAGGACTGAGGACGCGCAGCCCAGCTCGTTATATGTGAATGTGAGGTCAGTGCAAGCGTAGTAGACTTGCAGCCACTCCCCGCGTTTCTCCAGACAATCTCCGCTAACACATGGTCACCCCCAGGCAGTGAATCATGAACGCATGGGCTCTTCCTGGGGATGGATGGCCTGGTTTGCATACGGGAGGGCCATGATCATGGGCCCATCCAAGCGTCTCCACTGGACGTTGTGGCCGTCGGCGAACCGTGCCGGGCTATTGGGTGGATTGCTTGTCGGTGAACACTGGGCAAGTAGCTTGGTCGGCGAACGCGCTATCGGCTGGGCGGCGGAACGAAACGTGGGCAGCTGAGACTACGTGGTAGTTTGTTCCCCCACGGCCCATCTGCGAGATGGTGAGCGACTGGAGGGAGGACTCTGGATCCGGGTGCACGGGGGTCATGTCATCAACGCTGGGATATCACATCCATACCGGGTCAAGGTACGCGGAAAGGCAATCGCAGGCGACAGAAGGGCTACGCTTTCTGGTCGGGACAGCAGGCCGCTACGCGCAGAGCAGCCGAGTCCCAGAACACCAGAACACGGTGTAGTCATCATCAGCCTTGACCAAGGGGGCGGCGAAGGCACACGTAGGCGTCGAGTCAAAAAAAAATTGAAATACAATGTTACACTCTATTTATGTGTCATGATGGGGCCTTGGTGACCGTTGGTCGTAGGCTTTGCTACGCCTTGAAGCTTGGTATGTACCGGCTCGTCTCCAATCTCGGCCATCTTGTCCTCCAGCAACTTGGTCATCTTGCGGACGACGGATGCATACTGGGGCTCGTGGTAGCAGTTGAAGAGCTCCAGGGGATCCTCCTGGCAGTCAAAGAGCTCCCATTCCTTCTCCTCGCCCCCCGGCCGTGTGCCCTCCAGGCCAAAGTCCTCGGCGTACCAGTAGATGAGCTTGTAGCGCTGGTCACGACACCCATAGTGCGCATAGGCCTCGTGGATGATGTCGCGGTGCATCCAGTAGCGGTGGTACGCCACCTGCTGCCAGTCCGCGGGCGTCTTGCCCCGGAGCAGCGCGCTGAACGACACACCCTGCATGTAGGTTGGGATGCGCACCCCGGCGAGGTCCAGAAAGGTGGGCGCAAAGTCCACGTTGCAGATGATATCGTTGCACACCGACCTGGGTTGGATGGCCCTGGGGTATCGGATCAGAAAGGGCATCTGGAAGCTTTCCTCGTACATGAAGCGCTTGTCGAACCAGCCGTGCTCGCCCAGGAAAAAGCCCTGGTCGGACGTGTAGACGACAATGGTGTTGTCGGCAAGGCCCTCGGCCTCTAGGTAGTCGAGCATGCGGCCGACATTGTCGTCGACGCTCTGGATCGTCCGCAGGTAGCGCTGCATGTACCGCTGAAACTTCCACTCGGCGAGCTCCTGCTTGGTCTTGAACGTGAAGAGCTCGCCCGTGTTCTTGCAGATGAACTGGAGGCCCGTCACATCCTCAGGTGCGGGCATCTTGCGGTCGTTCCACCACCACACATCCACCATCTTGTCGCCGATCCGGCTGCGCGGGCCTTCGGGCTGCACGATGCCCAGGTCGTTGTATGTCATGTCCTCGGCGACGCGCATCTTGGCGATTCGGGCCGCGTTGGCGCGGTTCTTGTAGTCGTCTGTAAAGGTGTCGGGCAGGCGGACGGGCTCCTTGTACAGGTCCTTGTGCTTGTCGTCGTACTCCCAGGTCCGATGCGGCGCCTTGTGGTGGCACATGAGGTAGAATGGCCGGGACCTGTCCCTCTTGTCCATCCAGTCGATGCACTTGTCGGTGATTACGTCCGTCGCGTAGCCGGGCACGCTCGTCGTGCCCGAGGGCTCGATGAACTGCGGGTCCCAGTATTCTCCTTGGCCTGGCAGCACGCTCCAGTAGTCGAACCCCGTGGGCTCGTGGTCTGCGCCCTCACCCAGGTGCCACTTGCCCACCATGGCGGTTTGGTAGTGGGCAGGGCTGGAGCGGAGTTGCTTGGCGACGTTGGGCATGTGTTTGTTGATCTTGGAGTCGAGCGTTGTGACACCGTTCACGTGGTTGTGCGTGCCGCACAGGATGGCCGCGCGGGAGGGCGTGCAGATACTGTTGGTCACGTAGCAGTGATTGAACAGCATACCCTCGCTTGCGATGCGGTCGAGGTTGGGCGTCTTGTTGATTCCCGCGCCGTAGCACGAGATGCCCTTGGCCGCATGGTCATCGGCCATGATGAAGACGATGTTGGGTGGCGCTTGAGGCTCCATGATGGGCTGTTGATGGGATGTCGGTGGGTGAACAAGAAAGATGGAACGGGGACAAATATTGACGGGGACAGAAAGACAGACCATCAAAAGAGTTCCAGCAGACCTGAAGACGCGATGAGCAAAAGTAGTGGACCGTGGACCACGGACAGCTCGGAGGACAGCTCGGGGACCAGCTCGGGGTACAGCTCGGGGGACAAGCATCCGGCCCTCGGTGAACGCCCGTCGACCCTGTTTGTCCCAAGTGACAGCAAGCTACCATCAGAAAAAGTCGCCATCCGCATTGGCGCTGGGGTATCCGCCGGTGGGGAAGAACTGGTTCCATGTCCAGGCCTCGTCGAAGCCCAGATTCAGTGAGTCGGCGCTGAGCTGACATGGCAGCTCCACGTCCAGCGGGCCTCCCAGGAGGCTCGGGTCGAAAGACGCTGCCACGGTCGAGTCGCCGCCCCCTGAGGAGGCACGCAGCATAGTGCTACTCCTACTAGGCTGCTGCCCCCTCGGCTCGTCGCTTGCCCTGTGGCTGTCGTCCATGAATCGTGTTTGCCGAAGGATGCTGTGCACGCCTAGGTTCTGATGCTGCTTGGCGGCCATGGCAAACAGCGGTGCCCCCCGCGATTGTGTATTGCTCTCTCGCTCCTCGCTCTCGGACGACGCGCCGCTGGGCTCGCCCTGGTTGGCTCCGTGGGCGCGGATGATGGCTTCCAGGCTGCTGCCCATCTTCTCGACCAGCCTGGACCCGGGAGCGAGACGCGGCAGCAGGTCATGGACGGTCTGGGCCATGCTTGACGCCTGGTCCGGTGGCAATGCGAAGGCCTGGTACTGCGACCGCCGGCTCATGTGTAGGACGAGGCGTGCGGCATGATAGGCGCACACGGCGAGATCAAAGTCGCCGACGAATGAATCGGTAGCCGTCGCGGCAAGATCGCGCAGGATCGTGAGATTGGCGTGTGCATGCTCGTGACAGGCGCGCGCCGCCTGCTCGAGGTATTGTGTCGAGAGGGCGGACAAGACCACCTCGGGCGCGGCCTCTGCGTAGCCGGGCAGAAAGTGGCGGTACAGGTCACAATGGCACTGATGCCAAGCCATCTGGACGGAGAGATACCTGACCAGCCATCTGGACTGAGCATAGCGCGTGAGCTGCGCGGTACTGTAGGGCAAAGGCCGCATAGAGTCGAGCTTCTCTTCAAACCCGGCCACGACAGCCTCCAGCCCAGGCCATGGCTGGGCGGCTAGGCTGAGCTGTCGTTTGAGTCGCATAATGTCCCTGCGCACGGCCAGGTTCCGGACAATGTAGCCAAGCAGGCCATCCTCGGGCACGCCGTCCAGTGGCATGCTGCTCGCATCCGGGTCTGCGGTGAAGTCTTCCTCGCTGCCAGGCGGGTCTAGATAGACAGCCTCCAGGGGGCACATTTCGGCTTCACGTAGGCCTAGGGAGAAGTGGCCGTCCAGAAGGACGATGCACCACATGAGCCTCCGGCGGATCTCCTGCGCAAGCAAGCTGAGATCCAGCCGCTCGTACTGAAGGCGCAGCGCGGTAGCACTACGTCCCGTCAGAGAGGCAAGCATGAACGCTCTCTCGAAGTCGCCCGTCTGGACTCGGTAGCACACGACGAGCATGAGCGCCTGGGTGAGGAAGATACTCGGCTGGCTTATCCTGTCCCAGATGATCTCCTCCGCCTGCTTCACCCAGGATTGCGTAAAGACGGGATGGTATTTGACGTAGTTGAGATACATTGCCGACGACGCGCAGATGCCCAGTAGCAGAGGCTTGTCAAGCGTGCGGTCAAGGCATCTTTGGGTGATGGCAACCTCGCACAGGAACGAGTAGACGGGCTGGGGGTAAAGATGGCGGAAGAAGTCGTTGACGAGCTGCAGCTGTTCCTTCATGGGCGGCAGAGGCAGCCACTCGCCCGCCTTGATGCGGGATGCGTGGGGGCTTTCATATTGCCAGGACTGCTCGGTGGATGAAGCGGCCTTGTCCGAAGCAAAGCCGGCTGGCGATGCCTCGACATGGCGAGGGACGAGGTCAGATTGGTCTGGAGACGATGTCTCATGCTGCCCGGTCGCGGTCGCAGCGGCGACGCTTCTGCTGGGTAAGCGTCGCGCTGTGGCCCGCGCTGTCCTCGATGAGGCACGATATTCGCACGCGCTGCCGCGTTCCACGCATGATGAGCAAGACGGCAGCTCGCCCGAGCACTTGGCCTTGTGCTCGCGGCATTGCACGCACGCCTTGGGGCCACGCTTGCGTGCGGGTTGTTGCGGCGGATCCGACGCAAGGGAAGATGGGCCTCTCGTGGTGAAGGCACATGGGAAGCCAAGGCGATCGCAGTCGGCGCAAGGCTCACCCGGGCCGCGTCCTTTGCATCTGACCTAGGCCTCAGTGTCAGCACAGCAGATAGGAGAGAGGTCGGTCGCCAACCCACCTTTCGGACGCGGCACTGGTGACAAGTCTGATCAGACCGCGGAGGAGGCATAATGCCGGTGAAGCTCGTGTGGGACAATCACCTCATTGTTGAGTACGAAACACATACACATCGACAGGTGGTGGAAATGGCGCAGACGCTCGTATGTGTGATAGTTCATGAAACTCACATGATGGTCCTCTCCCCACAAACTATAAGCATAGTCCCGAGGGATTCCAAATGTTAGCGTGTGAACTATGGGAATAGTGCAAAGATGAAAGTGACGTATCGCTTTGAGTAAAATTACGCTAGAAAGAAGTATCTCTAGGACCCGCACTATCTCCAATTTTTAATCAACAATATGTTATCTCTTCAGGCCACGAGGTCGCTATCGCGTTAGGTCTACAAAGATCAATGTAGCTAATACTATGCCTCTCAATTAACCTTCTAAAACGTGTTTAAAGTCTAATCTGGGTGTTTGTTACAACCGCACATAAGAACGCGGTCGCCGCCATGCAGCTCGCACGTGACATAACGCGCGACCCACTGTTTTTCTCGAATTATTTGGGATTGTCTATCCGTGAGAAGCACTAATTATAATCGGGATCATCGCGCTTGGTTCATGAACCGACTTTAGATCTGCCTACCCTATAGCTAGTCTGACCGAAAGTGATATACGAAAATTAGCTTCGGATTATTGTAAGAGACTATTGAAGAAAAATAATCCGAGCCTCGTCTAGTATCAATTTCACAATTATAGGTTTGGTAAAATGCGTTTGACTATGAAGGAGTATCGGGAAGCGGTTCGCTATTATGTTCGCTTTGCACGTTCGGTGAGGCCATTCCATCAGTCATACAAAGTCATCAGGTCGCATTGAGTGATTCATCAGCACGGCAAATACCAAAGTCCGTGCAGGCTGAATGAAGCCCAGTGGTACGGCTGCTTAAACTCGTCGCCGAGCTCGCCCGCAGCCATCTTCATCGCAGCGCCTCGAGACGCCCGGGCTAATTGGAACACACCACCACCGCCGCCGCCGCCACCCTCGCCTCCGTCGCCCTTGAGCGAGGAATCTCCCCCGCTACAGCCCGACAGGTCATCGTAAAACGCCTTGCTGAACGCCCGACCGGAGCGGCTGTCGATGGGCCACAAACAGCCCAGCACGGATGTCGCGCCGGCGTGCAGGAGGGAGGGGATGATGCCTAGAGGCTCGTCGCCGGGGCCGACGTTTTGCGTCCCCGAGTCGCAAGCAATGACGGTGTAGTGTGCGCCGCCGGCGGGGAGCGCCGCGTCAAAGAGCCTCAGCACGTCGAGCTCGTCGATGCCGTCCTCGTCCTGATCGTCGCTGCCAGGCGAAAACACGTCATTTCCGTTGCTCAGGACGAGCGACGACTTCATCACGTCCGTCGCGTCGTACCGAGCGTGTCCATGGTAGTGGACCCATCGCGCGCCCGACGCCCGCTGGAGAAACTGCCCCGGGGTCGCATCTGGGCCGCACGAGACGTCACCAGGGATCTTGGTGGCAAGATGGTCGACATGCTCGAATATTAGTCTTCGCTCAGTGGCCTTCAGGGGCTCCTCATAGACGGCAAAGTACTGTGCGCGAAGAGAAGAAGAGTCGCACGACTGTGCATGCTCACTCCGAGGTGGCCGAGAACACGCCCTGGATAGGCATTGGCAGAGAGTTGACGTGCTTGACGCATACACCACTAGGTTACGCTGTAACAGCAGCTCTCCCTTGACCTTGAGAGCGTGCAGCGGAATGCCGTTTAGCAAACCTGAAGGTGACAGTACCAACAAATCACCTGCTTTGGTATAGTCGCCCAGTCCCTCCAAGAGGCCACTCATTTGCTGCAGAAATCGATTGCCAGTCTTCCGCGCAAGTGGCGGGGTGGCCAAGTCAGGATACGCAAAAGCGCGATGAAGCCAGCTCGTCACCTCGGCCACCGATAGGGGCAAAGGGGTCGTGTGGGTGGTACCGTCCAGCCGTCTGCAAAAGAGGACAATGGTATCGCTCCTGCTGCCGGCCCGTTTAGCTGGAGGGATGTACCAATCCACAAAGGCAACCTCCTCTGGGCCAATGTTGCTCGCTTGCAGTCTCTGCCTCATCACCTCATCCCCAAGGTTTTCGTCAATCCGCAGGGTCTCGTCTTTCATCCGGAGAGCCTCGGCCAGGAGGGGGTTGTCAGCCATTCTCTTCCTTGTCTCCGCCAAACGTCGGGCCGCCAGCACGTAGTTGATTTGCGGCTCGCCGAGTAAGTCCAGAGCGGACTGCTCCTCCCTGAGCAGCTCCGAGGCGACGGCATCCTCGTTTATCCTCCGCAACAGGGCCTCGGGAATCACCGAATGGGCCCCGAGCGAGTCGTTGAAGGCCCTCGCCTTGCCCTTTTGCAGCCATACCCAGGCTTTGGAGGCGTCGCCGACGCGCAGTGATGCTGAGACGCCGTGTCTGTACAAGTCGATGCTTGCCTGCTTCGCTACCAATAGTCTCTTCGCCATGAGTGACTTGACGCCGTCAACGGGGATGACGCTCCGTCTCATGTCGTCGCAGATCTTCTCCGTCTGCTCCAGTTCTCCCAGGTACTGTCTGATGAATACGTCCCCGCGGTCCCCAAGCAGAGGCAGAAGATCATAGAGGAGGCCGAAAGCAGCATTAATGATCGGGACGATTAACTCGACGCCGCTAGTCTGTCTAAAGAGCCGCACTGCCAGGAACATCCATTCCAGGGCCCTGGCGCGAAGAAGGAGGCTGGGCTTGATGTCGTCGAGTGAAGCATTGTCTTTTTTCCGCCATTCGGCGAAGACTCCCCGGGCGTACGAGTCGGCATGGATAGAGGTGAGGATCATGGCCTGGGCCCTCGTCAGTATGGGGACGTCTGCTACCGTCGTGAGCTTCCGCAGAAAGGCCTGTGATTTCTGGAAACATTCGGCGAGTTTTTTCTGTTGCGAGAGGGTCTGGATCTCGAGTTCCAGTATCTGGTACTGTAGCTGGATATCACCGTCGGATGCGAGGCCCTTGGCGCGCGCGACCCAGCGTTGCGCTTCTTCCGGGTCGCGCGTGTCTGGGTTCTCCGGGTCTTGAGACAACTTCCACCGAGCGATCTGGATGCTTTTCTGCATCTCGCCCTGCTTATATCCGTGGCCGGCATCCGCCTCGGCCCAGACTGCCCCTAAATCAATGCCGCGCGCGAACCACCCTCTTGTCTCTGAGCCTTGTGGCTGCACCTCGCGAGACGCAGACCACAAGCGATGGCTGAGGTAGAATGCGACATCCGACTTTTCCTCATAGTTGACCCCGGAATTGGCAATTTCAAATGCCCTCTCCGAGGCGTCCACGGCCTTGGCGTGCTCTCCAAAGCTCGAATAGACCGAAGCCAGCATCTTGTAGAGATTTGCGTGGTAGTTGAAGCCGATTTCTTCCGGCAGGCTGCGGACTAGGTAGGTCTCTAGCGACTGCAAGGCGAAGCCGTACTCGGAGGAATTGATGCCGGCCTGTGTAGTCGCGTGGATGAGGGACAGTTGCTTCAAGATCTCGCTGCCGGTGCTCTCGATATGGTCTTCGAGGAGCTGCATCGCCCTGGCGACGGCGTCGCGGTGTGTCCCGATAGAGAGCTGGGGTGTGATGCTGTGTATCAGACAGTTGATGCCGAGTCTGTAGTGACCCTTCCCGAAGCATTGTTCCGCAATTTGCTTCTTGCAAAGAAATTTCTCCCCCGCAGAGAGACTCATCTGCGTCAACCAAGATCAAGTCTATCTCTGTGCTTCCATAGCCGTGAGAGACACGGATGAGGATCTCCTGTGCTTCACGGAGAGTTTGACGTCCCATGTCCTTGATAGATGCATCCTTTGACTGAATCTGAAGCTGACCAATGTCAATAAGTGTCATGGCCCTCTCCACCTGCCACTCCTCCAAGCCGAGGGCGCAGGCAAAGCGTTGGAGGAGCGCCAGCGCGTCAGCCTTGTCTTCGACGCAGCCAAACTCAAAGTAGACCAGTGATCTAGCCTCCCGCCACCGAGCCTCAGACTCTAGCTTCTGTCGGAGCGCTGAGATGCCCTTGACGGCGCCAGTTCGGGTTGACTTGATGTCGAGAAGTCCTTGGTCTGCGGCCACGACAACGATCTTCCAGTAGAAAAGCTCCATCAAGACCTTGTTCCGCGAATCAGTGTTGCATTCCTTTATAATATGGCTAAAGGCGAGATCAGGGTAGCGGTTTATACGCGCACTGAACGTACTCGATATTCGGAAAAGCGGATTGTTCCTGGCCATGCATCATCCAGCCCATTCCTGTTATCAAGAGCCGTGCGATGGCACTCGAATTTCAAGATTGCATTCACTTTGCGCGCAATCTTCAAGGCCGTATGTAGCTTTGAGTACCGCACAATCCACACAAAGGCACGTAGCAACTCGAATGCAACTGCCTCTTGATCGAGTATCGAGGCTGGAACATGGTCGCCGTCGCCATCGCCATCGCCGTCGCCGGAGTCGGAGTCGAGGTCCAGAAACATGGAGCCACCAGCTGCATCGCACGCAGCGGCTGCCAGTCTTAACTGTCCTTGAACCAAGTACAAAAGACATATCTCTATTGCGATGCTCTTCATAGCCCTTGCTGCTTCAGACAGTTTCTCGTGATACTCCGCGCCGGAGGCGAAATGTCCCATCGTCCGGTACGCAGTTAGCCGGGCCTTGACCTGCTCTACTTCTGCCGGATCCATATTGGTCGGCTGCTCGCTCAACACGAGTAGATTGCATGCGAGAGATTTTGGCCTGATATCATGAATATATAAATTGCCGCGACTGTGACTACAAACATCAGTGTCTGACGCCGCAATCAATCTGGTCAGCCGACCAGGAAGTGAGTGCACATGAGCGGGGATCGCAAGTGAATTGCCCAGCCTCAGCCTGTTCTATTTTTGGCTTCCGTGTTTGGACCTAATAGAATGCTGCGCGTTTTGACTGACCGCTGTTGTTTCACTACGATTTTATCCCTCTAGGTCGATTGTCTCTTTTCTCCGCAGCGAAAGTTGCAGCGCCGACCACAGACCACTTCCGAAACAGCGTCCATACATGTCGGCCGACACTGATAAGCTGCCCCCCCTGGGCTTTGATAGCGACTTCTCTTTCTGCCCAGAGGAATCCGAGGCACAGCTGGGCATCAGCAACGGCGGACGGACGAACCGCTCCCTAGCAACGCAGGAGCAGATTGGCAGGACGGGGTACAGCGCCTACGTCAGGTACGTGCAGTACGGAACCTACAACGGCAAGCCAGCATGCCTCGTCGGTCTGGATTTTGCATTCCGGTTCCCGCCTCGGGCGGGGAGCCGCTTCTCAACCGCCGAGATTGAAGTGTCGTTTGAGAAGGCCCTCGACCGTAACGACCCGTCGGTCCGCTCGACGGACGCCTCACTGGACCCCGTTGTGGCCAATTTTGCGCCGAAGCAGATGCTTGGCCCTGCGCGGGAGAAGACGAGCAGCACGTCCTTCGGCCTCGAGTTTCCCGTCCTATTCGGCACTCCCCTGGTATCAACGGGCATCACAGCGTCTTGGGCGCGGGAGATCACCCAGAACGAGGACGGCCGGGCCGAGCTATACGGCAATTTTTCCCAGGACGACGATCACGATGACGGCGCCAATTCGGTAACCTGGGACCTCAACGAGAATCCTGTCAGCAAGGAGGGCATCTTTCGCTCCCTCAGAACCGTCGTCCTGTTGTTCTGTTCCCCTGGCGAGGCGCTCTGGCTCCGTATTTCGGTGAAACCAGTTGTTCAGTTCAGCCTCGATCCGCGGAGACTCTTTGCAAAGAAGCTCGTGCAAGACAGGGACGATCCTGTGTTTCTGGATGGGTCTACTGCGCTTGGATCTTTGCCCTCGTCGCAATATAGTGACTTTACAGACTCGGAATTTCCCTGGCAGAAGCTTCTTCAAGTCCCAGAGGCTCTAGGAGCAGTCCAGGCGTAGTTGGTGATTTGAAGGACCAAGTCAAGTCTTGGATGTCACAGTGGGACCTGCGGACGCATTCGCAAAGCCGTATCGCTGCACCTAGCAGAAGACAAGGATGTGGAGCCGCCGATTTTACAGTGCATTCTGATATGTGTAGCTTGGTACAAACAGACGGGATTGAATATCATTATTCGGTCGATTAAGTAACGTCAACCTCCCCGTCTCCGCACGCTAATACCAGAGCGATCCACGCATGCGCATGCCCAATTGCGGTCATGGAACATTGAGCCATGCTATCAATTATCAGCCGTGCTTGCCATGATCGATCTTAGAAGCTCTGGGTTTTGACGGACCCCAAATTCTGCTGTTTTTCTTGCAAGTCCTTGTAGCAAATATCCTGAGAAGGTGGTGGCGGTCTGCTCGACTGGGATTCTTCTTTTCAGGGAGATGGTTGCTGTCCAACGAAGAATTTTGAGGAGATTTGTTGCCAGTGTCATATAGGCTGTGTTCGAACACGTTGCCAGTCATCGACTCTGTTTCTGCAACAACCTCCCGTGCTCTCCGTGGCCGAGGGACTCGATGATGACTTGCGGCGCCGACTCCGCCCAAGAGATCCAACGCCAAACAACCCAACCTAACGATGAGACCCGAGCATGGTTAAGCGGGAAGTCAACAAGCTTTGTGCCGTCCGGCCCCACCGCGACCTGCCGCATCCCCTCTGGTACGGCGGTCGATAGGGACGACTGCTCTGGCTTCTCCGTATCTGGAAGCCCCAGACAGCCAGCCGTCCCTGGTCTCCTCACCGCCACATCGTATCGGCGGAAAAGTACATGCGCTGGCTCGGCTCTTGTCTTGACCGCCGCCTCACTTACTGCCACCACATTAAGGTACGCGCGGCGGCTGCACGCACCACGTCCACGCAGATCAGAAGGCTCTGAGGAACTTATAGTGGCATCAGTCCCCTCCTCTATAGATAATGTCTTGGAAGGCGTCCATACTTTTATTTTCATTTTACATCTTAGTTTAAATACTCTTACTACGCACCACTTGCACATCTAGCCCGGAAGGGTATCACAAGAATGCGGACTCCTACCTTAGGCATTAGTTCTGCCTCCACCTCCGTACGGAGTATAAAGCGGTGGAATCCCTGGAAAGCACCATTGTCAACAACCTCGACATAGGGTAACTATCAATTATTGTGTTCGCACTGGGTCCCAACAAATCCTTCTTCTTCAGTAGCCCAACCTCATGGGGGGGGGGGGGGGTGAGTCTCTACACGCGGTCATGTTGTATCCCATTCACGTTAGGGGCTCGCTTCCAAAGGGCCTCTCTGAGGAACTTGACAGAGGTCTGGTTTCAAAGATCTACACAGTTGCTCTTGGAGCACAGGGAAGCTGCTTCATCATCTATCTTGGCCGTGATGGCCTCGATCATTTTTGTAAGAGCGCCTTCGTCTAAGGTCGAGAGTCCCGTCTCTTTCCACTGACACTAAGAGCTCTGCAGACTCGTACGGCCTCCCACGAAGGCTGCAGGACTGGCTCTCGGCTCGTTCTCCTCGCGGCCGGTGGGTGGGCAACCTTCGCGGTCTCAGACTCTGTCTCGGACCCGACAATGCCTCCTACTGGGCTGCCGACGGCGCTGACAGCATATCGGAGAATCTCCCAAGCGGCCTTCAGGTATATCTGAGCTTGTTACCCAATAACGGTGTCAAACTTGTTGACTGCATCTCTCTCGGCTGCAACGGAACCTACTATCTAAGGACTAGCAATGGCCGCCACCGTCGGAATATCGCTGGTTCCGCCAAGCTGTCCGACTATCTTGACTCAGTGCAAAGTTCCGCTGGTAACCTCACGAATGTTGCAGTATGCTTTCCCCTCTGTGACCTATTCGCCTCATCAATACCTCGGTACTGACCAGATTGTGTATGCAACAGGGTCTAGCGCTGCATCCCGTCTACAAGGACACGTGGATTCTACAAAGCGCCAATGGCTTTAGCTTCAGCAACGGGCTCGACGCTCAAGCCCGCGAGGCCTTCGATAACATCCAGCCCGCCGTGGAAGCCAAGCTGCAGCGCACTTCACTGAAAGCGGCTCTCGAAAGAATGGAAATCGAGCAAATGATAGCGGAGCACCGGGCCAAAATGGAGGCCAATGAGCGGGAGCACTAGGCCAGACTGAGTGCTATGCGGCAACGCAGCATGGCGGAATGCTTGAAAATACATCAAGAGACCAATGCTGCTCTAGTGGAGACTGCGATTGCGAGCAGTCGTAGCCAGAGTGCCATCCTCAACCGGCCGTGGTGGGCGTAACGTCAACGTGTGTGGGTTATAGCGATAGCCTCTAGACTTATCACTAGCCGATCCAGCTATGTGCTGTAGGCTTTCGGTAGGTCGTTACCCAGCGCAGTTGTTCTAATATATAACAACTTGATATGCTTGTAAATCAAATGAAGTATCGAGTTGGGTTTCAAGAGGCTTGTGGTTCTTGTTGCAGCATCTGCACTATCACGAACCTGGACCCCAGGAAGACCGACTACAGATTGATCGACATGGCAATTTCCTACACAGCTTCAGACGTCTCGTGGATGCCGGCAGCTGAGTTCCTCGACTACATTGAGACGCCTGCCGGTATTGTTAACAACTCTGACTTTGCGCGCCTCGCATCAGCCAATTCTGTCGCGCACACCCAAAAGACGACTGTATAGTCAGACAAACGGAGCAGTAACCAAAAAATGGCGAGGGATGATGTCTCTCCAATCGATTGCCTCCGCAGCTTGGTCTGTTTGCGCGGAGAATGCGGGTCACGGCTGCCTCCCCAAAAGCGCCCCAATGTGGGCATCTTCCCTCCATCTCAACAGTGCGGCGCATCAACGATCACAAAAGAGCTTATAGCACAGAGAAAGAGCCTCTGCATTGAGCGGGTCTTCTCAGGGGCACCTTGGCTCATCCTGGTCGGTATGTGCTACCTTTGTCCTTCGGTGGCTTTGTTAGCTGCTGTTGGCGCTGGCTATGGTTTCTGGCGCGTGCAGAAATACTCAGCTATATACGTAGCGTCTACGAGATACAACCGCGCGACCGAGGCGCAGCGCTTCTAGGCTTCAGCGGCGTTGGGTAAGTTCCCAAGTCGGAAAACCGCCAGAGAGATGTGTGCCAAGAGCCGTAGGATATCACAGATCGCGATCCAGCATACTTATGGCACCCGTTTGATGGGAGAGGGTCGTCACAAGGCTGAGGAGTCTCCGCCGCCTGAGGCGATCACAGACCGCCAAATTACAGATAGAATGGCCGCAGAAGTTGGATCATTAGGTTCAAAGGCCTTTAATAAAGCTTTGCACAACGCGTTAGATTAATCCAACGTTGCTGTGGTGTGAAATCATGGCTATGAATTGTGTGAAGCTTTTCGTGATGTGTGCGCAGAAACGTGGTTGCACGGAAAAGTGGAACCCCACTCTACACGATGAGTCAGGTGGCGGGGTCCGCGTTCTTCGGACTTTTTGAACGGCATTTTAGCAAACCCGTGCCAGTCTCAGGCACGTTTCTCTAAATCCACTGCACTCGTCCTGAAGATTGTTGATTTCCGTGAACACAGAAACCTGAAGCCAATGTACGCTGCTACCAGGATAACAGGCACACCTATCCCGCCCAAGATGCATGCCAATTTTATGTGCCTGCCCAATAGCATAAGAAACCAGCCGTCGAATGAATGCCACGACGAGCTGCCGAGGTGGTTGAAGATTGGCGTTGCAATCCGACCATTCAAACTATGCAGTTTGGGATTGTTCGGAGGGCCGGATAGAATTTTGCTGTCGGCTCTATTGGGCAGCCGAGCATGAAGAGCACTGAATCCAGCTGTAAGTTGGCAAACTTCCATGGTCCACAAAGACAGTAGGCTTTGAACTTACGATGCAAAGTGGCCACCCGTGCTGAACATGACGGTGACGTAGGGGAGGTAGAACCAATTTAAATCATATGTCTTCAGATTTTGAAGAATATTTCCAACAAATTCGTTGGCTCTACTCGCCATCAAAAAGCTGACGGAGAAACCGGTAGGATGAGCCGCTGGCGCGACAAACTTGAACTGCCTCAACGGTCCGAGAGACCTCCTGCACTGGAGATCCATATCTAAAATAATCCCTAGACTGTTCGTAAGCATTTCATATTGATCTGCATCAGGTCAATGGTCCAGATAGAGCACTCACCACCGTACTCGTACAGTATCATATACCTCAGCGTATCCACTCTTTGAATAGGGAGCCGATAAGCATCCCACATTGGCTTCAAGTCAGGGAACTTCTCGGCAACGAATGTCGCAGCGTTCTCGTCTGTCCAGAGGTGATAGTCGAAGCCTGGATGCCAGTCAAGACAGCTCTGTCTGGCAGTGTTCCATGTCGATTCCGGCGCACGAGACCCCAGCATTATGTGGTGAAGAATAGCAGGCACGTTGTCGATGAGGCCCTTGCCGGCTGTCGTTTGGGAACTGCTATAATTGGCGAATGTGAGATCGAAGCCATCAGACTCTTGAGATATGATGAACTCGGACGAGCCATTTGGCCAGTAGAGGGGCAGTGAGATAAGGGTCCACGCCGTGTGGACAGCACCGCTGAAGTACCAAAAAAATCCTCCAGTGCATAAGAGAGCACAGAAGTACCGCAGCTTGTAAAATAACAAGAGCAACGATCTTGGATACATGGTTGCATCGAGGTGTCAATAATCGCATCAACAGAACTAAAAGGAATGCGATGTGGACATGATATTAATTTTAAACCAACCAGCCAGGCTATCACGGGACCTAGCAATTTGCGGAGATTAGCGTTTGCACTGCGACAATCAACCCCTGAGCCTTACGTTATCGATGGAATGATTATGTGCCCACCTCCACCAATGGGAGCAGCCCACTTGCCGGAAATCTTCCAGCCTTCTTTCTTCCAATCCGTTGCATTTCACGAACGCTTGCGACCGCTCAAGAGCAGTCCACGACGCCAAAACCCACACGGCGGTTTGCTCGGAGCAATTGTTGTTCTCCACGGTCGTTTCCTGATCTTCCTGCGACGAAAAGAAAACCATTAGTCCAACAAGCTGTCATACCGAGCCCCCGTGATCATGGAGCAACCAAACCTTGGGAAGCCTCAGCCCTCTTCGCACACTTGGGTAGAACCGATTGTAAGTATCGCCGCCCATCTATCCTTCGATTCTTTCGCTTTTGGTAAGAGATCGGCTGCTAACACTAATTCCGACCTGGAAAAGGTTGTCATAGGTATCATGATAGCCTCGTGTTATGTGAATCGTCAACGGCGACATGCTATTCAACCTGCAGACCGAGGCCAGGGCCTTTTGAATCGCGCAAACCTGGCCTTGGAAGACGAACCGAACGGCCTGAATATCTACGATGAACAGGAACTCGTGTTCCTTTCCCTCGCCGAATCCTCGTGGCCAATGAGTATTAGTCGAAAATCTCGTCTTTGCTGTGGTTTCAAGTTCCACATGGTCAATACCTCTCAGTTCGCAACTTATTGGCATAGCCGAGTTCTCGAAAGGTTTCCCTTCCTGGTTGAGATGTTCTACTGGGCGCTGAATTTCAGTTGCTACGCCTCCGCCAAGGCCCTGGGCGAAACTTTTTTTGCCAACGGAGACGTTTGGCAAATGGCAGAAAAGCATGGCATTGCTGTTCTTTGGTTTGAGCAGGATGGTCCTTTCAAATTCCTGTTCTACCTTCGAGAGGTGGATGTCCAACACTTTTTCATGACCGAGCATCAAGACATGTTGACATTGCTGAATCGTACCTACTCTCTGGTACACATCCCAGCGACGGTCGGGTATGTTGCACCACTTCCTTCCTATCCTTTCTGCCTCGTCAGCGATCGACGAACTATGCTGACTTGGTGCGTCTAGTTTCCTCGGCTGGTACTACTATTCCGCGCCAACTCATTCTCACTTTGCAGCAGTCCGTCGCATGATGACGCTGACAAACATCCTCAGCTTCGTCATCTTTACGTTCTGGCCATGCATGCCACCTCGACTTCTGCCAAAAGAGTACGGGTTTTTCGATACTGTCCGTCGCGAAGATGCCCAGTCGGTGTGGGCGAGCGGCAAGTTCTTCAACCAACTCGCTGCCTTCCCATCGCTGCATTTTGGATATGCCTTCTGTGTCGGTGCCACACTTATTTTCCACTCTGGCGTTTTCCGCCGGCAGGCTGGTCCCCGTGGGAAACAATTGAGCAGGGTCCGGCAAGGAGTTTTCGTTTTCTTGGGCGTATCCTATCCGGCTTTCGTCCTGACGATCATCGTGGCGACGGCAAATCACTACTGGCTAGATGCTTTGGCCGCCGTAGTTGTTGTCGCTTTGGCTTGGAAATGCAATCGCATTTTGCTAGGGCTCCTACCATTGGAGAACCTCTTTCTCTGGTGCATAAGACTCAAGAAGCCGTTACCTACAACTGGGTCCCGACTTTAGTGCCGCCGTTAACTGTTAGATAGAAATAAGTCGGCCTAGGTAGTCCTTTGAAAGTGTTGAAGATCTAGCTTACTTCTATCAATGCAGAGGAAACTATCTACCCATTTGTATATAATAATCGTGAAGGGCTGGACGAGAATTTGCTCAACAAGTACCAGCCTTTGAAATGTCTATCTAGAGCTAAGGAGGAAAAGGAGAGAAGAACGTCTACATATAAGATAACACCCCCAGTCCTTGACCACCCCTAGACCTTGACCACCCAAGACACGGACCCCTCTTCCACTTTATATCACATTCCAACCGCGTTTTCTCGCGTGATTTAGTAGCTAGATACTTCAAATTAAGAGAACGATATTATTATGCCCTTATATACAGAAATTGATATCGAAAACGCGCTCAAAGAGGTCCGAAGTGGGATCTCTTAACGAGTTACTGCTACACGCTATAGGATCCCCCGCATAACCCTTCGATACCGATATAAAGGCGGCGAGAACGTTCAAACCTCTTATAAGTATCAATAATGCCTTTCTACCCTTAAGGAAGCCCACCTCCGCGATTAGGTCTTAACCTAGCAAGCCCTAGGGCTCCCGCTATCGTATACACAACCACGAGACTTTACTACTCGAATCCTAGCTACTTAAGGCGATATACAATAACTCGGAAAACGCTAGGTTAAGGGCTTTTTACGCCGTAATCCGGAAATCAAGACCGTACGAGAAAGAGGTATAGATTCTACCCGGATTAATAGAGTAACTACTAAGACTATCTAGTCCTTCTTCCACCTTCTCGACCTCCTAACGATCCAAGCTATCCGACTAGAGAACCGATACAATACCGACGAACACGGGATCCTCGAAGGCTAAGGAAGCAACGGGCTAGTCCTTAGCTCTACAGCCAGCCAGATAGCCTTCAAAAAGCAGCCTAGATCACGTTATTAGACTATAATAATCGAATATATCTCAGCGACTAGCCGGGCGCTACCTCCGGTAGTCATCTTTAAAGGTAAGAGCGTACAAGCCTAATAGTTTAATAAGGAGCTTGGTCTAGAAGACTAGTGCTTCTTAGCATCAACCAAGGGCTAGACCTCTAATAGCCTTACGCTATATTAGCTTAAAGAGGTCTTTATCCCTCGAATATAGCCGTCTTAGCCAGAGGCTAGGCTACTCGTTATTAATAGGCACGGGAGCTATATAACTAATAACTTTATATATATATGTTATTTAAATAATATCTACTTACTCGTCTTACCGCTATATATATCGCATATCTTACAACCCCTTGACCTAGCTATCTTTAGGCCCCTGAAGACGATCTATCGGTCTAAGATCTCAAAGATTAGTATCTTATCAGATATAACGCCTCTCGGTAAGGCAGTCTTCCTCGCTACGTACAAAAAGGCCCGTAGTAGGGCCCTAACGATCAAAAATATCATAGCTGGCTGGAAAGCAATAGGGCTATAGCTAATTAATCGCAATAAGCCTCTCATAAGTCAGCTACTAGCCTAACCTCTCGATTCAATAATAACAATAGCTATAGCGCCACTAGCAGCTTCTACCTATATTCAAAAGGAGCCTAAGGAGCTCTTCTAAACACCTCGTTATTCAGGACAGCTTTCTAGGCTAGCTCGACCCTTCCTTTCCCCTTTAATAGACCGTACGACACGCCGGCTATTATTCCGGAAGATTAGCCGTAGCATTAACGGGCAGAACACCAAGCTAGCCGAGGCCGAGGCCACGATATAATCCCTTAAGCATCAGATTGGTAATCTACGGCCTAAAAAAAGAGCCAAAGTCACCTATAGCCCCAATAGCCGGTTCGTACGGATTGAACAGATTGTCGAGACTAAAAAGCGGCTTGCGCAGTAACTTAAGCCGGCCGGGCTTTCCCAATTGACTCAATCAAATGATTATAATTCCCTATGTCATGAGTGGCAGCTTGACTAGCTAAAAATCCCCTAATAATATAATCGCGATGCTATTGTGTTGAGTTTGACGCCTTCAACGGGCTTGTGTTATGCTGTATTGGGTGGTCAAGGTCTAGGGGTGGTCAAGGACTGGGGGTGTTATCTTAGTTGCTCACCGACCAAAGATATTGCCGACATTGTGCTTACATAACAAGTGATCTAGCCACGATGACCCGCGCCCTTTGGAGTGAAAGAGGGCGAGATTGTGTGGCGTCGTGACCGGACAGGGGGGCCCGTGTTACGACCCAACACAGACTGTGACAGACACGCAACATAATTTTCTCCTTTTTTTCCCCTTCGACTGACAAAGGGATTATCCTAGTCCTTCCGAAGGTGGAATGAAATTTCGTACCCGAGATTGGTCACGCAATATGAGGCAGAGAGTGACTGTCGATGAGATAGACCCTGCAGATCCTGTATTAATTGTTTTTTAACAGTGTCCTCTTGCGTCTGCGGGCCGCCAATACCTAGCCCCCCGAATCGGCTCTCCAGCGGTCTGATTTAATCGTGGTTACTGTCATCTCGTCCGCTTGGCAGGCCCCAGGATTCTGTACTGGTGTTATCGGCCACGTCACCGGCGTTATCGTAATCGTCGCTCTCGTCCTCTCTTTCTTCGGTCGCTTGGATGCCGACCGTAACAAAGTGGCCCTTTTCCTTTTCAATTCTGTAGGATATTTGGGTTAGGCTTGCGATTCAAACGGATAGCATGGCTGGTAATGCGGAACCCGAGTTTTAACCAGAGTTTTGACTGCGCCGCCGGTGGCATGACGATGGCGCACCGGGCATTATCGATAAATAACATAAAGGTACTCGTTGTTCTATTTCACGACGAGCGCGGGAGGGATCCTCCAACTTTCGATGACGAGGAGACCGTCAGAAGATGATGGCGTTTGTGCCATTGTGTGAGCGTAATGTTCATCGGCTGGTTGATCCTGGCTCCAAGTCTGCATGTAGTAAATTTAGAGAGAGGGTGAAGAGAGCCCGACTGTGACGGGAACAGGTTGCTGTACAGCACCAACACTGTACTTGTTGTACGCTTCGTCAGCAGAAAGTCGCATAGAGAACCAGGTAAGGCAATCTATAAAGTAGCACAGCGCATGCGGCAGGACGATGCAGTGCATAGCAGCTGCTCGCAGTCAACAACCCCATCATCAGAGGCTGGCAGTCAGTATCTTGGGAACGCTTGCTTGGATCCGGTGGTCAAAGACTTGCCGACATCAAATTCAAATACAAAGCCGGACCCTGTAAGCAGAAATCCACTCCCTCTATACATAGGGACTGCGAGCTATATATGCTAGCCTTCTGGTCCCAGGAGCTTTCGCCTAGTTGCGAAGAAAACAAGACACTGTGCGTCGAACAGGAGTCACGATGAAGAGCCAAACGCCCGGCTGAACATGAAGTTGTCGTGTCAGCATGATTTGCGGCGATCGATAGTGACATTCCACACCAGACAATCTCTCAAGTCCTCTACATGTAGACTACCCGCGCACCTCGACGGCCTTCTCTGCCGCTACTGTCTTTCTGGCCGCCGGAGCGGGTGTCTCGTTTTCTTGCTCGCTTCTCTGACTGCTGGCGTCTGTCGGTGTGTCCGCTCTGGACTTCATAAGCGGCCAATGACCATGAACTTCCTGATACCTCATGGTGATGAAGCCGACAATCACAAAAAGCCAATACAGATTGTAGGATATGACAGAACCATAAGTAGCGGAGTTGGTCCAGCCCAGGATGGCGTTGAAAACGCCCCAACCTGAGCCGCCATTGGTTTGCGGGTTGCAGCACTACCGCATGTCAGGGGGAATACGGCTTCAGACCGCGCCGGAACATGGACTTACGTTGACATGCCAGACACTCTTGGTAATATCGTAGGATCCAGGCCCGTCGCCTAGCTCGTCGGCATCTCCGGCTCCAATGGCCTTGGACCAAGCGTGCGCTTCAAATGACCAGACAGCGCGGGACATGAGCCCGGCGGCAACGAGGTACAGCAGACACGTTGAGGCAATCAAGAACAGCTGGAGTTTCGCCGTGGAACCTCCCCTATCAATCGTGAGCCACGTTTGTCTCGGCAGCCATAGAAAATGCAAACTTACTTATACAAGAGGTAGCCTACAAGAGCGCCCGCAAGCAGTCCAACGACCACAGGAAGAGGAACAGCGGTCGCCGGCGCCGAGAACGAGACGCCGGCCACGAAGATGATAGCCTCGACGCCTTCACGCAGCACCGTGATGAATGGCAAGATGAACATGGCGTATTTCTCGAGGTTATGCTTGATCCGGCCGCTGAAACTGACATGGGAGATCACCGGGCCTTCGACAGCCGCCGCAATCTTGACGCGCCATTTCTCCTGCATTTTGCCAATGCGCAAGAGGGCGGCACCGACGACGGTGATGATAAGGCAGGCAACCAGAGCGAAGGCGCCCTCGTAGATCATTTCGCCGCTCTCCCATGTGTTCTTGCCGGCTGTGTAGAAGGTACTAATGATAGCCGCGCCGACAACGAGACAAATGAAGAATCCGAGACCTGTGCCCAACCACACCTGCAGAGAAAGGGGAGGTCAGTAGTGCGATTTATGGTATGCGTCGATGGGGCCTCTGGATTATCACGTCGTGACAATTGGACACACCTGCCGTTTGAGCTTTTTGTACACCTTCTTGTTCGCTGCTGGCCCATCCAGCGTCTGCTTCAGAAACGCCAGCAAGACGGAGACGATAATCACGGTTTCGAGGGACTCTCGGAACACCACCAGGAATACTGGCAGGGAGAATACCTGAGCTGTCATGGCGAGATAGACTTGGGGATGGTCCGTGTACTGGTCGACTGAGGAACAACGGCTGCAATGTGGACGTCCGGTGACCAGGAAGTGATGCAACCCGGGGGGCCTTGGGGATTATCAAGGATCGGCCAGGTATCCGGCATTGGGTCTCCCGGGTGCAGAATTTGATCAGATAACGAAATGGCTGGTCGTGCCTCGAAACTACACAGTCTACACCGCACATTGAGTCATTGACTGGACGTCGGTCCCAGTTATCAATCATGAGGGCAGGGTTCCGCAACCTCCAGGTATCGACAGACACGGAAGCTCGGTTACCGGCACCGTGCATGCTCGCTCCATTCATGGTCTAGACCTTGCGCCATTAATGGCGCGAGACCAGCTTTACTTCCCGGGAGGAGGCTGCAGTCTATGAATGGACTCATCTTCATCTTTTTCGTCTTCCGGAATACCCCGATTGACAACTGATCGCCTGTCTACATCCCTTCGCTAGCAAGCGACAGACTTTTCCCCCGGGAAACGTAAATAGGAAGCTCTACGTGATTCACAATGTGCCAAGCAAGATCTGCGTGGAGTAAGAGCCCACCCAGCCCAGGAGCGGCTGAGCGCTATAATATTCACCAATCAATGTCTTTGGATGTCCGCCATGGCGCCAGTGGTCCCACCTGGATCAGACCATAGATTGCCTGATTTGATTGATAAGATATCCGAAGCAAATCCGTGCGCTGCCGAGTCCCGATCTGCCACATGGGCCACGGCCCACAGCCCACGAGTCGACGACCCAAGGGCCTGGGTCGTGAGCCCTCTTTGTCCCCCCGTTTTCATCGCGTGCCACGCATCTCACCTCCATGTCTCCAGGTAGGCAATTCTTTACAGATTGTCAATATCTACGGTGAATACCTTGCTCGACCCATGCCGTTCAACATGCGTCCTCCATTCTTCTCTCTCTTGCTGTCGCTGGTCTCCTTTTCATGGGCCGCCACGGTCACGTACGACCTGGACATTGGCTGGGTCACGGCCAATCCAGATGGACAGGCGGACAGGCCTGTCATTGGCATCAATGGCCAGTGGCCAATTCCTGTCATCGAGGTCACCCTTGGTGACAGGGTCGTCATCAATGTTGTCAACTCGCTCGGCAACCAGTCCACGTCCCTACACTTTCACGGTTTGTTCATGAATGGCACCACGCACATGGACGGGCCCGTCCAAGTGTCGCAATGCGCCATTCCTCCCGGTTCCCGCTTCACCTACGACTTCGAGGTGAGCATATCTGTCATAGTCGTCCGCTCTGTACACTAATACCATCCAGGTTACTCAACCAGGCACCTACTGGTACCATTCTCATAATAAGGGGCAGTACCCCGACGGCCTCAGAGCCCCCTTCATTGTCCATGATCCTGATAATCCCTACAAGGACCAGTATGATGAAGAAGTCGTCCTCTCTGTCTCTGATTGGTACCATGAACAAATGCCCGATTTGGTCTCCTTCTTCATGAGCAGACAGAATCCCAGTGGTGCCGAACCGGTTCCTCAGGCTGCCCTGTTCAATGACACCCAGGATCTGTCCCTGCCTCTGCAACCGGGAAAGACATACTTCATCCGCATGGTCAACATTGGCGCCTTTGCCGGGCAATATGTTTGGTTTGAAGGCCATAACATGACCATTGTGGAGGTGGATGGCGTTTACACCCACCCTTCTACAGCCGAAATGATCTATCTGTCTGCCGCGCAGAGATGCAGCTTCCTTCTTACCGCCAAGAACGAGACGGACACGAACTATCCATTCGTGGCGAGCATGGATACGGTGCGTAGTTCTACTCAGCTCTCCCCCTGGAAGTGTACCACTGAGACTGACAAGAATCGTCATTGTTTGTGCAGACCCTCTTTGACGCGTACCCAGAGGACCTGAACTATAACGTTTCCGGGTGGCTCGTCTACGACGACAAGAAATCCCTTCCGAAGCCTGCCTTGGTCGATTCCTTGGATGCCGTGTTCGACGATATGAATCTGGTTCCGCATGACGATCAGCCTATCCTAGGCGAGCCTGACCAGACCGTGACCCTCAACACCATCATGGGCAACCTTGATGACGGTGCCAACTAGTAAGTTTCCGTCCTTTGCGTGATTCACGCAGCATCGACCTAAAGTTTCGCACAGCGCCTTCTTCAACAACATCACTTATACCCACGCCAAGGTCCCAACCCTCTACACCGCCCTGACAGCCGGCGACCAAGCCACGGACCCCGCGGTATACGGCACCTACACTCACTCCTTTGTTCTCGAAAAAGACCAAATCATCGATATCGTCGTCAACAACATCGATCCCGGCCGCCACCCCTTCCATCTGCACGGGCACGAGTTCCAAGCCCTGCACCGCTCCAAAGAGGAAGCCGGTCCTTTCGAAGACTCTAACGTCACAGCAGCCTCCTTCCCGGCCATCCCCATGCGAAGAGACACCTTAGTCTTGTACCCGGATGGGAATATGGTTCTTCGCTTCAAGGCGAACAATCCCGGCGTCTGGTTGTTCCATTGTCACATTGAGTGGCATGTCGTGTCGGGGCTGGCCGCGACGTTTGTCGAGGCGCCGTTAGAGTTACAAAAGACCATTGAGCTTCCGCAGGAACATTTGGACATCTGCGCAAGCCAGGGTATTCCAGTCACCGGGAATGCGGCGGGCAATAAATTGGATTTGCTGAATCTAGATGGGCAGCCCTCGCCGCCAGGACCGTTGCCAGCAGGGTGAGTGACCTACGCCGTCTGTTGTCGTTAATTTGTTGTTTCCGTTGCTAACATCTTGGGTTCCACGCAGGTTTACGGCCCGAGGCATTGTGGCCCTCGTGTTCAGCTGCCTCAGCGGTATCTTGGGCGTTGCTGTTCTTGTCTGGTATGGGCTGGCCGGAGGGGAGAATGATCCGGGTCTCAAAACTTGGGCTGCTGATGTCGATGCTGCGCCAGAGACTCGAGTGTTGCCTCAGGACGGGGAAAGAACGGGCGATCACGGTGTCTCCTCCGGCGCAGATGCAGGAATTCGAACCTGATGCATGTATGGACGGGAGACTCACCGCTGCTGTGAGTCTCTTTGGTAGTATAAGCACAGCGATGACTACCTACCTTCGAGCATTTTGCTGAAGTTCCATCAATTCGGCGATCTAATCCTGGCTAACCTCTTTATCAATGTTTGGCTTTGAATCTCTCTCGCTTTGTGTCAAAACCCCCCTCTTCACGCCTCTACCGTTGTTTGCTCGACCTCCAGTCAATTATAGACACCATCGGGAGTCCCGAAACACAAAGGGGCCTCTAGGCTCTTCCCCACCGATTGGACGTATGGAAATTCACCCATCAGCCTCAATAGATATGAATAGAAGAATGCACAGTCATCCCAGTCACGTTCTCTGTAGGTTTGTCCTTCTTCCGCTCCTTCAGGAGCATGCCAGTTGACATCAAGGGCTCCTGCAAGGCCTACATTCCATGATCAACCACAGGTTCGTGATTTGTAGTATTGCCGGACACACAGTCTCTCGAACAGTGAGAGTTCCTGTAGGTGAATGAAGGAGTGGCAAACAGCGTCTAACCATTTTCCTCCAGAACTTTGCACGCAATCTTGTCCGTAAGGTTCTGCAACGATGTCGTGCTCTACTCTCCAGGAATGATGGCCTAAACGCTCCTCAGATAACCGACCATGCACTTTAGTCAATATCCATTGGCATCGGGTGTCCTTGGAGCAGTTTCCACGACAACACCTGTGTGGCAGCACAACATCCGAGATTCCTGCGTTATCATTCCCGTGTGAGCCGAGGAGGTCCTGCGCGCTCGCATCATTCACTTTGGCAGCGTTCTGGGCTAAAAGAATTGTCCACCTCAGATCACCGAGACTTTCTAGTTCCGCGGTGGTCATATGCTGTGGTACTCTTGGTTTCTGTTCGGATTGTCACTACACCGGAACGAGTTTTCTTATACGGATCCCTTGGACCGAACGCCTAGAACTAATGCTTGCTCCTTATTTGGTGTCACTAAATCCAGTCCTCCTATGAGAAAGCATCCTGCGATCTTACAGCTTTCCTCAATTTCTCAGGCTTTGAAGGGGGTTCGGCAATGCCAGAATGGCCCAGATATATATGTCCCTCGCCATACTTAGTGTGAATCCATGGAGTCACTACCGGCCACACCGTATCAGTCACTCTTCAAAATGGCCGCCCGGACTGGACTAACACGGGAAGAGGTCTCAGGCAGTCCCTTTCCCCACACTCAAAGCTCGGTGCATCGGCATCGGCACAGCATATTGCAGGAGGCTGAATCAATACGGAGGTCAGAAGTCGAAGACAATTGGCTCCATCTGTCCGAGATGCCCGTGAGACCGTCAATGCTCACTGCACGAACCAGGGTCCATTCAGCCTGATAACGGAGACTAGACAAATAGCCTAATAGCATCGCAAGGCACGTTCCGATCGCCAATTCGGTCTAGGTTGAAATTACCCCAGATATGGCCACCGCGACGCCGAGGTATACGTATCGCCACCGCTGTATAAGAGCCCCTGGGTGCTCCGTACCATGTGATCCAATTCCATTCACTTGACCACCGGTTTCACCGACAGCAGATCCTCACTTTCGCTGCTACCGACCTTTCAAGATGCGCATGACACTTGAGCTTGGCGGCCTGTTGCTGGCCGTACAGGCCTTTGTTGCCAGTGCGCAGAATTGTCCCTCTATCCATGTTTTCGGTGCTCGCGAAACAACTGTGGCCCCAGGCTACGGTTCCGCCGGCGCTCTTGTCCAGCAAATCCAGAGCGCCTACCCCGGAACGACGTCGGAGGCGATTACGTATCCAGCCTGTGGCGGTGGAGCGTCCTGTGGAGGGATTCCGTATGGTGTCTCTGCTCGTCAGGGAACCGCTGCTGTGGCTTCGGCTGTGAACAACTTCAATCAGCGATGCCCAAACACCCAGCTTGTGCTTGTCGGATACTCCCAGGTGGGTATTCAGGCAGAGGACTGAGTGAACCCCGCTGATCATGCGTTCAGGGCGGCCAAATCATGGACAACGCTTTCTGCGGAGGCGGTGACACTTCCGCTGGTATCACCGACCCTAGCATCCCCATCTCGAGCGCAGCACAGGCCCAGATCAAGGCCGCGATCTTCCTCGGTGACCCGCGTTACCGCTACGGCCAGGCCTACGGTGTTGGCACCTGCCGTGCTTCGGGCGTATGTTTTCTGTTGTTTGTGGTGATCAGACGACCTAACCAGCGTATAGTTTGCCGCCCGTCCAGCCGGTTTCACCTGTCCCAACGCAAGCAAAGTTCAACTGTACTGCGACTCGCAAGATCCCTACTGCTGCAACGGCAACGACGCGAACCACCATCAACAGTACGTCTCCATTTACGGCTCCCAGGCGATGAGCTTCATCCGCGCCAGGCTCAACGCTTCTGGTGGTGGTGGCACGCAACCCCCTGCTCCGACAAGCACCTCTGGTGGTGGCGGCGGCGGTGGTACCTGCTCTTCGCTCTGGGGCCAGTGCGGTGGCAATGGATGGAGTGGTCCGACTTGCTGTTCGAGCGGACGCTGCAACAAGGTGAACGACTGGTACTCTCAATGTGTGAACTAGGGGTCGTCTTGATTGAGAAATCAATTACCGATGGGGGCAGTTATTCAACGAGACAACATAGTCGTACGTGTACAGAGAGTCCACAATGTGAATGGTTCGACGTATCGTGCCGAGCCAAGCAGTGCAGCATCAAGGCGGCTTTCAGTCATGTCACAACACGGAGTATAGGTGAAGGCGAGCCTGAGGAAGCAGGGTGATTTGATCCGTTTTCGTCGGTGCTCGTTATTCTGTCTTGATGTGGAAGCCGGAAAAGGACGACGGTCGCTCATGTGCTAAAGCGTGTAGAGGTTGGTTCATGATGAACTTGGGTGACGAGTCCTCCCGCCACTAGAAGTCAAGTCGTATTTTTTGGCGGGTATCGAGTATGTGTTCGTAATACATGAGTGAGATATCGGGGTGATCGGGATGATCGTGTGTGATTTACTGTAGGAGATGGTGAGGAGAACGTGAAGTGGAGTGAGTGATTGAGAAACGCGAAGGAGCCTGGAGACGCGCCTGGCAATGTGATCATGTGGGCCACTTCCGCCACCTGCCCAATCACAGAATGGCTGGCAGAAGCTGCTTGACAAACAAGAAATATAGAAAGGTCAGGAATATGGAAATTGCTTTCCTGTATCAACCAGGTATATACAGTATACTCAACTCATGTTGTCCTTGATAGGCTCCGATTCGTTGGGTGTAGAAATAGAAGATGGCCGCCCTGCGCGCTGTCGTGGAACAACGACGTACCCTAATCTAGATCGAATTCATCCCCAAGCTTCTCAGCACATCGTCAAGTGGAAAATAGTCATAATTAGTGGTGTTATTTCCTCCTTGGCCTACGCATCATAGATCCAAAAGTTCAAAATGCCAAGAGAGCTGAATCGCACGATGATTGTTTGCCTCTGACTTCGAGTCGTTTCCCATCGTCTTCAGGCAAATCCCACCCCAGCACTTACTGCACTTGCTGACATTGTTTGTGTTTCACTTCTCAGGGGCTCAGCGTCATGAATTTGAAAGACCATTCCAAATCTGCCCGTTCCTCCAAAATGCGCGACAAACACCAACCATCACCTCTCAGCCCCCTTACTCGAGGTCGCGAACAAGGCGGATGCCAAACATGTTGGTAGCCACCTCACTAGAGGTATACGCACTGCGGTAGCTGATGCGCAAGTTTTTGGGGTTGTAATTCCACGCGCCGCCACGAACCGTCGGGAACGGGGCGGGTCCCTTGTGGATAGACCCATCGCTGTCCGCGGACGACAGAAAGGGCAGCCAGTCATCCGCCATAAATTCACGCGCGTTGGCCGTCATGTCGTACAGGCCATAGCCGTTGGGCTTGAACGAGGCCACGGGTGCCGTGTGCGGGAACCCATCCCACAACTTGTTGCTGGGCCAGCGGAAATGGTTGACCTCGGCGGAGCTGTTGTCATACGTGTTGGCGTACTCGGACGCCAGGTCAAGGGTGTCACCCCAGAAGAAGGTGGTGTTGGTGCCGCCGCGGGCGGCAAAGTCCCATTCATCCTCATTGGGGAGGCGATACACGGCACCGGTGATGGCGGACAGCCAGCGAGCATAGGCTTGGGCTTCGTACCGTGTGATCGCGACGACGGGGTAATCGGGTGACTGTGGGAACCCAGGCGACTCCCATGTGAGGTTCGGGTTGAAGACGAACCCGCTGGCGTCCCACCAGCGGGCGCCGCCGCGGGTCCTGTAACCCGTGTGCTTGATGAAGCTGGCGAATTGCGCGACTGTGACCTCTGTCCTGCTAAAGGCCAGGGGTGTGCTGATTCTGATCTTGCGCTGAGGGTACTCAAAGGCGCGTCGGTTCTCGTCCACGTTCCATTCTTCGTGCTCCTCGGGGGTAGCACCGGCGATGCAAGATCCAGTGGGGATGACGACCATGTCCGGAAGGTTGTACCCGTCGGAGAAGATGGTGCCAGGCTCGGTGTCGTAGGTGACTTTCTCGCGGCCCAGCAAAGGTTGACCGGCAGTGACGTCGCCATACGGCTCCTCGAGGTTCTCGCTCATGACCTCAATGGCAACCTTCCATTCAGCGACGTTATTTGTCAGGTACTCGTCTGTCTCTAGGGCCCCTGGCACATAGTTGGGGTCGGACGATTCGGTGACATAGAGCTGACACTCAGCAAGGAGACGATCGAGAGTTTGCATAACATTTTCCAGGCGGGAGGGAGAGATCTCGGAAGAAGCTTCGTCGACCGCGCGAAACGCTTCCATCGCCTTGTCCTGGACAGGAGAGTAGGTCTTGTAGATGTTGCCCTGGAAGGACAGGGTGTCCGCGAGAGCATGGAGACTCTCACGTACGCCATCAACGGCTGATGAAGCCGCGACGGCTCCGGAACATGCCAACAAGGCGCGAAGGGCGAATGACTTGAACATGGTGATGTTTGGTTTGAGAGTCAAGTCTGGTACTTCGATTATGCACAGGGGAGCTTTCTTTTCTGACGAGAATTTCCATTTATACTACCGGACCCCAAAAGGTTCACTCCCACGTCTGTGAAGAATTCCAATTTTAGCAAGGTAGCTACGTGTGCGTGAGGTCAATCGTAGCAGGGTGCTGATATCATGAGAATTACTAGTATGAGGTGCAGGAAGATGACGCCAAGAAAGCCACTAGAAGAAGCAAATCAAGCCACAAGTACCATTTCCGTAAGGAACACCTTGATCGACAGGCCTCACTAAGAAACACAATGTTGACTTTTGGATAGGATTCGGACCTGGTAAACCTCCAAGTCTTGAGCGCATTCTCTGCATGACTTCTTCGGTTGGGGGTTTGCCCCTGACAACACGTGTTATTTGCCGGGGCGTGATCAACGCTCATACGTCCATCTGTTCAGTTGATTACACGGGAAAAAGACGGCCTCGAACTTTGAGCCAGACTTTTCAAGACCGCACGCTAGTTGAAGAGAGATTGAGATTGCCGGCCGACGATTTGAGAGCTTGAAATCCAGGACAGCTTGATCCCAACGAAATCGCTCAGGAGATGTGGCTCAACATACTCCCAGTTACAGGGCAAGCCTTGATGAATAGGCCTTCTTCGGACATAATCTTTCACCGCCAGTGAAAACGTCGACAAATACTGCATCTGCCCTCATGCATAGCTGCACTCGTCAGTGCAATGCCCCCCATGCTTGCAGAAAAGACACCATCCTTCCGCCTGCGTGTGGGCGAACCAGCACCTCTTCCCGCGTTGGCAATAGGGCGCCTTACATCTCTTTGTCTTCCACAGCATAAAATTTTGCTCCGGGTTATCGCGAAATAGATTCCGCTCCTCATTGGTGTGTTGAAAACTGCACTCGCCTCTCTTCCGGCAGCGAATCCGGTCGGGACATTGTTGTGTCTGGCGGATGGCGCGACGATGGTCCTTCGCTGGGTCGGATCGACTCACTGTATGCCAGCCCTCACCTATCTCTGGAATACTATCGGCGACTGGGACGTTTGTGCTTTGCGCGTGTCTTCGCGGAGGTTCTGTTCTGCGAGGGGGCTCGGGCTGCCCTCCGACGGGCTTGTTGTCCACTTGCTTCGCATCGTTGGCGGAGGGGTGGCTGGGACCATCTGTCAGCGGCTTGTACATGTTCTTCCTTTCCACCAACTCGGGCGCCTTTCGATTGAATCGCTGAGCGTATTCAGGCCACGATATGACCGTCAGCATACCGTCAAACAGCTCCCGCGACTTGAAGATCATGTCTTCGATATGAACGACGTTGGGAAACTCCACGAGTATCTCGGCTGTGGATTTGGCTGGACTTATATAGAACAAGCGGCGTAACTGAAGTAGCTCCTTGCCGATACAATCGAGCTCCTCAGCAGCTGGCTCGTCCAGTCCGCACAGCACCATGGTTCGCGCAGGATCAACTGGCTGCGCCTTGTTGCCCTTGCGAGTCGATCTGAAATTGGTGAAGAAGATGTTATTGAATTCCTTGTCCAGGTGATGGATCGACAGCAGACCTCGGCGATCGTTCTGCTCAGTGTAGTACTCCTTCGCGATGCCGTTCTTCCAACCCCAGAGCTCCACCCGGATGTCAGAGTCCAAAACCTTCCTGACAGGCGGCAGTATGTCGCGGTCTCCCGTGATGACGATGAAAACCGTCCTCTCCTTCCTCTGATGGACCTCGGTGTCATAGCGAGCGGCTACGCCGAGTTCGGTGGCTTCATAGACAAGATCCGTTGCCAGCGAGTTATCCACTTCCTTCTCCTTGTTTTGCGAGTTGCGGTTGTAGATCTTGGTCTTGAACTTGAATCTGTTCTTAAACGCATTCCACACGGAATCGTTGGGCGGCGGCCGCGACCCGTACAGGAACGAAAGACCTTGTGTGCGCGATTTGCAAAGCGTGCTGACCAGCCTCCCAATGTCAATCCGGAGACGTAGGTCAATGTCGCTGTCCTCCAGCTTGGGCATGTATTCATTTCCAGAGGCGGCGAACTTTTGTGCCTCAATCCAAATGTTGGAGTCGTCCACGAAGAACATGCACGTTTCGTGGGACTCGTCATGCATCGTAGCCATGCGTGCAGGGAGATGTCCTGGACCGTGGGTTGAAGCGAGGTCTAGGTGTGAGAGATTGGAGGCGCTGTGCGAAATGCGTTGAATGTATAGGAGCCCGCACACGTCGGAGCATTCACGCCCAATGGCCAAGGCAATTCGAGCCTGATTGTCGCTGCAGGCCTCCATGCATGGCGACTGGTGTCTTGCGAAACCCCGCGTACCCGCGCCGTGCGTGGCCCTCGGTGACGTGACGTTGGGATGGCGAGTGACGATGATTGACCAGACACCAGCCCCCAGTATTGACTTCACTGCGTTCCCGCGCCCAACCCACATTCCCGGAACATTGCCTTCTTCCAGTCCCGATGCTTGAACCCGCTCACAAGGATCCGGGCGGTGTACCATGTGACCTATCAAACGAAACCAGGGAGGGAGGGATCCCAAATTCCCAAGATGTCCGCCGTCCTAGAACTTTGGAAGAGGGTGACCCTCTCCGCAAACTCGCCATCGGCGCCAGGGCAACAGGGGCTGCGCCAAGATCAACGTCAAGTTCGAGCTGTCCACGTCTCAGAGCTGCTAAGCGATCGCTGGAAGATCTTGTGGCGCGAGAGCATGTACCACGACCTGTCGGATGCTGTTGGTCATGGTCACTTGTGAGTTTTTTCTCGTGGAGGAGCCATGATTCTTCAGAACGCGAGAACAAGGAGTGCACAATCAAAGAGCACGACAATATTATTTCCAAGGTACATGAACCAAACTGCAATGTTGGCTACCTTAAGCACCACAGCTCGTAAGAGCCTTGCCAACACCGTGTCCACTCCTCGCGGGTCAGCCATAAAGTCTTTGTCTTCCGTTCGAACTCCGACAGTAACTTCTTCTGGTTCTGGATAGGTACCTCCTCCCGCTTCTGAGGAAGCACAGAGCCATCCCACATGAATCGATTGGAGAGGATGCCGACCGACATCTTCTCAGCGACTGCCTCCCACTGCACCCTTCCACGCATCGTAGGGCAGTTCATGTCGTCGCACCATGTGATGCCTCTTCCTAGCTCGTCATCTCGGAGACCGTAGCTTTGTGGATCGATGTAGACTGGCCAGGTTCCGTCAACCATTGTCTGGTCGCCCTCTGCCGACATGGGCATCCGCATACGGCTCTCGTACTTGACTCTCCGGTATCTGTCTCCCTCGACCAGACCGTCCATGTTCTCGAAGTAGAGGTGCCGCTTATGATCTAGATATAGTGTGCGGTTTTTGAAAAGGCTTTCGTGAGTGACAGAGCGGATGTGATGGGAAGTAAGGTGCGGAGGGCCCAAAGCCTCGGGGCAGAGGGCGTGAAGATCATCCAATGTCTTTTTGCAGACCTCGAACCCGTCTAGCTCTTGCGTGTCGATTTTGATGACAGACTCCCATGCGACGTTGACGCATAGTTTGCTTCTGCCCTCAAAGACTCTGACTGTGAGGCTGCCAAATGGGCAACGGTCTGGTTCGGGGGTATCGTCTTGATGAGCAGGATGCGTGCTTTTGATGTAGACACCATCAACTTGCCGCTTTATATGACTGATTGGCACCGGAATATCTTCGTCAAGGAACTTTTGCCACTCTCGCAGGTCGTCGAGAGTGATGTTCCAGTGGGGACACAGTGTCCGGTAACCTTGGCGTGCAACACAAGTCCGTATTGTGGCATCGCGTTGAGATGGACTGAATTGGACAGCGGGATGCTCTTTGTTACAAGCATGACACTGGAGCGGGACTGTGAGGTCGAATAGGCGCAGGATGTATGCCTCGTCGTGTGCCGTTTCGCTACACCCGCGGCAGCGAGAAGACGGCGGCGGCGTCTGCATCCAGTGGTCCAACCTGGCCATAGCACCCCGGTCATCTTCATCGATCGACGGCTGCTCAGGTTTGGTAAGAAATTGTACCACTAGAGGAGTTGGTCACACTTGGTTGCTTACGTCAATTTCAGCAGTAAGGTCGCGACCAGCTTCCGAGATACTGCTGCCAGGTTCCTCTACAACATCCCGCGTGTTGTTCAGTGCACTTGGCTGTGCTTCCACATCTGGCGACGAAGTTGGCTGGCTCATGGCTGTGGTTTCCAGCTCATGCTGGTCTTCAATCTGTTGGTATCCGAACCAACGATTCCTGAGTCGGGAAAGACCGGGCGGCTGCAGAAGGGAGCGTGCGCTGGACGTTGCTTTTGAATCATCATTGTCAGTAGGTGGGGTGTTTTCTTTTCTGCTTTTTCCGGAACGAGTGATGGTAATTCCACGAGGGAACCCGTGAGCTCCGTCCTTGTTTCCTTCCATCTCGCGGTTCGTGTTTGCCTCGAAGGGTTGGATCTTGGAATAGACGGCAGAAATTCACTTTATAGAATGATCAAGGGTAGTCGTAGGAATAGAAGTAGGAAAACAGAGTGCTGCATCCAGTCAAGGTTGGGAAAGAAACCAGGTGAGACGAGGTGGACGTCTTGATTCTGGAGTCACTGGAGTCCCGGCCACTAGTGACTCGGGCAGTGGCACGTAGTCGAAACACGCACTGTGTACACAAGTGTTCACTCAAGCTCTGTTTCTTTTTGAGTGGCGGCAAGGCGTGGCTTGTTTTGAATCATTAGCCAGTGCATACTAGGAGTACCTGCCAACCTAGTTAAGTACTATGTAAGCAATAACGTACGCGTTACGAGTGCAACCTTACAAGGTGAACTTACAGGTACAGTACAATAAAGCGTCATGCTAGTCAAAACTCAAAGCTCACAATTTCATACGCACTGTGGATCCGCCAACTTACTAGAGACATCAACTACCAGGTAGTTCACACAGGTACTGCAGGTAAGCACACTTAGAAGAGGCTGGCATTATTGATGATAGCAGAGTCTTCAAATGCTTTCCTTTTTTTTTTTTAAGTCAAGCGTCCGTTCTTGGGAAGATGATCCGGGATTATCCTCACTCTACTGGAAGTTCACACTAGTTCACGGTTCTGATCAATTCTTGGTTCACGTTTTTGATCAATCATTGGTTCACGTTTCTGATCACTTAGTGGTTCATGGTTCTGATCAATCTTTGTGCCTAGTCCTGTTCCTGCATTCGGTGGCTTCCATCGACACTTGCCCCCAGCCATGAACCTCCTCCCTCAATCTCAACATCTCGGAAGCCTCGGGCCCGCCACATGTATCACTGCCTTTCGATCGCACTGGCAGTTTAGCCGGTGAATTTGGTCCCGGAATTGAACTCGACGATGGCTCGGGAGGTTACTTCTTGGGTGACTCCAGCTCCTCACCCGAACCATCACTCTCTGTCGCCGGTGCGTCGCGAGGTGTTTCGTTCTGGGATTCGGGCTCAACTGCGGGGGGCTTAGATTCGCATCGGTAAACCCGCTGCTCGAGACAGTCGAACCGCTTGTTGAGAAATTGGCTGTAAAGCAACATTAGCTTCCGCAATAAACACGCGCAAGAGGCGGGGAGGCTTTACTTTGTCTGGGCCAAGTCCTTGAGAAACACATTCTCGTCTCACAGGGACTTGTTGTTCTCTCGCAAAGACCGACACTCCTCCTTGACCGTGCCCATATCCTTCGTCAAGGTGGCCGAGTCAGAGTCCGACTTTTCCGTGTTCTCCTTGACCAGGTTTTCCAACTGCGCGATCCGGGAAGAAATAGTTTCCTCCGACTTCTTGAAGTCGTCTCGCAGAGATGGACACTCACTCTTGACTGTGTCCAGTTCCTTCTTCAGGGTGGCTGACTCGTCGCTCGAGATTTGTTGATGCTCCTTCACCAGGTCTTCCACCTCCTTCATCCGGGACAAACTGAAGTTTCATATAGAATTAGGAAGTTTTCAACTTCAACATCAACATTAGGCAAAAGACTCACAACTTCTCAGAGTTTATCCACTCAGCATATGCTTCGGCCAACTTGTTCTTGAGAGCAGTGTACTCCGCTGCCACCCAAGTTCTCCAGACGTTGCCAGTAGAGTGTTTGTGGAGGTCGGAGGGAAACACAAAATCATACAACCAAATCAGAAGGCCCTTCTTCTGCTTCTCCGGAGATTCCCTCACCGTCTTGGCTCCTTCCGCTTATTTCTTTCCTCATTGCTGGCAGCGATCGACTGTAGTATTGGCGATTTGGAGAAGAAAGGTCAGCATGGACGTTATTGCCGTAGACCATTCTTGCCACTCCATGATGGCGTTGTACAGGAAGTGAAGTTGGAAAGGATCAGCTCTACTGGGAATGAATGAATGGTGCTTTTTGCTTGAGACGTGGTCATGCAGAAGACTAAAAGAGTCTCTAGTCTAAAAATTTCTCTGCGTGAAAACAGCTTGGGCATTCACCGTCTGACAACAAACACAGCCTTGCCTCAACTTCAGCTCAGATTGCAATCAGTCTGCCTGCGTGACTGCGAATGGCTCCACCCACGCCCCTGGACTCTTGTGCAACCTGCTGGACTCAGAGGGCAAGCGATGAAAATCTTTGCTTCTTAGCAATGAATGATATGCACCTTGGTTCTCCTTGAGCCTTTGGTTGGAATTATCTGTCTGCACAGTCGGTTTGGGGATGTCAGTATCACCGAAAGACTAGAATGTGTGTACTCAGTGACTGGAGTCGGCTCGGGCACACAACCTTCACCAACGAATGGTTTCCTACCTATTTTGACGCATGTCAACCTTTATTTATCCTCCGGACTGAGCCAAACCACCTCGTCATATTCACAGGTCTCTCGTTCAAGGAAATGGGTTGCCTATTTCTGAGCGCATTGCCTGCCTCGGAGGCCCCTCCAAAGAACTGCGAATACTCTTGAAGTCTTCAGTTCCCTGATCCCTACTTGCACTGGAGGATGGTACTTCCAGCAAGAGCCTCGAGGATGACAGTATTTGGGTGATATTTGGAGCGAATATGAAGTCTCCTTTGGATCCGGATCTACGAAAAAGGGACTACGGGCAACCCAATTCATCTAGAAGACCGCCTAAGCCTTTTCACATTAGAATAAAAATCACCCATCAAGCTGACGTTTCTGTGACTTTTTTTCAAGCCAGAAGTCCTCACATGAACCGGTCGTCGCTGTGATCTGTTTTAACGATCTCGCCGAACCTTGAGTCCGGAACCCCGGGTCTCTCAATCCCAGCGCGGCGGTCGTTGAGGGAGAAGAGTCCAAAAAGAGGATTCATCGGTCACGGGGAGCTTTTGAGTCGGCCATCCATGAACTAAATCCAAACGCGCTTTTGCTCATTTAACAACATAAACTGACAGCGGTGATCAATCACCGGCGTCCCAGGGCTCTTCCGCCATAGGCGATGAGAGGCCTCTGTCCTCGCAATGCCCAGTTACACTGACCATAGTACTGCCATCTACGTGCAACGCTTCCGTCAAACAGGTGTTCCAACTCCTGCTGATCCTGGACAGGCACCTGTTCTCGAGGACCGGGGTTCTCAAAGTCACCCCAGAAGTTACAGCGGGTGAGATCATCCAAACTCAGATCTAGGCGTCCAGCGAGCACCTCCCAAGGGATTCTTCCCCGCATTGTCGCGCAGTCCACATCGTTGCACCATGTGATGCCTCTTCGCAGATGGTCTTGTCCAAGGCTGTAGCTGTCTGGGTTGAGAAAGGCTGACCACAGGTAGATGTCTGTCAAATCGCCCCCGGCTGACATGGGGAGCATAAGTGTGTCGGCGTAGAAAAGCTTGGGTGCACCACAAATCACGAAGAAACCCTGGCCGACCCTGGAATTCAGATCCCCGATTGGACCGCCCAGGTTGTCGAAGTAAAACGTAGACTTTGCGGCTAATATGAGACCGGCAGTGTTGGCGTGTAGGTTTTCAGGTGTAAGGGACATGATGTGGTAGGGCGAACGAGGTGCATGGCCCAAAGCCTCAGGGCAACGTCGGTGAAGCTGTCCAATAGTCCTCTTGCAAGCCTCAAATCCAGTCTACCATTGTGAACCTAAAGCGGGTGTAGTTCCCCACCTGGATTCGACAAACAATAGGTCGCCGCCCTCCCCGAAATAGAGTCTGACATTGGCTATGGGAGATCTATGCGATTTCTGGGGCACCTAACAATCAGTGTGCCCCAACACAACTCCATATTTTTGGCAGTCTCCGGAATGTCTTCGTGAAGGTATCTCTGCCAGTCACGGATATCGTCGAGAGTGACCTCCCAGTGAGGACATAGCATGCGGGAGCGTTGACGCGCGATGCATGTACACCGGACCTTGTCAGCTCGCTCCCTTGCGGTGAAGTGTACAGCACGATGCTTCGTGTTGCAAGCGTGGCACTCGAGGGGATGTGAGATCGAAAATTCGGACCCTGTACCCTTCGTCGCGTGACGCGTCGCTGCACTCCCGGCAGTAAAAGGCCGGAACTGCCGTGTCTCCCTCGGAGCCGGCCTCAGGGGCAGCAGCCGGATCTTCGTTGGCCGGTTTCTGAGTTGGGACAAAATTTCTGTGTTATGGTCTGGGAGGAATCGAGCGCTCGAGGTACTCGAGGTCGCCGTTTTGTTGGGATCATCCTCTGTAGTTGTGTTGCCCATGATGCGGTCCAACTTGGTGGGTCAAACGCCGAAGAAAAAACAGGGGGGTGGCCAGAATGTGTCAAGCTTATTGTAGAATAAAATCTCAGGAAAAGAGAGTAGTTTGAAGACAAAGAACCGTAGATAAAGTTATAGTGAGAAAAGCGAAAGCAAACGCTAGGAGAAGTCAAATAAGGGGCCTGTGGTCATATTGCACATGGGTCCCTAGTCAGCTGCCGACACATATCAGGACTAGCCTATCTTACTATTGGGAAACATGCACGTTGCCAAGCGGTATCATCTTTGGTGTGTTGAAGCAGCGAACTGGGTGACCGCAATAATCGATTAAAGCTGTTCGTCAATACTCTTGGCGTATCTGTGTCTAGTTAAGGTAAAAGTATACGTTAGCTTAGACAACATTTCTTTCATCTGTTAAGCCGTCGAAGCCATAGCAGGCTTCGACTCAATGATGAAATGTGATGTTTTGCGCGTCAACCTCCGTTCGCACACCATTCTCAGTGTAAAACCGACGATTTGGATTCATTCAATACGCAGCGCGTTGCCCTCCCAGATTCCGCTTTGCTAGTGCCAGCACATCTCCCGAGCATGCCCACGGCATCCAAATACTTCATATAAACTGGCAGTCGGTCTGATCTGTCCTGACGACCTCCTCAAGACTTGAACCCAGAATCCCGGCTCGCTCAATCCATGCCTGACCGCCATTAGTACTCGCTGCCTTCTCTTCCCAGGGTATAAGAGTACTTACATCCAGAACGGCGTCCTCCAGGTGCTGCTCCCTGCTCAATACGAACAGGGTTGTAAAGTTGTTTGACTGGACAATGGCAATGTCATCGGCAAGGTCTGCTCAGTATCAGCGTGGAACACTACCCCGTCCCGATCCAACAGAACCCACCCTGCACGATGTAGTTGGGACCAGCGCAGTCGGGGGCAGGCTGCCCGGGGAACTGCACCCTGAACACGCCCTGGGCACCATACGCGGGGTCCGCAGGCGAAGCGGCGCCCAGGATGTTCACAGCGCGGCCCTGGGCTTCGCATGTGTTGTTGACCTGCACCGTACCATCGGTCTTTGTGGGGTCAGTAATTGACTGTTGCGTGCAGAAAGGGGACATGCATTTAAGGCATATTGCGCGTAGATGCACTTGCAGCCGGCGGTGAAGGGCGCCAGCGTGCCGGCCACTTGATACCAGCGTCCGAGGTACGGCTCGAGCTGGAAGCCGGGGTCGGCGGTCGGATAATAGCATTGGCCATCCCACAGTGAGGGGACAACGTTGGATATCTGCGTCTGGTTGGTCGTGGCCGCCGCAGACACGGTGCTGGCCTGGAGAAGGGCGGTGGCACTTGGGCGCATGGTGGGTGAGGTGGTGGTGGTGGTGGGATGGGTCGAGACTGAGAAATAAACTTATCCAGGATGTGGCGCCTTGGTCTCCGTGTTCCAGCTGCAATGTCTTATAGTCATGCGATGGGAAATGTCGCACATCTTGGCGTTCCGAACACCGAGCCCGAGCATGGGGAGACGGTTGGTTGGCATGACGCCAGCTTGATGGTGTTCCCGGGGAAAGAAATGGGGGCGTCGGCACTTGAGAGTCGATGACGCAGGCCTCACAGGGGCTGATACAGGGTTGTTAATTGCCAAGACGGCACTTGCAGCCACTGCTGCCTCTTCTGGTCAGTTATTTGAGCTACCCTGCACACGGATGACAGGATGGTATCGCGTGGTTCAGTACTCAATGAGGTGAGTATCAAGGTGAATGGCTATTTTGCAGTAGTGAAGGCAAGGTAATTATTTGGTAGACTGAGAATCTAGTTTGTTTAGTCAATTGTTTGGGTGCAGTCTTGCAACTGTACTCATATTGTCCGTGAAGCACAACAACGCGAATGAACGCGCACGGCAACACCGCCATCTAATTTGCTCAACAGATCGAGAAAAGAGGTATCAACCAATCAACGAAGCTACAAATGCAGCTTATCCGAGAAATGCAACGACAAACCCGCTTTCGCACCGGCGCCACCCATCAAACATTGTTGTCGGCGCAGCTAAAGGCCTGGCCAATCTGCCCGCTGGCGTACGCGTCAATAATGGACTGCACCGTGCCGTACGTGCCGCCGATCGTCAGGAACACAGCCAGCAGGATCATGAGCCAGTTGAGCCAGTACGCAAGGACCTGCCACCACGCCCCCTTGCGGTAGTGCTGGTGATCGTAGATCCAAAGGTACCCAGGCAGACCCAGGGCGAGGGGCGCAAAGGTCAGGCTGCCGGCCAGGGCCAGCAGGTAGTTGAAGATGGGGATGCCGGAGGCGAGGAGGAAGGCGACGACGGACATGCCAAACGTGCAGCCGAGCCAGACAGACCAGTGCACGACGCTGTTCTTCTGCAGGTGCGGCGAGTCGCGCAGCATGCGCACAAAGAGGTACTTGGCCGCGACATGGATGTACAGACAGGCACTAACCAGCAGGCCGATCAGACCGACACCGTAGGCCACGTTCTTGAGGGTGTCACCCGCGCTGCCCAGGCTTGGCGAGGCCACCCACTTGCCGCAGTAGGCGTACACGACGAGGGAGAAGGTGAGGTAGGACGCGGTTACGATGCCCATGCAGAGATAGACGGCCTTGTTGTAGTCGCGCGGGCGCCTCATCTCGGAGATGACGGGCAAAAAGGCGGACGTGCCAGCGCCCGAGCAGAAGATGGTGGCGACGGACGTGATGGCGCTCACAAAGGTCGGGTTGCCGATGACGCGGTATCCAAAGTCGTAGTCACCCGTCTGAGGGGCGGCGGCCGGACGATCACGCTGCGTGACGCCGACACTGGGAGAGTTAGCGAGGAGGACAAATCGAGAGAGGGAGGGAAAACATACACGACTATGAAGACGGCAATGTACACGGAGAGGAAACCCGCCCAGGTGAGCCAGGCAATCTTCTCAAACTTGCGGGCGCTGGCGAGGATGAAGACGGCAATGGTGCACACGGCCATGAACCAGTTTGTGCAGATGGCGTGGTTGGAGAAGACGTTAAGGGCGACGGAGGAGCCAAAGATGCCCGCGGCCCCGACGATGGCGTAAGTCACGAGGAACAGCACGCCGACGACTTCTTTGAGCCATACCCCGCCGACGACGTTGGCCATGTCGGCAATGGAGTGGCAGCCGGCGTGGGCGTTGCGAAAGTTGCCCTGGATGATGGCGCAGTACGTGTTGAGCGCCTGCCAGCCGAGGACGTTGATGGCGCCCGGCAGGGCACCCAGGACGTACATGGCGGAGGGGATGGTGAGCACGCCGACGGCGAAGATGACTGTCGATGTGAATTAGCTGGGAGGTGGGCAATAATGAAACAAGAGGACCATACCCTTGAGAAAGATGACCGAGGCCTGGATCCAGCCGACGGTGCGAAAATCGACGGTGCCCTCGCCTCGTTTGAAGACCTCAAAGTTGTCCTCGGCGTTGGCCATCTTGCCATCGTCGACGCTGCCGCTGGCGCTGCGCATGAGCGCGGGCGCGGGCGAGATGCCCTCGTTCTTTTCCGTGTCTGCCATTGGTGGTGGATGTAGGAGGATCAAGTTAGACTCTGCTCTTGGTGGATGTGTAAGCGAGCTCGTGATAATGGGAGCAGATGAGGCAGGCGATCGTCGTTTGTCTTATACAATAAGCCACCGTCAGCGCGTGAGCCATACTCCAACGACAGATGGATAGCCAGAGCAGTTCTCCCCGCCTTATCTCTTGTCTCGTGCGTGTGCGCGTGGTACGTACGGAGCTAGGCAGTGGGTATGGGGTTTGTTGTCGGTGTATCGTCCAGGCCTGCTGGATCTCAGGAGAGGTTATCAGCAAGAATGGGTCAGATCCCCGGGTTTCTGGACGCATGAAGTGGAATGAAAAAGTGGACTGTGGCAAGGCTGGACGCGTGTGATTTGATGCAGGTCTGGAGCGTTGGAGGTCATATTGGAGACTAGTCTCCCAAGACCGAAGGGTCTTTCAGATACACCGCGCTTATCGTGGGGTAGCAGCGGGCGTGTAGGCAGTTGGAGTACTCTTGGAGTCAGAGATAACCTGAAAGCTCGTGAGTCGTGATGTGGCTTGACGTGGCTTGAGGAAGTTGAGATTGGAGGTGGTGATTACTGATATTGGGGTTGGATCTGGGCGCCAGCGTGAGCTTGGAGAGACACCTGGAAGAGAAGACGTCTCATATGGGATCCTGACTCGGGGAGCGAGAGAAATGTATGAAGCTCTACAAAATGGCCTACTAGTACTGCGTGGTGTCTATCAAACGGGCCAAAAAGGAATTGCACTGTGCTCTGAATATGGCTAATCGGCGTACATGCGCGACATTATCAGCACCTCGAAGGCACAGCATCACTTCGGATGGACATGAGAAGGGTCAAGACAAAAGATTCATCTACTTCAACATGGCCCCTGGCGCAGCAGGCATCACCGCCCCGTCGGGCGCCTTGGCCTTTGCCTTAAAGTCATCGCAGATCTCCGCCATGGTCACAAACTCCACGCCCTCATGCCCCTTCATGTACTCAATCAAGCGCTCATGCATCAGGATCGCATGTGGCCGTCCCGACACATCCGGGTGAATGGTGATTGGGAAGATGAACTCGTCGTACTCCCTGTAGAAGTAGTCGAAGTGATCGCGCCAGATGTCCTCCACGTCGCGGGCGTTGACAAAGCCGTGGCTATTGGGCGCCTTTTTGATAAACATCATGGGCGGTAGGTCGTCCAGGTACCAGTTGGCGGGGATCTCGACGAGGCCCGTCTCCTGGCCGCGCACGAGGGGCTTCATCCAGGCATCCGGGTGCTGTTTGTAGTCAATGGGCGTCCAGGTGTCCCCTGTGCGGAGGTAGTAGGGTTCGCAGTCCGTGTGGCTCATGCTGTGGTCGTACTCGATGCCGTAGTCGAGCAGCAGCTGCGCGCCCTCGACGGACGTCTCCCACCAGGGCGCGACGCTGCCCCGGGGCGGCTTGCCAGCGAACTCAGTGAGCATCTTGTACGTCTTGTCGAGGATGACGCGTTGCTGCTCAATGGTCATGTCTGTCGGATTCTCGTGCGAGTAACCGTGCAGGCCAATCTCGTGGCCCGCGTCGCGCACCGCCGCCATTTCCTCGGGGAACGTCTCGAGCGAGTGCCCCGGGATGAACCACGTGCCCTTAATGTTGTACTTATTGAGCAGCTTGAGGACGCGCTGCGTGCCCACGGTGCCGGCAAAGTAGCCTGTATCGTCAGACAGCCTCGTTTATACAAAGGGACGGACACACCTCTGCTGATGTCGTTGGTCGAGTCCTCGCCGCCGTATGAGCCTAACCAACCGGCCACAGCGTCTACATCGACGCCATAGCTCACGAGAACGCGCTTCTTGCCCATGTTGCTTGTCTTGTCTGTGTGCTTTGGAGTAGGTGTCGATGACAGCAGTGACAGTTCGGAGTGAAGTCACAGCTGAGACGTGGGAATGGCACGATGTCATGACGCTCCCGAGTCCCGACCTCGGAAGGGTCCCCGAACTTGGCGGGGAAGCTGATCGTGCTGTTGGAGACGGGAGCTGCTCCAACTGTCAACGACTCCAAGATGTCAGTTCGGGCTGCATCATGATGATGGAGTCAAACGGCGGGGAAGGACGCCTTCGAGTTCCACTGATTAGATGTCCGTGATTGCAAGATGGTATCAAATTACCCCAGAAAGATCCATCAAAACCGAGATACGGGATTTACTCTTGATAGGGTCATAGTTATACCAAAGATCACAAAGGCAGAACTCACAGCACAGGCAAGCAGGACTGGTAGCAGACATGGCTCACTCGGTCCCTCCGACGATGCGCGCAGCATACATCGCTGAGGTATGTCAAGCCTGCTGGAAATATTGTGATTACACCAATCTCACACTCTCAGTACAACAAGCCCTATGCTCATGACGAGAGCCGAGCAACGCCCAAGCCTGGCCCAGAGGACCTCCTCATCCGCGTCCACGCCGCAGGCTTCTGCCACTCGGACGCCCAAGCCCTCCAAGGCCAATTCCGCACACCATCACCCATAGGCCTCATCCCCTCGCACGAGATCGCCGGCGTCATCGCCACCACGGGCGCCTCCTACCAAGGCCACTTCAAAGTAGGTGACAGGGTGGGCATCCTCAACTTCAAGCACGCCTGTGGCACGTGCCCCGGCTGCCGTCTGCGCAAGCGCAGCACCACCTCCAACGATCCGCGATTCTGCGATAACAGAGAGACGGCAGGCTTTCTCCACGATGGCGGCTTTGCAGACTATGCTGTTGGAGACCCCGAGACGACCGTCCGCTTGCCCGATCGCATGTCCTTTGCGCAAGCCGCGCCGCTCATGTGCGCCGGCGCCACGGTCTGGGGTTCCCTCGAGCGCGCCACAGAGGGTCTCGCCAAGGGGGACACGATAGCCATTGTCGGCGTCGGTGGGCTGGGCCATTTGGGCGTGCAGTTCGCCAAGGCGCTGGGCTTCCAGGTCATTGCTGTGGACAGCAGACAGGCCGGTCGCGATCTGGCCATGGAGACGGACAACCGGTCCCTCCAACCAGATCTAGTGGTAGATTCGTCCGACCCCAAGACGGCGTCGGAGCAGATCTATCGCTTCACGAACGAGGAGGGTGTCGCGGCGGCTGTGGTCTGCACCGACTCCATCGCCGCCAACCGATGGGCTCTCCAACTGCTCCGGATTGGAGGCACGCTCGGTCTGCTGGGGCTGCCGCCTACGCCGTGGCAGTTTGATGCCGATGTTATCGTCTTCAAGGAGCTGTCGATTCGGGGTAGCTACGTCGCTGGGCGGGACGCCACGGAGCGCATGCTGCAGGTTGTGGAGGAGGCTGGGGTGCGCAGCCAGATTACAGAAATTGGATACGATAGGATCCCGGAGATTATGGAGTTGTACGAGGATAAGGAGTTCAAGGGGCGTCTGGTTGTCAACATGGCGGGTTAATGTGGGAGTTGGAGGTGTTGGAGGAGGTGGTTGGAGACTGGTCACTGGAGTAGGATGACAATGAATGCTCCAGCACCGCTCCAAGGCGGGCTTATCGGAGACGGTGTTCTCAACCTTTGAATTGGATATGAACGTCGTCTAGGATTGTAGTAGGAACTTCCTCAGATCCTTGGAGTCCATCGTCCGCATACAAAGCCTTGAATCTCATCGTTAAACGTATCGTCACCCACGCAAACACAGGACAACAGCCTTATCGACCATGTCCGTCTTCTTCAAGGAGATATCGCCGTACGTCCAGCCGCTCACTCTGTGCTATGACTTGTATTAACACAGTCCAGAAACAACCCCGTCAAGGATGGAGACGTAGAGTCCCTCTTATCGCCTCTCCATATCTCAGTATCACCTTCAGAGTCCCAAGACTACACAACGCTCCTGGCTGCTGTCCACGACTGCGCAGAGCGTATAGAAAGTCTGCCAGATTACCAGCCTGTTCCAGACACAGCCCGGTTCCCTCGCAAGAACATCCATCTCCCCACTCCGTCGGAACAGAAGTATGGCGCGGCATGGGCGCACAAGTTTACCATCCCCGGTGACGACACGTCGAACTCCGATCTCAAGGGCAAAACCGTCTGCATCAAAGACTGTATCGCCGTGGCGGGCGTTCCGCAGTTCTACGGTAGCGACGCCTTTCCAGCATGGACGCCCAGCACCGATGCCACTGTCGTGACACGAGTTCTTGAGAATGGCGCCAGCGTCGTGGGGACGGCAACGTGCGAGAACTTTTGCAACTCAACGTCGAGCTTCACATCCGCCCAGGGTACAGTCCACAACCCGCATCGGGAGGGCTACTCTGCCGGTGGCAGTACCTCTGGTGGCGCGGCGCTGGTGACGGGGGGGCTCGTTGATCTCGCCATTGGCACGGATCAGGGCGGGAGCATCCGCGTCCCAGCATCGTTATGTGGATGTGTGGGTTTCAAGCCGACGCATGGCCTTGTGCCGTACACTGGCATCACAAGTGGTGACCAAGTGGACGACCACGCTGGCCCGTTGGGGCGGACAGTGTCGGATGTTGCAGCTTGTCTCGACGCGATTGCTGGATACGATGGTATGGACGACCGATCCGTCGCTGCAAAACCGCCCGGGTCCTACGCCTTCTCCAAGAGCCTCTCCAGTGGCAGTCATCGCCTGGACGGTGTCAAGATTGGTGTCTTGAAGGAAGGCTACCAGAGCGAACTCGTCCAGCCAGGCGTGCATGCTGCCTTCTTCTCCGCCGTCCAGCGTCTCCAAGCCCTTGGCGCCACTATCGAAGAGATCTCCATCCCTCTGCACAAGGAGGGACCCTCAATATGGACCATCCAGCAACGCATCTCGGGCGCAGCTGGGATCCTAGGCCACGCACATGGACGCAGGGGTCTCTACCTCACCGATTTCGAACACACGCGTCTGCCGTGGACAGCCGCCAACTTTGCCAAGCTCTTCCCATCGACCAAGAACACCGTTATCAACGGCCTGTACCTATCACAGCAGTTCCCCGGCCTCTACGCCAAGACGATGAACATTGGGCGGCAGATCAGCGACGCGTACCAGCGGCAATTCGCCCAGTACGACGCCATCGTCATGCCCACGACGCCCTTTGTCGCCCCACGGCACGGGACGAGGGACAATGTCCTCAAGAGCTTCGAGCCGAGCATGGGCATGACGACCAACACGGCCGTCTTCAATGTCACGGGCCACCCGGCGCTGTCCATGCCCGTTGGCTGGTCGAGGAGTGTCGACGGCGAGGTCGAGCTGCCTGTTGGCCTGCAGATTGTCGGTGGGCTATGGCAGGAGGACAAGGTGCTCGGTGTGGCGGCGGCGTTGGAGGCGAACTTTGACTGGAGGGCTACCAAGGAGAAGGTGCACGTGATGGAGGCGTGTCTTGGGGCACAGGAGAAGCTCAACGGGCACGAGCCGTTTGTGCGGGAGGTGGCAGAGCGCGTTGAGATATCCACATAGATAGATGTGTTTGAGCATTTTCTTAAATCACTCTCGGCTACTGATCCTTGTGATTGTCTTCTGATGGGCTGCCTTCTATGCTACTTGACTCACACGAGGCACGCTTCAATGTCAGAACCAAAGACCCTAGTTAATGGTATACCCTCCATCCACCACCAACGCATGCCCCTGCACAAACGCCGCCTCCTTGCTGCTCAGAAAGACGACCGTGTCCGCGATCTCCTCGGGCGTGCCCATCCGCCCCATGGGCGCAATGTCAATCGCGCTCCTCAGCCTGTCCTCGACCTCCTGGCTACCCGTCGTCATGGGCGTCGCAATGACTCCTGGACACACACAGTTCACCCTAATCTGGTCCCTTGAGTAATCAATGGCGTCCGCGCGCGTCATGTTGATAATGGCCGACTTGGACGCGCAGTAGGCCGCCGCCGCCGGACGCGCGACGACGCCCAGCTGCGACGCGACGTGCACAATGGCGCCGCGCTGCTTGCTGTGCGCGTCCAGCGGCGCCTGGGCAATCATGTGACCCAGCACGGCGCGCGAGACCAGCCAGGTGCCGCGGTAGTTGACCCGGTTGATCTGGTCAAACTCGTCCACCGTGGCCTCGTGCGAGCGCAGGCCCTTGCCGAGGATGCCCGCGCACTGGACGGAGTAGTCGACGCGACCAAACGTGCCAATGGCGTCTTTGACGAAGCGGGCGACAAAGGATTCGTCTGAGACATCGCCTGAGGTGGAGAGGATCTCGGCGGATGGGTTCAGGGCGCGCACCGCGTCGTGGGTGGAGGACAGGGACGTGGCGTTGAGGTCGGTGATGGCGAAGCGCGTGCATCCGTTGACGGCGAATGCCCTTGCGACGGCGGCGCCGATGCCTGGCGCTTCGGTAAGTCTTGGATCTCTGCTCTGATGCTCGAGACGTACCTGTCCCACCAGCGCCTGTGATGAGGGCGACCCCGGGTAGGCGGGAGGAGATGGTCATTTTCATCCGCTCACGACAGTGTCTCAAATTCTCAATCGAGATCCGTTGAGTACGTGCAGCCTGGCTTGAATATTCCCACCATGGACGTCGTCAGCACTGGATATGCTATATTCAAGTTATCTCGACGGCCTCGCATTCACAATTTGGCCCCATCGTGGACCTCGAGGCTCCCGATGTCGCGTGCCGCCTCCAACTTTGGTTGCGACCCTGCCCCATCTAGACATGCATCCCGCGTACGCCCGACGCATCCGTCTCCAACGCATCGTCTCCCACTGATCATCTCTCACTGGACCCTTTATCAATCACTATCATCCTGATGCATATACAGCGCTAACAAACCTAAAAGAGCCGACGCACGAGTCAGGCGTCTGCGACTCCAACTTAAGCCACAGAGACCCCCGTCCGCCTCTCCATTCCGGCATTTCCCAATTTTTTTCCCTCCCCCTTCCCACAAACATCTCCAACAACTCTTGTGCTCACGACGACTCCATGGCGTAGATGGGGCACGCCACTGTCAAATCACTGAATCATACTGCGTTGTCACGCGTTGCCTTGATGGGGGCGCGGCGACACGATGCTCGCCTCTCCAAATAAGCGTCGTCGGATGAATGGAGATGTCCATGGGGCCCTTGCTGGCGCTGGAGCTGGGGCAGTAGGCAATGTCCGCATGTGTCCCCATTGCGGACGCACGTTTAAGCGGACGGAGCATCTGGAGCGCCATGTGCGAACGCGTGAGTGATACCTAATTACCCCAGAGAGTTCGTCCCTGACCGACCGACCTCTGCCCTGTGGGACTCTGTTGCGCGCAACGTCACCTAGTCTGCATCATGTGCTGATGGTAGCCAGACACCAAGGAGAAGCCCTTTCTGTGTCACTGTGGGGCTGCCTTTGCGAGACGTGACCTCCTGACGAGGCACTTTCGCGTCGCGGACCATGGTGAGCAGCCCACGCCTTCGGACAAGTCGTCGGGCAGAGGGACGCAGGAGCCGAATGTCCACATGGACGTGAGACCTGGGCTGGATCGACACGACACGGGCGAGGCTGATATTGCGGCTGCCGTGTCCTTGTCCGGACTCAGTGGTGATCCATGGCATGCGCAGCAGGGACCGCCTGCGCCTCCGCCTCAGCACGAGATCAACACTGGTCTACCACATCAAGGCCTCCAGGAGCAAGGCATACCTCCTCCTCCGTCTCTGCACAGTCAACAGAGCGGTCCTCTTCCCCACGAGGTGCCGCAGCCGCAGCCGATAGCACAGCAGCCCATGCCAGGGCCCCTCGATGACCAGAGACGCAATGGGTTCATGGACACGGGCCAGTTTGTGCCGGGCGTGCTGTCGCCGCAGCTCTTTGACGGGAGCGTCGACTTTGACCCGCACTTTCGCGAGTTTGCCAACTTTCTGGACGGCGTCGGCCTGCCCACCGAATGGAGTCCCTACTTCAACAACCCGGAGAGCACCATTGACCCTGGCCTGAAGGAAGACGGCGGCGAGGCGGCCTCCCCAAAATCGGGGCCTCGGACACGCGCTGGGACGCCCTTTAGCTCATGGCTCCCGTCTGCGCCGACGGGCAACAGGATAGCCAACTATGTCTCCATCACCGACAGTGCGTGCTATCACCCTGCTCTCTCTCCTCGGCACCCTCCTCCCAGCTAACACGGACGCGCAGACCCACGAGCCATTGACCCAGAGACACGCCCCTTTAAGATCACAGAGGACCAGCGCAGCAAGCTGCTTGGCTCCCTCGAGCCACTCGCGCCTCTCCTCCCACCTGGCTTCCGCCTCCCCTCGCGTCACGCCCTGACGCGCTATATCACCTCCTTCTTCGAGGGCTTCCACTCCCACATGCCCTTCATCCACCCGCCGACATGGCACGTTCTCGAGCACCCGCTCGAACTCATCTTGGGCATCGCCGCCATTGGCGCGCAGTACTGCTTCGAGCACCGCGTCTCAGGACGTCTCTTCTACTCGGGCAAGGCCATCCTCATGGAGCGCCTCGGTCGGGGTGCCGATGGTCTCGGACCCCGAACGCGCTCCTTCATGACGCTCAACTCCCCCGGCACCATGGGCCTCAACGGCATCGACGGCGGCATCAACGCCGTCGAGACGGTCCGTGCGCTCATCACACTCATGGGCTTCGCGACATGGGAGCCCACCTCGACCATGGTGCAGGAGTCGTTCAGTCTGCAGGGTCTGCTCACGCACGTCCTGCGCGACATTGGCCTCGACGAGACGGAAGCTTCGTCACCAGAGTCGAGCGCCGCCCCCGAGGGCGAGGGGCTCGAGCACGAGTGGCGCGCCTGGGTCGACGCTGAATCGCACCGTCGCACCAAGCTCATTGCCTTTTCGTTCCTACACACCCACAGCATCGCGTACAACGTGTACCCAGTCCTGCGCAGCAACGAGGTGAATTTAAGGCTGCCTTGCGCGACCAAGGAGTGGAAGGCGCCCACGCCCCAGCTCTGGCACGCCGCAAGGCGCGAGGTTGGTCGGCAGCAGCTCTACTTCCAGGAGGCGCTGAGCGTCCTGCTGAGGAACAAGGAGTGCGCGGCAGCCTTGGATCCCATCCCCACGCCGCTGGGCAACTATGTCCTGCTGCACGGGCTTCTGCAGCGGATACATATCGTGCGGGACCTCAGCCTGCCAGTGATGAGTAGCTCTGCCGCGCTGCCGGCGGAGGAGGTGGAGAAACTGGAGCGTGGTCTTCGCTCATGGACGTCTGGGTGGCAGCAAGCTCCCGAGTCGACACTCGACCCGAACAACGAGAATGGACCGATCCCATTTACGTCGTCCTCGCTGCTCGCGCTCGCGTACGTCCGGATCTACCTCCACCTCGGCCCCTACCGACACCTCGAGACGCGTGATCCGCACCGCATTGCGTCGGCCATCTTCCAGAGTCCCGACATTGAGCGCAGCGACGGCGTGATTGCCGCGCTGCTGTATACGGCGCACATGATTAGCATACCGGTGCGCCTGGGCGTCGATCGCGTGGCACGGAGTCAGGCGTTCTTCTGGAGTGTGCGGCACAGCCTGGCGAGTCTGGACTGTGGTGTCTTGCTGAGCAAGTGGCTGTCTCGGCTGGGCGACACGGTGGCCTCGTTGCCTCTGAGTGGTAGGTCTTTCTTTTCCATTGAGTGATCATTACTGACAGCCGCAGACAGCGAGGATCGCATCCTGCATTGGGTCCGCTGCATCGTCGAGGAGGCCTACCAGGGCGTCGACTTTCACGAGGAGCACGACATTCCCCAGTTTCTGGATTTCCGCGATCCTTCCAACCTCAGTCTGGCGGTGATCAAGATATGGGCGCACTTTTTCAAGAGTAATACCCAGTGGCCGTTTATCAACGTTATCGGCCAGAGTCTGGAGCGGTACCGCGATATGCTAGTGCAGAAGCGGCTGAGGGAGATGGCGAGGGTGCAGTGACTGATTGCATGTCTGATGATGAATACACCAGCTTATCTTTTGGAGGATACGTTTTGTGAGCGACGCATGTCCCGACCGTCAAGTTGCCCTCGATTGACATGACTAGTCGCGTGCTAGATGCATGTAGCAGACACTCAAACTGTCTGTCACCCCGTGTTCAAGCTCGAGTCACATGCTTCATTTTCTCCCTGCGTGCATGCGGGTTGGCAATACCAATAATGAGGGAATGAATATTTGCCTCAAGATCGGGGAACGGGAGGCTTGCGCCTTTTCCATTGATGTTGTTAAGAAGGGAGCGAGCCCATCGTTTGTCCCTCGACGCTTGACACGACGCAAACATCTCGACCAAGCACTCCTCGCCAGCTCTTCCAATGAGCACCTCCTATCTACATATTTCGGTTTGATGACAATATTTCCTCAAAACTCGATTTCACCTCAAATGTTAGGCCTCGACCTGATTCGCCAAGTATTCCTGGTTTTCATCCCGCCGCTGACTTCAAGATCTACCAACTACACGACCAAGTCCTATCAGAAGTCCTAAAAGCAACTTGAAGTTTCAAAAAAAAAAAAAAATCCAACCCGCGGTGACTGGTTCTTGAATTCACCCTGCCTCTGACGAGTTACTCAACCAAGCAAACCATGAGGTCTCACAGGCGAAGTGATCGCGGCGTTCCAGGCAGCATCCCGAGCTTTAAAAGCTTCCAATCCAAACACCATCCTTTCCCCTTTCTTCTCTCCTCATCAGCTTTCAATTATAGAAGAGACCTCTGGCTTCTGGTTCTCGAAACAATCGAATCCAGTCTCGCATCCTCTTCAACACCCGCTCCCAGCTCCTTCTCACTTTGCTCTCAAGTTCTCCACATCGACCGCCACCGCTTCTCACCTTGACAATGACGCCCACCGACAAAGACAAATCCGACACACCCATAGAGCAATACGAGTCCTTCACAGCCTCTCTGGATTCGGATCTCCTCGACTCACTGCGCGAGTCAACCACTGTTGACCCATGTCAACCCAGCAGCAGCAACAACAACAGCAGCAGCAGCAGCACCAACAACCGCAATATTCCAACTCACCTTGGACACCCCAAGTATGCTCAGCCCCCTCCACGTCCTCCAACAGCTACAAACTCAGCTAGTACCCTTCGTGCGCTCTCTCAAACAGGCTTCCATCCCATCACAATCGACCGATCCATCTGGTCGCCCCAGGCCAACGAACTACCAGCGTCCTTGTCACTTCTCAGTCCAGCTCGTCCAGTCGATGCTAGGCGACGAATCAACACTATGAGTTCCGAGCTTCCTGTGTTGAGTACGAGCATTTGATTTCCTCCCCTCTCCTTCATCATGACTAACATCCCACACCAGCTGAATCGGGCTCATCCCCTCCATCCCGTCCGTCACCACAGGGTGGCATGGTTCATACTCCCGCACGACAAAGCACACAGCTAGCCCCTGGCGGACGTCTCGGTCAAACGCAGCCATACGAAGGGCAATCAATGGCTCGGATCCATGGGGCAGTCCCCAGTCGACAGTCTACCTTCGCCCAACATTGGCCTGCGCTCCTGACGGCCCTGACATCACCTACCAATACTGCCCGCCCTCTCTTTTCCACCACCGCAAGCTCGATCCTGGCGAACGGGCAAGCCATACCGGCGCTGGAAAATATCTTGCAACAACGCATGCGGCTCACACATCCCCCTCCTGTTCCTAATTCCCCACAGCCCCCTTCTACCCATCAACATGGCCCTCCTCCACCCATGTCCACGCGCACATTCGATCATGTAGCACCTCGTCGTCCAGGCCAACGTCAGTCCTACATCCCCATGCACGCCGTCACGAACCCAAACAGCCGCCCACCACAACCCTTAGCCCCCCACCGCCCGGTCCTCCCCGGAACAGCCATAGGGGGTCCTTCCGGTCCGCTGTTCGCCTTCTCGCCCGCCTACCAAGGCCAGCATTCGCACCAGAACGCTTCAGCCAACATCCCCGACACCCTCAACTGCGCCGTCTGGGTGCGCAACCTACCACCGGACGTGACGTACCACGAGCTCCTCTCAACGGTCCGCCACATTGGCCGCGTCTGGTGCAGCTACATCAACGAGCCCGACTATATCCGGCACACCACCGCCGCCGCCAAAATTGTCTTTTTCCGACCGGTCGCCGCGCAGCGGTACCTTGTCCACATTAACTCCATGCGTCCCGCCATCCGTGGCTTTGCCGTGCGCGTGGCGTACAACCGCGTCAAGATTCCCGCGCAGCCGGACCACAACACGAACCATAGTCGGTGCATCCTCGTCACCGGCACAAAGGCGTTTGCGCGGTGGGCCAACCTCGAGGCATGGTTCCAGCGCCTCTTTGTGTTTCAGGTCGACGAGGCCTAGGATGTCGACGTCGCCGGCGCGGAGGATATCGGAGTGGTGGAGGTGCGCTTTGGGAGTTTTCGTCACCAGGCGTCGGCGGCACGCCTGGCGCTCAAATATGAGAAGCCACAGGGATTCTACAAGGTCGAGTACAGTGCTGATCCGTGCGAAGTCGGTGTCGAGGTTGCCCAGCACTATATCATGGCGATTGCCCTTAGGCGCATGGCTGGTATCATGGACGAACACACGCCTGGTGGGCGTGGTTAATTTGGCCTTGGACTTGGCTCCGCCCTTATGGGCGTGTGGCTGTGGTTTAAGTGTGAGGACGAGGTGTGATATTGAGCGTGGCTCGATATTCAACAATGGAACAATGCAGGACGATGCTCACGGCATCTGGCAAACCCGGTTTACAATAGCCCAGCCGTTCAAAGGAGCAGCTACACAGATTGAAAGATGGCCTGGCCATGGTTTGCGCGGGAATGGGACCCTCTGAAATCCCTGCCATAGACTCGTCTTGATCAAGAAATATGTTTTGAATATCTTTAGATAAATCAGTATTTCCTTTTGAAATAATTTATACAGTTAATCCTATGAATGTACAACTGCGGAAGCAGTTTCATCCCCCAACTCACTACTTCAACTCCGCCTTTTCGTCCTCGTTGTGCATAACAATGCCGTCGTCTCCCAACGCCGTCTTGCTGGGCGCCTCGCCAGGAACTCCCATGCTCTTGTCCCAGTGCAGCAGGATCTTGGGCCCGGTGAACAGCTTGTCGATCTGCTCGAGACTGAGCCACTGGGTCTCGGGGTAGCAGAAGTAAATGAGCGGGATGAAGCAGAAGTTGAAGACGCAGAAATAGACATATGTCTTCCATCCGATGCTGTCAATGGACACGGGCGTGATCATGACCACCAGAAACGTGAAAACCCAGTTGGACGCGGTCGAGAGAGCAGCGGCGCGGGTTCGGATCGCCAGGGGCGCGTACTCGGCAGGCACTGCTGATGTTAGTCTATAGATCATGTCGGAGGGCTTTCGAGCAACATACATAGCCATGGAATGGCCAGCAGACCCACGGCAAAAAAGAAATTGAAGAGGAACAGCATGACGGTGGCGACAATACCTGCCGCAACTCCCCCGTCTTGGACCGTCCCGGCCAATACGGCCATGCAGCAGCATTGCCCGGTGGCGGCAAACAGCATGAGCTTTCTTCGCCCCAACCTGTCAATGATCCAGATGGGAATGAGAGACGAAATGAAGTAGGCGATTCCGTTGAAGCCGGCCAGGAGCAGGGACATGTCGTGGGACATGCCCATGGACTTTTGGAAGATGACGGGGGCATACTATGATCTTGTCAGCAACATTCATAAGACGAAGTTATGAAAAAGAACTTGCATAAGTTATCAAATTTATGCCAGATATTTGTTGCATAAACTGCCCACCAATTCCTAAAAGTGTCCTGATAAGGAACTTTTGCTCGCCGTTCTTGAGGATCATGGCGAAGCTGCCTGCCTCGGCGGCTTCACGCTCCTCCTTGACGGTGTGCTGAATCTCGGCCACAGTGCGGCTCAGGTCCTCGTCGTCAATGCTCCTGGTCTTGTAGTCCTTCTGCAGGGCCCAGAGGATCTGCCTGGCCTCGTCGTGGCGGTCGTGCGCAATCAGCCAGCGCGGCGACTCGGGCAGGACGAGTATGCCGACAAATGTGACAATGGCGAAGTAAATCTGCAGCGCGAGCGGGAAGCGAAACTGCGCGTCGTTTGAGACATAAGACATGCCGTAGTCAACCCAGTACGAGAGCATGACGCCAAAGATGTTGATGGCCAGCTCAATAGCGAGACCGCGACCACGGTTCTTGGCCTTCATGAGCGCCGAGTGCCAGACGGGGATGGTGCTCGTGTTCATGCCGTTGCCGATGCCGGCCACGACACGACCGACGATCATCTCGGGGATGCCAAAGGCGGCGGCCTGCAGGACGGCGCCGATGCTGAGGATGACACAGCCGAGCATGACGCACTTGCGGCGGCCGATGCGCTCGCCGAAGAGGAAGCAGCCGATGGCGCCGAGAAAGCAGCCGATCTCGTAGATGGCGACCACGAGACCTTGGAGCGTGGGCGAGCCGTTGCCCGTGTCGGTGGTGTCGATCTCGGGAAACGTCCTAGTAAAGGCGTAGCCCGTGAGCAAGCCGGACATGACGCCCTGGTCTGCGCCCCAGGGTCAGCATGGTCACAGAGGGAGGCAGTCAGGGGCAAGTACCGTAGCCGAATAAGAGGAAGCCGCTTCCTGCGGTGGCCGTGATGGCCCAGTTGAGGACACGCCCAGTGAGGATGGTCATTGTGGTGTGGTGTTTGTGTGGATGTCGTGCGTGGATGTCATGCGAGCCAGAAGCGTGTGAATGGCGGACATGAGTCTTTTTTTACTCTTTGTGGCGCTCGGCGATGAGATCCCATCACTATGGATGCTTGCAGGATGTCGGACTGTCTTGGTGGGTGTTTCTGCCCTGCGGTTCTGTCTTCGCGTGCCAGACTGCCAGAACAAGCCTGAAAGCCTCCCCACATGGGGTCTCCAGACTCGGAGTCCAGCTGGGGCAGCACTTGCCCCTTGGGCCTTGGGCCTTGGGGTTTGTCATTGTCGAGAAGAGAAGGGGGAAGCGAGAGGGATGTCGCGAGTCAGTGGGCGCCACTGAAGCGTCGGAGCGAAGCTGGAAGCGGCTCGCCATATGGAGATCGTGTCCGCATAAGGTAGTTGTTGGCGAGGTGGGCGGCATCGTGTTGGGTGGAGGTGAGGACAAAGGCTGAAATGGAGAAAAGTTGTGCGCTTGAGACTTCTTTGTTTGTGGGGGAAGAGGTGTTGGAGACGCTCAGAGGCAAGTCGACGCGCCACGAGGTTCCATCGATGATCGCGTGGTGCTGCCGACTAGGGCGGTCTAAGTCTGCCGCGTCCAGGGTAGTCTGCATGACTTGGCCTTCCCTTCGGCTATTCCTACCCAAGACGAAACTAACATCATCTCCATCGCGTCCACCCCCCACAACATCCACATCTTCATCCCTTGCTCACTCGCCATGCTTGCCTCGCCATGGCCAAGAATCGACGCACGCGCACAGGCTGCCTGGGGTGCCGACGCAAGAAGCGCAAATGCGACGAAGTCCACCCCCGATGCGGAACATGCACGCGGCGCGACGAGCCCTGCCACTGGGGCCTCAAGGTCACCTTTCGGGAGGAGAATGCCCTGGGGCTCGACGAGATGCACCCCAGCATGCGCAAGAGCCGTCTGCGTCGCGCACGTGGCGGCTACGAGATCCTGGACGTGACCGGCGAGGTCATCCGTGATCATGAGCGCGACGTCGAGCTGATGAGAGATGATCTTGTGAGGGACGACGACGACGACGACGACGACGAAAGGTCCCCCCTCACACCGCAGCATACCGACGTCGCCGTTGCCAATCTCATCCATCTCAGCCGCGGTGGACGCCCTGAACCCGTGGACGGTCTACTACCGCCCTTGGGCGATGATGACCTACTCCAGTTCCCTCCGCCCTATCTACAGGTCTTCACACCAGAGGGCTCTCTCGAGGATGGCGTCTTTATGCCCGGATCAGCGTATGCTGAGCTACACACCACGCTCCGCCACCACTTGATCCAGGAAGTCCGGTCCAACGTACCGACACGTGCGGCGACACCTGAAGACCAGCCTCTGCCCGACTCATCAGAAGACTCAGCGCGCGCCTCGACTGCCCCCATCGACGCCCCTCTCCTCACCAGTGAAGAAGAGATAGTGCTGTGGCGCAACTGGATCAACGAGGTGGCGCCGTGGCTCGACAAGTTTGACAACCTTCGTCACTTTCAGAACATCATCCCCTGCATGGCCTCGTCGCATCCCCATCTGCGCTACGCCATCCTGGCCCTGTCCGCGCGCCAGATCGAGCTCAAGGAGACCACACGGGCCACTGGTCAGAGCCTCTCGCTCTACCAGCAGGCCATTCACCTCCTCCTACCCGAGCTGCCCACACGAAGCACGGCCGTGATTGCGTCCTGCGTCATCCTCTGCGTCTTGGAGATGGGGTCCTGCTCCCCCAAGGCGTGGCGACGCCACCTCGACGGATGCGCGAGTCTCATGCTCGCCGTGGGCATACACGGCTTCGTAGGCGGCGTCGAGCAGGCCCTCTTCTGGTGCTTCGCGCGCATGGACGTCTGCGGCGGCCTCATCTCCTCCGTCAAGACCCTCATCCCCATCACGCACTGGGTGCTGCTGCCAGGGGGTCCCGATCTCGAGGCCACTGTCCAGCTGTTCAAGGCCAAGCAGGAATTTGACGAGTGGGCCAACTACTCGGCCTTCCTCCTAGGCCAGGTGCTCGACCTCGTGGCGCCCACGCCGTCCGCGCCCCTCGACACGCCGTCTCGCACCGATCCCTCGTTCCGGGCCCGATGGCTACAGCTATGGAGCTACCTAATCGAGTGGCACACCCTCCGCCCGGCGCCGCTACATCCCATCCTCACCATCCCCTCGGCGCATCCGTTCCCCAAGATCCTCTACTCCAATGGGGCCGCCATCTCGGGCAACCAGCTGCACCATACCGCGTCCATCCTCATGCTGCAGGCCCAGCCGCCCGGTCTGCGTCTCACCCCGAAACCCCGGAGCATCCTCTGGCACGCCCGTCAGGTCTGCGCCATCAGCATGAGCAACGACCACCACGGCGCGTGGACCAACTGCGTGCAGCCGCTGTGGATTGCGGGGCGGTGCATGAGCAGCCGGGAGGAGCACCGGGCCATTGTCGAGTGTCTGGAGCGCATCGAGCGCGAGAGCGGCTGGAAGACGCAGTGGCGCGTCGATGACCTCAAGGAGTTCTGGGGGGACCTGGAGTGAGCTGTCATTTATCCGGATCGTCAGAATAAGAGAGGCGCCATTGCTACCCCGTGGGGATTTGCTGGAAGCGCGCCACTGAGAAAAAGTCGGCAATATGTCCGCACTGTCGATCATACGGCAGCGTTGCATTGCAGCTTGACCACGCCCCCGATTGGATGGGCTATATCATCGTCAGGCCCTGGTCTCGTATTAAGCATCGGATGTTTGACGCTCCCTTAGGGTGACTCGTTCCGTCGAGGGGATGTTTTATGCATATCCAGTGGAGACAGTGGGTGATTGGGGTAGGTATAAAAGAGTCGACTCAAAGGAGAACCTAGGAGGCACGACAACAGACAACACAGACATCATGCTTCTCCCCAACATACTCGCCCTGGCCGCCTTGGCCAGCCAAGTCCTGGCGCAGCCCGCCCCGTTCCCGCTCTCCTCTCTGAAGCTGCTCCCCTCTCGATGGATGTCCAACCAGGACCGCACGCTCAGCTATCTCCTCGACGTTGACGTCGACCGTCTGCTGTACAACTTTCGCGCCAACCACGGCCTCGACACCCAGGGTGCCACTGTCAACGGCGGCTGGGACGCGCCCGACTTCCCCTTCCGCACGCACGCCCAAGGCCACTTCCTGACGGCATGGTCGCACTGCTGGGCCGTGCTCTCGAACGAAGACTGCAAATCGCGCGCCGAGTACTTTGTGCAGGAGCTGGCCAAGTGCCAGGCGAACAACGAGGACGCTGGCTTCGGCACGGGCTACCTCAGCGGGTTCCCCGAGTCGGAATTTGACAAAGTCGAGAATAGGACGCTGAGCAATGGCAATGTCCCATACTACGCCATCCACAAGACCATGGCCGGCCTGCTCGACGTGTACCGCCACCTGCAGGACGAGACAGCCCTCGAGGTGCTCGTCAGCATGGGCGACTGGGTCGACGCACGCAGCGCTGCCCTGAGCGAGGCGCAGATGCAGGAGATGCTGCAGACCGAGTACGGCGGCATCAACGACATCTTTGCGCAGATGTTCCTCGAGACGGGGACGGCCAAGTGGCTCGACGTGGCCCAGCGGTTCGACCACCACCGCATCTTCGACCCCCTCGCCAAGGGCCGCGACGAGCTCGCCGGTCTACACGCCAACACCCAAGCCCAGAAGCTCATTGGCGTCTGGCACGAGTACGAGGCGACCAACGACACGTACTACCTCGACGTGGCTCGGAACGCGTGGTCCCTCGTCGTGCACGCGCACTCGTACGCGGTCGGCGGCAACTCGCAGGCCGAGCACTTCCACGCCCCGGACGCCATCTCGACGTACCTCGATGAGGACACGTGCGAGACGTGCAACACGTACAACATGCTCAAGCTGACGCGCGCGCTGTTCACGCACGACCCGGACGGCACGACAAGCTACTTTGACTTTTACGAGCGCGCCCTGCTGAACCACCTGCTGGGCGTGCAGCACCCGCAGAGCGCGCACGGGCACATTACCTACTTTACGCCCCTGAATCCGGGCGGCCGTCGTGGCGTCGGGCCTGCGTGGGGTGGTGGCACGTACAGCACCGACTATGATAGTTTCTGGTGCTGCCAGGCGACCAGCCTCGAGACCAACACCAAGTTCATGGACTCCATCTACTGGCAGGACGAGGATGCGCTGTACGTGAACCTGTTCATCCCGTCGCAGGTGCAGTGGGACAATGTCACGGTGCAGCAGGAGACCAGCTTCCCCGTCAAGGACACGATCACGCTCACGATTGATGGCAATGGTGATTTCGAGGTACGCCTCCGGATCCCAAGTTGGACAGCCGATGCCGCATCGCTCAAAATCAACGACGAGGTCAGCGATGTCGTCCTCAAAGCAGGGCGCTACGCCTCCGTCCAAAGGACATGGTCGTCCGGGGACAAGGTGGAACTGACGCTACCTATGGATCTGCACACAATCCCGGCCAACGACGACCCCAATATTGCCGCGCTGGCGTACGGGCCGACGGTGTTGTCGGGGAAGTACGGTGATCGATCACTTGACGCGCTGCCGGTGCTAGATGTGGATAGCGTCAAGAAGGTGGGTGAGGAGGGATTGGTGTTTGAGGGCAAGGCGGACGGCGAAACGGTTGAGCTGGGCGGGTTTTATGATGCGCATGATGTGAACTATAACGTGTACTGGCGGCTGAGCGAGTAGGGGACTGCCAGGGGAGCATGAATGGCGTGTAGTAAATGTCATATTCCATTATATATCTATCCGTCTGTCTGTCCACGCTTTTCATGAAACCATCACTAGGGTATACCTCATGCTCCCCCATGACAATGTGCCCAACACTCCATGCGCCAAATCGATTCAAAGAGGATACTCCGCAGACCCTTCAACTTTTCGCCTCGCTGCGACGGGGCGTCGCGTAGCCTGTGCCGACGTCGTAATAGAGAGAAGTGGCGGCCGTCACGGACTCGTGGTGCTCGCGGGCCATCTGTGCCACCTTTCGCCAGGCGCGCTTCCCGATGTCGCGGGTCTCTGAGTGTCCCTTTGTGGACGATGCCGACGAGCTGGGGGCGATGGAGGCTGTGGACACTTGAGGCTTGGTTGCGTCCTCCTTGGCGCGGGTGATGGTGGATACAGAGGAGACGGTGTCGAAGGACTGCCGGGTAGGCATTTTGAATATTGGCTGGGGGAGGGCGCAAGGTGGGAGTTGCTCAGCTCAGATGCGGGTAATTAATCTGATTGATTGATTGATTGATTGTCGTTTGATTGATTGGATGCTTTGGTGGTCTCTTGGGTGGAAGATGTGAATGATGAAGTATTGATGGGTTGCTGAACAGCTGTGTCTATGGTCTTCATATACTCCAACCATCATCAATGGCGTGTCATTCTATGGACCTTGACTGGACATGCCAGCGCCTGGTCCATCGAGTCATCAGCAACAAGGCGCACGCGACGATGTGAGTAATAATCAATGGATGTCGCAGCAACAATGCCACAGGCAGGGCGCATCTGGGCCAGCTGAGAAATGGGACTTGTCGACCAGCGCGCCTTGCGTGTCCAGTCTTCTCCATGCGGGACCGTATGCGGGGGCTCCAGCGTCCAGACGTGCTGATGTGACCATGATCACATAATCGACCAACTAGTCTGGAGAGTCAATTGCCCTGTGCGATATTGGAGCGAATTGCCATCAGTCATCGGTCACGCCAGGCGGCTGTCGAGGCTGAAAAGGGTGCGTGCGCCCTTTGGGTCGCGCGTGTCCACCATGTCATGTCGAATCAGTCAAAAGGACCCAGAGGGCGTCGAAAAATGCCGCCGCGCTTGGCAATTCTTTCCTGCGATGTCGGAGTTGGACGGGTCGGTCGCAGAGCAGACAGACGTCGCGCTGCTGGATTGAATCCTCACCTCGGTTGCAGTGACAGGCCAGACATTCGAGTCAAAGTCTCTCCCCAGTCTGCAGCCAACCCATCCTTACGAGTGCTCATTCATACAGAGAAGATATCACGAGCTCATCTCCACACGTACTCTTTTGAAGTTGGCAATGCCTTGTCGCGAACCGACCCACAAGGCTTCTCTCAAGGCCCCGCCAGGGGCTGCGACCGCCATGAAGCACGGCCGAAACAAACTCGTTTCACGGGTCTTTTCCTTAATGTGACGGGTTAGCAGGACCCACAAGCGAGCTAGACTCGAGTTTCTTAGTATCATCAATGCAGAAACAGATCTTAATGTCAATTGCATCCAGATTAAACAAACAGGCAACTGAATTAGAAATCCATCAATTCTCTCCTAGTTGAGTCTATGACAACAATATACAAGTAATAGAAGCAGGCCATCTTACGACCCTAATAAATCTCTCCGCATGAGCAAGAGTTCAGTGAACTCTAGCACATTTGCCTCTGAAGCAAAGCATCTAGGCCATCCTGGAAGCACGGCGGGCCTTGGCGGAGCGCTTGCTCTTCCTGCTGCGGCGCTTGAGCTTGCAGCCCTCCTCGGGGACCTCAGGCGCAGGGGTCTCCGGAGCCTCAGGGGTCTCAGGAGCAGCAGTGGCAGTGGCAGTAGGCTGGGTCACAGCGCTGGTGGGCACGACGACAGTCGACAGGGTGGTGATGCTAGGAGCGGGCGCGGAGTCGACAGGCGCGGACGCGGTGGGCTCAGGCGCGGACGAAGAAGGCTCCTCAGGCGCGGTAGTAGGCTCGGGCGCGGTGGAGGGCTCAGCGGAGGGCTCAGCAGGCGAGCTGCTGCCACCCTCAGCGCTCCAGACCTCGGGGCCGGGGATGGTGTAGCTGCCGTCAAAGTTGTAGAGGTTGAAGACGATGCCGGGGTCCTCGTAGGTGTAGTCGGCGTTGAAGTCAAAGCCTTGGTCGGGGACAGCGTCGCCGTCACCCGTGACCTCGACCTGGACGCACGAGGGGTAGAACTGGGCGCCACGGGCCGGGTTGTCGGCAAAGGCGGTGTCGGACTCGTGGTGGGCGATGATCTCCTGGCGGAAGATGTACTTGCCGGCGGCGAGGTTGGAGGGGATGGTGAAATCCTGCTTGCCGTTGTTGGCCTTGATCTTGTCGACGGCCCACTGGGTGCCGTCGAAGCCGTCCTCGGCGACCTTGGACCAGATGGGGCCGGTGCCGTCGTCCTCGGTGAAGGCGGCGACCCATGTGATGATGGGGCCCTGGTGGCTGCCGTCGATAATGTCGTCGTCGCGGTTGTCGTGCTGCCACTCGAAGCTGAGGGTGTCGCCGGCGGCGGCCGAGACAAAGTCGGGGGCGACCTTGGCGCCGTTGACGTTGCAGACGAGGTCGGGGGAGGCGAGGTCCTTGACGGGGCCGTTGTTGGGGGGCGTGCGGATGTAGACGTTGCGGCCGTCACCCTGGTCCTCGCCATTGACCCAGACGCCGTACATGGTGGCGTGGGCGGCGGCGGAGCTGGCCATGGCCAGCGTGGCCAGCGCGGAGATCATGTTGTTGGAGTGCATGTTTGTTGATGGAGATTTCTTCTTGCTGGTTGGGGCTGCAGTAAAGGAGTGTACGTTGGCCGTCGATGTAATGAGCGGTGGGGACTGAGTAGTCTGTCTGTGGACGTCGAGCCCTTTGGAAGTTGGATGAATGAACGGCGCAGCCGATGAACGAGAGAAACTGGTAACGAAGGATAGCAGCGAGAAGAAGCTGAGAGACTGGTGTAGGCTTTCGAGGTTGGAGGGGGACGCATCTGCCTTTATATCCAGTCTTGGCCCTGGACAACCTGCCAACCCATGTCCAGGATAGACCCCGGCTCCTCCTTGCCATCAAATCCTTTCAACTGAACTGATATTGTCACAGATGTTGGTTTCATCCCTGTCATTGTCACCGCCAGGCGAAACGCCAGCATGCGCCAAGCATTGCGGCGGCTCGCCCAGAAGTGAATGGACCAGGGTGGCAGGGTCCAGGATGCATAGGAGTCGAGACTGAGAACGCTGCGGGCATGCGATGGCCGATTAGGCTGATCTAGTCTGCGAGCCAAACTCAAACGTTGAAATGAAACCCGAAACCCCTTCGGGTCGATCCGAGATGATACTACGGTGGGCAGGGGTCGCGTGTCTGGGATTGATCGAACGGCCCCAGTCGCGTGTTTTGGATAGACAGACAACCCCGGCGGGCGGGCCCGCTCTTTAATTGCGTCCTCATCAATTGGAAACTCGAATGTTTCCTTGTCCTTGCTGGGTTTGGAGTCTAGACAGGTCACAGAGCCGCCAGACAGGGGGAGCGACCATTGAGCGTCCGCGTTTTGTCGATGAACAATGATGCTTATTCGATATGTCATTACTGCTTGCAGTTCCTGTCTCCATCATCAGTCTAATTAATTAATTCACTTCCCATCCCCCCCCCCTATGCGGACGCGCAATGACCCCCGTCGACGCGCAGGTCGCTCCCGTGCACAAAGGCCGCGCCCTCGCTGAGGAGGAAGACGGCCGGCGCCTTGAAGTCCTCGGGCGCACCCAGACGACCCAGCAGCGCGCCGGCCATCCACGTCCTCTCCACGTCCGGGTTCTCCTGGAGCAGCTGGTCCGTCATGGCCGTCCGGATGTACTGGCTGGTCAGCGCTGGGGCCATCAGACAGACGGAGGGAAAACTTACACCAGGCGACAGAGTGTTCACACGGATACCGTACTGCCCCCATTCCTGCGCCACCGACCGGCACATCTGCTGCACGGCCGCCTTGCTGCTGTTGTACGCGGAGCAGCTGAGCCCTCGGTTCGCCACGTTGCCCGACATGCTCGAGATGAGGACGATGCTGCCCGGCCGCCCCTCGCGTCGCAGCACGCGCGCCGCGTACTTGGCCGTGTTGAAGACGCCCGTCACGTTGACGCGCAGGATCCTATCAAAGTCGGCTGCCGGGTAGTCGAGCGCGGGCACCTGCTGCTGGATGCCCGCGCACGCAATCGTCCCCCAAAAGGGCGCCTGGCGGGCGGTGGCATCCCTCGCCACGGCGTCCATGACGGTCTCGATGGATGTCTCGTCCGTCACGTCGCAGCGATGGTAGGTCACGCTGCGACCTGTCTTCTTCGCTAGCGCCAACAGACTTGTCCATTCGTATGCGGATGGTTCGCTGAGGATGTCGAGGCAGGCCACGTTGCCGCCCGCCTCGACGACCGCGAGGGCGAGCGTGATGCCGAGTCCGCGACCGCCACCGGTGATGGCAATGGTCTTGCCGGTAAGTGAGAAGGAATTGTGCGTCGTGCTCCCGGCGGCGAGCGAGTGTTGAGACTCGGGCGCGCCATTGCTCGGGAGCTCAATGTCGCTTACGATGGCGTCGACGGTCATGGTTGGACGTTGTCTGGGCGTTTGTCGTACTGGAAGCTGATCGGAGCGAAGTGGCAAGGCAGGAATGGTCTGCAGAAGGAAAGGAATGGCTGTCGGTCACAGAAGTATCACAATCACATCACGAGGGACGGACGGTCCAAGTCCAGGACATCCATCCGGCTGCGCTTCCAACTGCCTGCCCCCCAGTCGCCCCCTCCAGCCTCCGCTTACAACTGCTCCTCTCCACGACATCTCCAACATGCAGTCCACTCTCTCCAAAGACACGCATGTGTGAATTCCCCCATCGGGTAACCCGAGATGGAGACGCCGGCACGGACTGCCGACGCCCGGCGGCTCGCATATCCTCCTCTGCATGAGGCAGGTCGAAGCGCGTCTGCTATCACGATGATCCTGTCGACTCCTTCATAAAGCAGACCTTCTCGCAGGGCCGGGCAAACAAACAGCAAGCAGGCAAAGTCAAGCAGGAAAGTCAAGCAGGCACAATGGCCCCCATCGCTATCGACAGCCAGCTCTCTCAGTCCCACGCCAAGGTGACGCCCGACGTCAACCGCTTCAACAAGGAGGACGGCCGCACCATCGACCTCGTCCTCGGCCAGTTTCGTTGCCTCATCGCCGACCTCTGCCAGCAGTTCAATGGAGGCCATCCAGGCTCGGCCATGGGCATGGCCGCCATTGGCGTCGCCCTCTGGAAGTACACCATGAAGTACGCCCCCGGCAACCCGTCCTTCTTCAACCGCGACCGCTTCGTCCTCTCCAACGGCCACACGTGCCTCTTCCAGTACACCTTCCTCCACCTCACGGGCTACCGCGCCATGACCATGGAACAGCTCAAGTCGTATCACTCGGCGCGGTACGACTCGCTCTGCCCGGGTCACCCAGAGATTGAGCACGAGGGCATCGAGGTCACCACTGGTCCGCTAGGTCAGGGTATCGCCAACGCGGTCGGTCTCGCCATGGCCACCAGACACCTAGCCGCCACGTACAACAGACCCGGGTACGACCTCGTCAACAACACATCATGGTGCATGATTGGCGACGCCTGTCTGCAGGAGGGCGTCGCGCTCGAGGCCATCCAGCTCGCCGGCCACTGGCGCCTGGGCAACCTCGTCGTCATCTACGACAACAACCAGATCACCTGCGACGGCAGCGTCGACATGTGCTGCTCAGAGGACGTCAACGCCAAGATGGACGCCTGCGGCTGGCACGTCATCAACGTCCACGATGGCTGCCACGACGTCGAGGGCCTCGTCAAGGCCCTCCTCCAGGCCAAGGCCTCCACCGACAAGCCCACCTTTGTCAACGTCCGGACAGTCATTGGCGTCGGCAGCAAGGTCGCCGGCGATGCCAAGGCCCACGGCGCCGCGTACGGTGTCGAGGACGTCCGGAGCATCAAGCAGGTCTTTGGCATGGACCCCGACGAGCACTTTGTCCTCACGGACGAGGTCTACGGCTTCTTCGCCGACTGCAAGACCAGAGGCCAGCAGCTCGAGGCGAACTGGCAGTCCCTCCTCGCCGCCTATGCCAAGGAGTACCCCGATCTCCACGCCGAGTTCACCAAGCGCGTCAACGGGGAGTTCACCCAGGACTGGCGCAGCATCATCCCGCCCAAGGAAGACCTCCCCACGACACCCACCGCGTCAAGAAAGTCCGCCGGCCTCATCTGCAACCCGCTAGCCCAGACGCTCCCCACATTCCTGGTCGGCACCGCCGATCTCTCGCCATCCGTCAACATGATGTGGAAGGACAAGGTCGACTTCCAACACCCCGACCTGCGCACATCCTCGGGCCCCAACGGTGACTACACAGGTCGCTACATCCACTGGGGCATCCGCGAGCACGCCATGGCCAGCATCTCCAACGGCCTCGCCGCCTACGGCAAGGGCACCATCCTCCCCGTCACGTCCACCTTTTTCATGTTCTACCTCTACGCCGCACCGGGTATCCGCATGGGCGCCCTCCAGCACCTCCAGCAGATCCACATTGCCACGCACGACTCCATCGGCACCGGCGAGGACGGTCCCACCCATCAGCCCGTCGAGCTGGCCGCCCTCTACCGCGCCATGCCCAATCTACTTTACATCCGGCCCTGCGACTCGGAGGAGACGGCGGGAGCCTTCATCGCCGCCCTCGAGGCCACAGGCACACCCAGCCTCCTGTCCCTGTCTCGACAGACCCTCACGCAGTACCCCCAGCATTCGCGTCGCGACGGCGTGTGCAGGGGCGCCTACGTCTTCATGGACGAGGACGAGCCCGACGTCACGCTGCTCGGTGTCGGTGCCGAGATGTGTTTCGCCGTCCAAACGCGCGACGAGCTCGCCCGGCACGGGGTCAAGGCGAGGATCATCTCGTTCCCCTGCCAGCGTCTCTTCCAGCAGCAGTCACCCGCCTACCGTCGACAGGTCCTTGGGTCTGCGCCCCGGGTCGTCATCGAGGCGTACGCCGTCCAAGGGTGGGAGCGTTACGCGGACGCGGGGTATTGTATGGCCTCGTTTGGCAAGTCGCTGCCGGGGAAGGATGCGTACACCTTCTTCGGGTTTGAGGCGACGCGTATCGCGGGGCGGGTGCGGACGTGGCTGGGGGAGGTGAGGGGATTGGGGGCGGAGGGTTTGCGAGGGGATTGTGTGGATTTGAATCAAGTGCCCGAGGGGCATCACTGAGCAGTGCTTGTAGTAATAATGATAGAATGACATGACGTCGTGGATCTTGGGGAGTCGTCTGACTCGGTGGAGTGATGAGTCAGATGATGCTAGATGTATGATACTTCTTCATGTACAACGGCCATGCGACAGAGGGAATCTTCAAGATGTAAGATGGACTGCAGCTGTTCGACACGCACAGTTATTCGTTCTCTGACCCTGAAAGCTCAATGGCCAGATCTCCTTCAATCTCACTCAGCCTATGCATACCCCACGACCTAATGCCTTTAGCTCAATGGGATGACCTCAGAATGTCTTAGATTTCCCATGAACTTGGTCATTGGTGCTGATGTGGGGTTTGCGGGTCAATGATTTATCGTTTATCATTCATTATATCTTTGCTTGTGACATATTGCCGATCATGTTCATGTTTGCTCTTTTGAATGTCGTTGATGGGTGTCAATCGCTTACTGAGAGCGAGGTCAGCGCAAACAGAGCAAGTCAAGTCCAACGGCACACTCGACATGTCCCGCTCTGTTTGGATATGTATGGAAAAATGCCAGTCACATCTAACTTGGGGAAATGCCAACAGATAATTGTATGCATGTACGTATGACACAATATTCTACGAGTACAAGTGGCATAGGGTAGGTCGAGCCAGGACAGCCTAAGCATGAGCGCGTGTCCTCGACTCGAAAGGAATAAAGAACACTTACTAGACTCGGACTCTTTCGACTCTAAAAGATTCAGTAGCTGTAATACTTCATGTTCACTGTGTAGCTGGTATGATCCAAACGTGGCGCACTGTCTAGAGGTAGACTGGACCCTGCTCGCCACGTGATCATGCGCAGCCTCACTCGACACGTCTCGCATCGCCTCCATCATCCTCCAGCCAGGCCGGCCACTGGCCACTCGTCGTCTCCCAATGCCTACACACAGCTCGCCATGGGGAAGCGCTTCCGTGCGTGCGAAGCCTGCCACGCCCTAAAGATCAAATGCGACCCCTCGCTCGCCGAGCCAGGATGCTGTGAGCGTTGTGTACGCACCAGCACCACGTGTGTGCCCGCCGCGCGACGCTGGCAGCGGGACAGGATCCAGGAGCTCGAGGCGCAGGTCGCGCAACTACAGCTCGCCCTCGACGAGACACGCGCTGCGTCCGTGTCCGCTGGACGGTGTACCAGAGACACGTCTGTTGGGTCGAGCGATCATGGCTCTGGAGACAAGATGCTCGCATTCTTGGATGCCCTTGTCGACCTCTCCGCCCAAGCGCGCGCCCTCACAGTCTACGCGCACCATGTACACTCGGCATGGCCCGTGATCTCGCTTGGCACAGGCACGTCCGACTCCCAGATCTTGTCCATGAGGGACGAGTTCCCCATCACACTTGTCGCCATCTTAGCGTTCGCCCTGACTTCCCACGACGTCCAAGTCGACGCCCAAACGCAACAGGTCCTGCGTCAACGGGTAGCCGATGTAGTAGGCGCGGCTATGACTACCCAGGCGTGTTCGCACGACTTGATCCAAGCATCGTTGGTGGCCGCCTTCTGGGTGCGGCCAGCCTTTGACACAAACTGCTACCGCCTGATCGCTCTGGCTATCGACATGGGCGTCGACTTTGGTCTCGGTGGTGACTCCATGCCCAGCTCGCCGCCCGCGTGGTTCGGTCGACATCGTGGCCCTCTCTCGCCGGGCATGGCGCGGTCGTGGCTCGGGGCATACGTAGGCTCCAAGTTTGCCTCCATCAGCACAAGACGACAGGACGCGCATTGCTGGGGCCCGTCGCACGACAGCGCCTTCAATCTGCTCGAGCAGCAGCCAGAGGGAAATCACTTACTCCTCGAGATCACCCGGATCGCGCACCTGCAAGCCACACTCGCGAATGACCTCGCGCTCTGCGACGCCAATGTCTATCGCGACATGAACTCGGAGATCGTCAGAGCCTCGCGCTCGGCTGTGCGCGAACGAATAGAGGCGATCGAGAGAAACCTGCCGCCGTGGCTCGCGCAGGACCACCAACTGCGATTCCTGCGGCTGCAGAGCGTCATCCTCAGCAACGAGCCGGTCCTGCACACGACGAGCAACAAGGCCTTCTTTGGCGCGCCGTACATTGCGGCCCGCATCGGCGTGCATGACTTTGCCTGTCCCGACGAGATCACACCGGTTGTACAGGATGCCCTCCTCTCGCTGGTGCGTGCCTGCCACGATGCCATTGACGTGGTCGCGCGCGTGCCCACCGCGGAGCTTCTCAACCTGACGACGCTCTGCTTCGCGTCGTCGGTCACCTACAATCTCGCCCTGCTCGTCAAGGTGCACGTGGCCGTCTCCGCGCCAGGTAACTCTTATGGGCAGATCATGACACGTCAGCAGCTCAACGTGCGACAGGCCATGGAGAAGCTCAAGCAGGTCAATGCGGCCCTGGTCGCGCTCGATCCGCGCATGGACAACTGGAACACGAGGATCATTGGCGCGGCCGCCTGGCTGGAGACCTGGCTGGTGGATTACGAGAGCATTGTTCAGCGATTTGAGCACACCCTGCAACGGGGAGCAGCCGAGGAGGCCATGGGCAGTCTAAGCCCCAGTGGATTCTTCTGAACGATCGCGGGATGCATAGCCTTTCACGCACACGTCCAATAGGCCAGTATTCCCAATTGAATGATACTTTCAATGGCCTCTGCCCCTTCCTGTGTGCGGGTCGGGGTTTTTGAGCCTGGGCCCTTCCCTATGTACGGATTTCGGGTCACTCCAGATGCGCATGACGTCCACGACTCTGACTAGGGGCTGGGCGTCTCGCACCACGATCACCTGTACGTTCCACCTTACACACGTACGACTAATCGACTAGTGCCAATCGCAGGGGTAGCTACACTCCAATTTAAGCATAGACGCCGTTCCCCAGGCGGAGACGGTGGCTTTTTGCCGGCATCGACGTTAGCTCAACGGGGGATGGATGCCAAGCAGCATGACACTTGCATCCAACAATCCCGTACCTGCGACAACGAGTGCCTTGAGAGAGGGGCACGGCACGACGCGGCTCATCGAATGCGTGCGGACAAGGCAAGTCGATGATGCCATGACTCTGGAATTGTTCTTGGCGCCAATGTGAAGCTATCACCACACTGAATGCCGTGGTGTGTTGATGTCTAATTAGACGCGCGTATGCGTGTGTGTGTGTGTGTATGTGTGTGTGATGGACGCCAGGACCGGTATATAAGTCTGTCGCAAGGCCACAGCCGTCCTACATGTTAACCAATTTCTTCTTACGACACCAGCCTCGCTCATACTAAGCCTGCCTACCTGTGTCACTCACCCATCTCACATCAAGATGCGTCTTCTCACTCTTGCCTCCTTGGTGGCTGCCGCCGCCGCGCAGTCCGATCTGGTCTCGGTCCTCGAGTCCCAGGATGACCTCTCGACGCTGTTCTCGGTCCTCCAAGGTTTCCCTGACCTTGTCGAGACTCTCTCCTCTGCCAGCAACATCACCATCTTCGCACCCACCAATGAGGCTTTCGAGTCCGTGCCGGAGGACAGCGCCATCGGCCAGGCCATTGCCAACAATGACACGACCGCCATTGCCGCCCTGCTGACCAACCACGTCTACCAGGGTCAGTACCCAGCCGAGGCTGTCATGGAGACTCCTGTCTGGATCCAGTCCCTGCTCGACGACAGCTACGAGATGGACGGTATGCCCTTTAGCAACTTCACCGGCGGTCAGTACAGCGGTGTCGTCCTGGACGGCGATGACGTCGTCGTCATCTCGGGCGACCTGACCCTCTCCACGGTGACCGAAGCGGTAAGTCACTTTGTCCATGCCAGTCGACACAGACGTTGATCGCTGACAACATGTCTAGGACATTGAGATTGGCGACAGCGTCATCGTCCACAAGATTGACAACCCCATCGCCTTCTCCCCCACCCTGGAGGCCTACACCCTCCGCGATGGCCTCCTCAACTTCAACGCCGCTCTGGCCACCGCCGACCTGCCCGTCAACTTTGGCGACGACAGCGACAAGATGCCCATTTCCGACTTTACCATCTTCGTCCCCAACGACGCCGCGTTTGAGAACATTGGCTCCGTTCTCGAAGGTGCTGATCTCGAGACCCTTCAGGAGGTCCTGACCTACCACCTCGTCGCCGACAATGTCGTCTTCTCCACCGCTCTCGGCAACGTCAGTCTCCCCAGCTACCAGGGTGGAGATCTGACCTTTACCGTCGCTGAGGATGGCAGTGCTTGGGTGAACAACGCCAAGATTGTCTTCCCCAACGTGCTCCTCGCCAACGGTGTGGCTCACGTCATTGACAGGTATGTCCCTTTTCTCCTTTCTTCGCCATTGTGCCACAGCAGCTAACTCCTTCAGCGTCCTCAACCCTGCCGATGACGATTTTGACAGGGAGGATATTATGCCCTATGCGGACGCCAGCGACCGTGTCGCCTTTGAGGATGCCTCGCCTGTGTCCGAGCTTCCCTTCTCTGCCCCTACTCCCGAGATGACTTACACCACCCCTGGGCTGCTCGAGACCTATGCCGCTGTCGCTACCGATGGTGATATGGAGGCTACCCAGACCGGCGATGATGATGAGGATAGTCCCGACGCTACTGGCACGTCTGCCCCCGAGGAGGGTGGTGCCGTCAAAATGATGACCGGCGGTGTCCTCGCCGGTGCCATGCTGGTCTCCATGCTGATGATCTAAGCTCTTGGAGTTTTTCCGTCGTTGGTGTACAACACTGTTCGTTATAGCGCCTTTTCAAAAATGCGGAATTCTACAGGACCAGCCAGATACTTAATAAATGGGGGATAAGCTGTTGCAAAGTCGCCCACTTTCACAACTAAATAATCCATCTTTTCATACCAATTCTGTAACCTCTCCTTGAATTTGTGCTTGAACTCGGTAGGGAATAGTAATTCACACGAGCATTTAACACACCCACGCCGGCGACTCTCCTCCTCGGCAAAGTGTACCATGCGTCCGCCAGTCCCGCTGCCCCGATGTGTCTGATCGAGTGCCAGCATGCCAAAGTTGGACAGGGCAGGCGAGATGAGCTTGAACACGAGGCAGCCGATGGGTTGTTTGGAGCGGGTATGGTTGTACACGACGGCGAGCTGGGATTTTTGGATGAGTGAGGCGATGTCGTCGGGGCTGGTCCGCTCGTGGCCTGCTGTCCAGATGCCGGCTTCGGCGGTTGCGTAGGACGTGTTGACGATGGAGGCAAGCGTCGTCGTGAGGGAGGCGTCTGTGGCCGACGACGCGTGAGGGAAGGATATGGAGATGTTGTCGGCGTTCATGATGAATGTGGTTCGGGAGGAATGAGCGTGGATAGGAGTGTTGATGTAGGAACACATGCATGCAGTGAACTTTGAGGAGTGAATTTGTGAGTATTCGTCGCCGCAAAGGTGTGGAGATCTTCCGAGTTCCGTCTTCCGAGTCCCGACGTCACTTACAGATTCACAGTCTACTAGACCACAAGTGCCCCCATGCCAGAACGCACTTGATTGAAGCTTACGTGCAGAGAGGCGAATGGATTATTCGCGTGACTGCATGTTTTCTCGCTACATATACAGACTTGTGTGAAATATCCAGATACACGTCCTCACCGGTCCGCACAGCCAGAACTGTTGGCTGTATGTCTTGCTGCCTCGCCAGTTTTTGCTAACAATAAATGTTAGCGTTTTACCATCTCTGCTCTCAACGTGGGAGCACGGCGGAGCCCAACCCTTTGTCTATGGTCATGAGGAGACACATGCGTACGAACCAGGAGCACATCTGGGAAATCGCTGCAGCAATACGGTAACATAGATGTGATAAAAAGACAACTGACGCCTCACTCTCCTGTGCAGCAAGATTTGAAACCGCCTTATAGCCTGAGCAACCATTGCTTCGAGGAGCACAGGTGAACACACATTGCTTCACCGGTTAGAGAAGCATCTTCTTCCCGCTGAAGTGCAGCAGTAAGGAGCGATGCAATTTGCTTCATTGGTTGATCTAGCCGCTGCACACTGAACTTGAGGCGTGCATTACTAGCGAACTGAAGGCAGTGAAGCTCTTTAAATCCAAAAGGTTCCCTCTTGTTCGCTTTCAGAACTGCCTCTTGCTCTCACACAAGCCAGACGTAGCTCACTTCTATTATTAATCCCCAGTCCAATAGGACATTCCGTCCCGGTCCCGACGTATGCGAGCCCCGCAAAGACAATCTACGTTGAATACCATGTCTTTCTCTTGAAGGTCCCTGAAAGGCATGTTGCTCCATAAGCGCCACCTTGTAGAGCTTGGCGAACCTTTTCTCCCTGAGGAGATCCAGGGCATGTACAACCTACTCACGGGAAAGGGGTTTGTTCATGGGGATCCAAGGCTTCACAACTCTCTAATTGTCGGCAACAAGATCGTTGCCAATGACTTTGAGTTTCCCTATCAAGTCCATGACTACGACAACAAGGGTAGTTGTGCTCCGCGTAGGGATGAGATTGCATTCCAGGTTCCCAACTTGATGGGGAGCGATCTATTCTCGTGTGTTCCGGATCAGGACAAGGAGCGCATAGGATGGCAGCCCCCTTCGGAGCACTCAATCCACAGCAATCCTCCACAGCCCATCGCCGAGAAAGTGCGCGTCCTCCACCACAGGACCCTTCCCCTTGGCCTTGACCTCCTTTGTCCCGACGGCCAGCGTACCCACGGCGCACGCTTCCGTCTTGCCCTCGGCCATGATGACCACCGGCTCGCCTTGCTTCAGCTCGCGACTCCACCGCCCTTCCTCGTCCCCCTCCTGCTCCATCTCCTCGCCCTCGGGCAGATCCTCGGGATCCGCGTCGTCGGCAGGCAATCGGCCCCCCTTGGACGTCAGTCCAGGCGCCATGAGCGTCGCGCCGCTGAGTACGAACCGAATCGCGCCGCGGTCTATGCGTATCGTCGGGAAGCACTGCGGGTACCGGTGCACGAGTCGCAGGTGCGGGATGACGGGGCCCCCGGGGCCATCTTGCTGGTAGAAGAGCGGCGTCGAGCCGTCCAGAATGTACAGCGTGTTGCGGTCGGGTAGCTTCATGGACTCGAGCGAGCCCTTTTTCGGGAGGACATCGTCGATGTATGGTGTGAGGAGTGGGTAGGTGGACAAGAGGGCGGCTCGGAGGGATCGCTGGACCGAGGACTTGAGCTTGGATTTCGTCCCGGGTTGGAGGCTACACGTGTCAGTGTATGCAGGCCGGAAGTGCAAGCGCAGAAGGGCCATACTCTTTCTTGAACATGATGGGCAGCTGGGGATGATGAAGACGCGTTGATGATGGTGGGGGGGCGAAGAATCAGGATATGCCCCGCGATTTGGCGGGGTAGCTCGCGCCTTAACAGGATTTGGTGGACGGCACGGCACGCAATGTTAACAGTGAAATGTGACAGTTGATCATGAGTGTGTATTATTATTATCGTTTACATCTTGGACAGTACGGAATCAACCGTGCAGAACATGGGTGACGATGCCTTCGTCGTCGAGGTGCACATTCAGGCGGTCCTCCTTAAAGTCCTTGGTGACCATGGTGCCCGGCTTGATGACACGGCATCCCTCTGGAAGGTCTTTCTTGCAAAATGTCTGACTGGTTAGAACGGCTATGGCCATTGCTTAGTTTCAAGTCATGCTCACTGTGGCTCCCGACTCCTCGTCGTGGAGAGTCTTGCCGACAAGCTTGTTCTGCCACTCCTCGGTAGGGTTGGAGGGGTTGGTGGACTGGCCGGTGACGAGAGGCATGTTGACGGTGTTGGTGTGTGTGTTCTTGGTGAAGAGGTATGCAATGACAAGAATGGTAAGACAGGAAAGCAAAAGCAAGGTCGGGCTTGAGAGGGAGTTTAAGGCTATCTTCTTCGAGGTGACCATGATGACGTCGTCGCACGTGCACTTTGGGAATCTGGAGATGGGCAGCCGTTCACGCTGCACAAGACCGGTAGGCCTATTGGTACGAGGGGGCTTCGTTTTACTACGTAGAAGAAGACCCTGTGCTCTGCATAAGTGCCAACATACCTCCGATACTTGTTGTGAATCAATCTACTGTCAGATCTTGGTTTGCCCATTTGCCGATCGCCCCTTGTTGGTGTTTCCAGGACAGCAGCTGAACAAGCCACAGCTCCAGCCACTTGACCAGAAGGCAATTGCGAACTGGCCACCTCTGGCGACTACATCTAGACTAGATTCCTGCACGATGCGCGGCCATGGGCAAGCAGCAATTCATGTTACTGTTCATGTGAGTAGACGGCAGTGAAACGCGCAGGAGCAGTCGGCTCCGCCACCACTGACGGCCAGGAACGGCATGAAACAAGTTGCGCGAACCACCACGAAGTGGAGCCGGCATAAGACCAGTCTTACATTTACATTATTACCATCATTTCTCCATGGGCGTCAGCATCAAGTAAGCACCGATAACTCGTGCATAAAGGTTCCCAGAAAGCCAGAAGGAGTGCTTACACTTGTGATCTTGAAGAAGTTTTTGCGTACTTCGTACTGACACAGCACAAACACTTGCATCACGTCAAAAAGCCTACAGTCGATCACTGGCGCCAAAAATAGACGGCCCGCTGTTAGCACAGCCTGCGTCTACACAGCCATCCAGCTAACAGTGCTTTACCAGGGCCCTCTGCAGCCTGCACTGCCGCGCCTCACTGCTCAGGGGTCCACCTCCAGACAGACGACTGGAAGAGCCCAAGCTGACACAGGGAAAAAAAGGGCCCGTGCCGAAACAACCATCAACATCCATCCTCCTTTTTCTTCGATCGCATCCCCATTTCATAATAACCCCATCGTCGTCACTTCTGGTTCCATTCTCACCATCACGCCCTTCCGACACCCTTCGACTCGCCCGCTTCACCATGCGCCTCCTCCCTCTCTTCTCCGCCGGCGCACTGGCCGTCTCCGTCCCCCAGCCATGCCTCTCCTCTAACGCGGCCGCGCTCGCCCAACGCGCCAACTGCCCCGACCAGGCCCACCTCACATCCTGCCTCCAGTCCCTGCCCAGGGCCGCCGAGATTGACGACGTCTCCGAGTGCCTGCTCGCCGCCGGCTGCGCAGACGCCGTCCAGCAGGCCGACATCCTCGCCAAGGAGTGCGCCCTCCTCTTCCCTACCAACGCCGACCTGCGCCGCAAGAGGGCCGTCGTCGACGAGCCCGCCGCCACCTTCGCCCCGCGCGACGCCGACGCCGCCTATCTCGCCGGCACTTCCATCCCCACGCTCTTCCCTCGCACCGCCATGAAAGGCGAGGAGTGCTTCACCGTCAAGGACACAAAGACCAAGGAGTGCCAGACCGTGACAAACGGCGGCGTCGAGACCGAGACGGACTGCTCCACCATCACCACCACCACCTCCGTCTGCGCCGAGGACAAGACCTGCTCGCTCGACAAGTCGGGACACACGGTGTGCATGAACCTGCAGAACTCGCTCGACGCCGCCGGCATCGTCATCGCCATTGTCTTCGGCGTGCTCGCCATCAGCGGCGTCGGCACCCTGACCTTTTTGTGCTGCAAGGACCGCAAGGAGCAGAAGCGTCTGCTCGCCAAGGCCGAGGCCACGGCCCTCGTCCGCGCCGCCACCAAGAAGAAGAAGGCCGACGAGGCCCGCGAGCAGCGTGCGCCCCTCATGGCCCAGCAGCGTGCGCGGGACGCCAGTACCGGCAGCACCGACCCCTTTGCTGACCGGAACCGTTCTTAGGTGCAGCCGCCGGGAGGAGACTTGGGTGAGGCAGGTAGTTCACTACGCGGGCCATGCTGAGAGACGCCAGAAGCAAAGGGAATGGGGATGGAAAAGCCGAGGACCCACCACGGGCACTGGCGTTTTGTTTTCTTCGCCACATTGTCGTGACGAACTGTTGGATTACTACTACTTAGGCAGGCATGTGTACTTGTGAAATTCTAGAGGGGTAGCATCAAGGGACAGGGATCTTTTGCAAAGCATAATCGAACAAAGTCTATTCGCACAGACGCTGCACGTCTGACAAGTCTCACACACCATGACCGGCCATGTCTGTCTCACCACAGCACAACACGCGTCACAGTTCTCCGCTCCCTTACTTCCCCCACTTGTCCACAACGGCTGCCATAAAGATGTTCGGGACGGGTTTGAGAGCATCGCCTTCTCCCGACGGCTGGCGCGAAGAAGGTCCCTACTGGCTCCGCACAGACGCACTCATCCCGCCCAACGGGTTCCCAATCTGGCCGGCGCTGCGTGGCGACCGCGCAAAGTGATCATCGGGCACCCAGCGCACAGATTCCGTACCACGTACTCGCTTGGTCTCAAACGAGCCGCCGCCATTGCTGGCGTTGCCCTCCGTGTCGAGCAGCCCCGCCAAGTCGTACTCGGGTTTCCCGTACCGGTCCTCAATCAACCCCAGCAAGACAGGTAGCTCGATGAAACCCTCCGCGTCACTTTGGCCGTGGCTCACGAGCTCACGGCATGTCTGGCACACCATGGACCTCAGCGCTATAGGGCCGGTGGGTGGCTGCCGCGCATGGCCAAACATGGGCGCCGGAGATCCCATGCCAAAGGCATTGGGCACGACAGGTGAGCTCCATAGTCCGGCCGGGCCTCCAAAGGGATTGCCAGCTGTGCTGACTGGTGAGGGACCCCAGGGGTTGTGAGCCAAGTTGAAGCCTTGGTCGGCAAAGGGGCTTTGTCCAGCAAATCCCATTGGCTGAGGGCCCGGTGGTCGCGTCCGCAAGCTGCCGGGGTTCCCTTCCGGAACCAGGGGCACAGATTCTAGGTCGTCTTCGTCGTCTAGCAGAGCGCGACTGCCCAAGTGCTCCGTCTCTTTCTCCTGCTCCCCTGTGGATCGAGTGATGCTACCAGGTCGGCCAATGGGGGTGGGTCGTCCAATGGGTTGCGCAGGCGTTAGGGGGACGTCGAAACTGGCAGATCCTTGACGATGGTGTGTCGGAGGTGGCGCAAATTGATCAGCCGGCCCCGGGCCGAACCCTGGCGGCGGCATTGGAACGGGGGAAAATACACGACCAGCAGGTCCGTTGAAGCCAGGAGGAGGCATGGGAGGCCGGAACCCGGGCGGTGCCGAAGGCATCATAAACCCTGGAGGCGGCGGTCCGTGATGCGACAGCCCCGGGGGCGGTGCCATGCCTATAGGTGGCATTTGCACAGGCGTGTGAGGATACGAACCCGTCAGACTGCCACTCTCTTTCCGCTGCTGCGGCCCAATAGGTCTAGGGCTGGACTGAGACTCGGGATGCGGCGACGCCTCCTGGCTAGAGTGCGAGGTCGATGCACTCTGGCCGAGCGCGTCTTGCTGCTGCTGTGACAATGTCCGTGGTCGAACTGCCGCCGTAATCTTGTTCGGGATGACAGGGGTCGCCACGGGAACTTTGGGTGACGCATAATCGGCTGGGTTCGAGCCGTGCTGAGGGAGGACGATGGACTGCTGACGTGCTGGCGCCTGCGGCTGAGCCTGGGCTTGCGATTGCGCTTGTGCCTGAGCCTGTGCCTGAGCTTTCGACGCCTGCTCTTCTTTGGCCCGTTCCTCCTTGGCCCTGCCTCGAGCCTCCTTGGCTTCCTGCGCTTCTTTCAAAGCCTTGGCGGAGCGAGCTTCCTTCTCCCGCTTGTCACGCTCTTGCTTCTCCTTGCGCTCAATGGCCTCACGTTCCCTTTGCTCGCGTGCTTCTTTCTCCTTCAGCTTCTGCTCCTCCTTTAGCTTGCGCTCACGTTCCTTGGCCTCGCGGGCTTTGCGCTCCTGTTCAGCCTGTCGTTCGCGTTGCTCGTGGAGTTTCCGCTGTCGCTCGGCCTCCTTCTTCAACCGAGCTTCCTCCTCCGCCTTCTTCTGCGCTTCCTTCTGCTTTCGCTTCTCCTCGGCTCGTTGCCGCTGTTCGGCGATGCGTCTCTCCTCGGCCTCGAATCGCGCAGCTTCTTCAGCAGCCTTCTCAGCCTCCTTGCGCGCCTTCTCCTCAGCAGCCTGCTTCTTCTTCTCGGCAGCCTTCTCCTTTTTCTTGGCAGCAGCCTTGGCTTTCCGTGCCTTTTGCTCGTCCTCCTTGCGGTTCTCCTCCTCGAGCTCTTCGAGCAGCTTGGCTTGCCGTTCCTTGGCGACCTTTTCCTTGTATGCGGACAGAACCCGCTGCTCAAACATACGAGCAGCAAAGATCTGAAACATGCGTCGGCCTTCCTCCATGCGTTGCTCCTCCGTCATTGGATCCTGACAGCAGCACTCAGTATGGGACTTGCCATGCGGCATCACGGACGGGTTCGAGTATACCTCTTCTTCCTCGTACTCCTCTTCATTAGAGTCCTCATACTCTTCCTCGTCCTCCTCCTCGTCGTCGTCGTACTCGTCATCGTGAGGCGGCGGCGGAGGCGGAGGCGGTGCGTGACCGTGAGGGGGAGCTGAGTAGGAAGCACCGTTGGCGGCAGGAGCTGGCGCGTGACCGCCATATGCGCGGGAGGAGTAATGCAGTTCAGCATCCTCCTCCCGCTTCATACGACGCTCAGCGAGCTGCTCCATCATCTCAATGAACCGCTTGCCATCGTTCTTAAGCAGGTCATCCGCCACGGTGAGAATACCGCCTATGTCCATGTTACCACATCTGCGGAGAAAAGTTTCAAGGAGGGCCGTACCCTTGACTTGCAGGCTGTTACCAAAGGTCAAAAAGTCTGTATTGTCGCGGTGATCGTGCGGGGAATAGTAGTGATGGTCGTGACCGTGGTGGTGGTGATGATGATGCCCATGATGCCCATGGTGGGGATGCTGGTCGTCCTCGAAGGTTTCGTCCTCGCTATAGACGTCATCTTCCAACCCGTCCTCTTCCCCGTAGGGCTCATCCTCTTCCTCGTATTCCTCCTCCAACTCGTCGTCGTCGTCACCCACATGCTCGACTATGCGCCCACGCGCCGGCGGGGGCGGCCTAGGTGGAGGGAGGCCAGCTCGAAAGTAGTCGCCGGGAATCGCAGACATTGAAGTGCCGTCTCCGCGGTTGGCAAACTGCTCCAACTCGAGATAATACGCGTCGTACAGCCCCTCCAGCTCCTCTTCAATGGCATTTCGCTTCCGCCCACAGGTGTGACAGTTGCACGTGTGCCGTTGCTGCTCCTTCATTTTCTTGAGCACAGCATCCTTCTCCACCTTGACGAGTGATTTACGATCCTCCTCGCCAAGTCCAAGCCAGAATTGTTTGATTCTCTCTCGCTCCTCTTGGCTGTTGGTACTCCAGATCTTATCCCTAGAGATGCCGGACGCGCGCTCTTCCAGCGTCTGTGGCGGCGGGCTTATCGAGGCTTGCACCGAGGCATTGCCCTTCTTTTTCTTTTTCTTGCTCTTTTTGCCACTACTGCTATGATGATTCCGGTCCCCGTTGGTCAGCTCTTGCTCCAATTCGTCGTCGTCGTCATCATCGTCGTCGCTCGGGGCCTCGTCGTAGTAGTCGGCAGGGCCAGCTTGCGTGGCTGGGGTCGCGGGCGGCGCCGGTGCTGGTGAGGCAGTCCCATTGGAGGCCTGCTCGGCTGCAGCTTTCGCGGCCATTTTCGCCCGTCGCTTTTGCTTCTTGCGGTTGACTGTCGGAGCAGCAGGTGCTGCTGCTGTCGCATTCACGTCGGGCGGTGCCCCGAGCGGCGCATCATCGGATCTCGGTGCGGTCGGCGTGGAGGGCTGTGAAGACTCAGAGGCAGCCATCTTGGGCACGGTGATGAACTTTGAGCCGTCCTTATTGGTGTACTTTGCCGTGTTTCGAGGCGATGCCGGCGCCTGGTGTGCCGTTTTCTGGTGGTTGGCCGGCATCGTAGATCACGAAAAGCGGACAGTCGGTGGCATAGGGAGGGTCCTGCAAGCGGTCAGACACCAGAGGCAACGCAGCGAGGTACAAGGAACCCGAGGCTGAGGGCACTCACGAATGACGCCAGTCGAGAGGAGGGAGGGGGTGGCTCCAGTCGGAGGGCTCCTGGGGACTTCTTCACTCCGTACTGATAATGGAATGCCTGAACTTGATAGATTCGCCCGTGTATGATATTGCTGCCGTGTCGTCGGGGTCGGTGGTGGTAGTAACACTGGTGCAAAGGTTGTGTTGGCGATGTCGCCAGCTGGGATTGAGATTGACGGGCTGGAAGGTGATGGAAGTCACTTTGCGTGTTCCTGTGCAGTGATGGTACATCAGGCAGGCACGTCCAGTGGGGGAGGAAGGAGTGGGGCTTTGTGCATTGGCACGTGACAAGGCTAAACCAGGACAGCAGCAGAAGGCGGGACGTATTTTAGTGGCTCTGTATTACTTACCCTAGGATGTCAATGGCGATCATGTTGTGAAATGCCCTGGAAGAAGGTATTCATGCTCATGGCTGCATTTATCGAGTCTGAGATTGTGTGAGCGCCGTCCGTCCGGGAGTAATGCTGGCTTTAGAAGGTATAAAGTCCCGTCAATATGCAAGCTGTGTATATCTATCTGTTGGCATTGTCGAGAATCGCACCTTGATGTTTGAGTGAGTCGTTACTGTATTTTGCGCAGTCATCTAGGATAATGCGCTCACGCCGCTGCTGCAAAACATGATTGAGCAAATCAGGCGTCCGTGCCTTTCGCCGTCATCATCATCAGAAATGTGGTATTGCCGAATGAGCGCCCGCGTCATTCACAAGCCGTGATGGCCCAATAACTCAATTCGAACCATGTCGAACGAAAAGAACAATATAAACTTTAAGCCACTACCTCAACTAGGAACGGCTGAGTCTGCTACCAAGAATAGAAACCCATGTCTTCAAAGTTTCTCGGTCCAGACTACAGACAGGAGAGAGAGGAAGCTGAATGCACGCGAGTCTTCCATACGTTGTCGCTTCCTTGTGATACGTGCAATCAGGGCATCTTGGGGCATCTTGGGGCATCTTGGGGCATCTTGGGGCATCTTGGGGCATCTGGGAGGCAGCCAGGCGCAGTCACCGTCTGTTACCCTGACTGTCGACAAACGATTCAGCCCACGAAACTATAATAAAGTAGATGGCCGCCCAAACCCAATGGCTAGTTAGTAAGGTATTCTCAGAACGCCCAGTTTTACTAGCCTACTACAATCATCAATCTCAGACTCTGGTAGATGCAGAGCGTCCAAGCCTGCATCTGATCAGCGCGCTGTGCGACTGTGACCCTTTGTTAGTGGTGCCCCCCCTCCAGTGCATCGCAGGCTCGCAGCACAGCCCCCTGTACCAACGTGCGTCCACTAACAAATGGACGGGGGACCGACCAAGGAGCAAAGCCCCCCAGCTTCAATCCAATCCAGCCCTCCCCGTCCGTTCGACCATAAATCATTCACGCGCATTCCGCATCTGTCAAGTTACGGCCAAACCGTAGGACACCTTTCATCGTTACCGTTCCAAGTCCTAAGCCTTGCTCTGTCCTCTCGTATCACAGCACGCAGTCCCGCCACCGCGGACCCCGGAAAAAAACAGCCCACGCCTCACGACTGGACGCTGGAGCGAATCTGACACTTCGTATTTCGACGGTCAACCTTGCCAGATTTCCTCTTCCAACGACCCTCCCCCCCTGAATCGCCCATCGCTACAACGACCAGTACCTCGGAACGCAACAGACCATCGATCGGATCCATACGACGACGGGGCAAACCTTGGCACAGCGACACGGCCGCTTTGAAGGTCCTACTACGCTGGGCCAACTTTACCATCTTGCCGGTCGAACCCATCCTCTTTGCTTTCGTATAATCGCCATGTCGTCCGCAAATCCGCAGAACGTGATCCGCAGGTACGGGCGAAACGTCGCGCCGCAGATGGAGTGAGCTGACCTGCCTTGCACAGGAAGTTGGTCATCATCGGCGACGGAGCGTGTGGCAAGACCAGTCTTCTCAGCGTCTTCACACTTGGATATTTCCCAACAGTAGGTACTTTCCTGGACAATGGGGATTCGAAAGGCGGCTGCTAACTTTGATAGCATTATGTGAGCTAACGAGGCCTCTCCAGATGCCAAGCCACCAACTGACGCGGATCAGATTCCGACCGTATTCGAGAACTATGTGACAGACTGCCGAGTCGATGGCAAATCGGTACAGCTTGCCCTTTGGGACACTGCTGGGCAAGAGGACTACGAGCGTCTACGGCCGCTGGCCTACTCGAAAGCCCACGTCATTTTAATAGGCTTCTCAATCGAATCACCCGATTCGCTAGATAATGTGAAACACAAGGTAGGTGAGCCAATGCTGTCCGAAGATTCGTGCTGACAGAAGCCAAGTGGGTGGAAGAGGCCAATCGACTGTGCGCAGACGTTCCCGTCATCCTCGTGGGCCTGAAGAAAGACCTCCGCGAGGATCCAGTCATGATCGAGGAGATGCGCAAGAAATCGATGCGCTTCGTCACACCACACGACGGCGAGGCGGCGGCCCGCGAGATCAATGCCAAACGGTATCTCGAATGCTCTAGCTTGAGCGGCGAGGGTGTGGACGACGTGTTCGAAGCAGCCACCCGCGCCGCGCTATTGACGTTTGAAAAGGGAGAGAGCACTGGATGCTGCGTGATTCTATGAAAGGTGCCCCCGGACTATATATCGCCATTTGCTACCAGCGGCCATTTACATCGCCGTCATTTCCATTTTGCTTGCAAGCGTTCTTTCATCATCGCTTCTCACCTGTCATAATTGTACTAATACGAGTGCTGGGTAGGGGGTTGGACATGGGCTGGCGCTACTCTGAATGCGTTGGGTGGCCTGGAAAAAAAGCGAGAAGGGTACCCTTGGGTAGTAATGATGAATTCTTGTTCCAACGCCGCTTTACATGTTACTGATACAGATGTACATGATCCGCCGGGACCTGGCCTAGGTTTGCCTCTTCCAGTCGTGATTCCACGGTGTTGCTCCGGGGTAGTCTGTCTGGTACCGCGCGTACTCAATGGGTACTGCATTTTTGCCCCAAACGCCCTTCTTCTCCATGGCGACACGGTAGAGATAGCCCACGCCCTTGTCTTCGCCGGGTCCGCTGACCGTTCTCAACTCTTCACAGGCATTGTACATGCCCGCCTGCATCCTCGCGCGCTCCTTCTCCATTGATTCGCGCTGCTGGCGCCTAAAAAGCAGCCACGCACGGTGGATCGTCCAGTGACGCAGGTGTCGTAGACGGGCCATTCGTAGGGGGGCCGGTGGTGGAGGGAACATGTTCTGACGGAGGGTGCGCACTTTGAGGAAATGCTCAGAGCGCTGAGGACCGCCCTTCTTCTTGCGCTTGTTGGCCTTGTCTGGGTTGGCCGATTTGAGGGCCGCCATGGGCGATGTGCTGAATAGTCGGGTGAAGCTTTCGGCCAGAGAGGTCGTCTTGGGGAGGACCGTCGCGCGGCTGGGCAGCCATCGGAAGGTGGGAGGAAAGGCCATGATCGCGGTGAAGACCGTTGTTGCTAATAGAGAGGAAGAAGGCCGCCGGCGGCTGGCAAGAGATGGTTGTGATAATTCGACCTGCTCGAGATGGATCAGGATAAATTTGGGAGTTGCGAGCGCGTCGTAGATTTCAGATGTGGCTGGTGAGCCTGATGCGAGATACTATGGCGCCAGCTGTGGCTGGTGCAGCAGTCAGCCTTCAGGGGTAAGGCTCGAGATACGTATCTAATATACTGGGTCACGTGTTTCGTCTGCACTGCAACTGGCAACGCCCATCAACATTCAGTATCAGAGGTACGTACTTTGCATCTATTGTCAGAGTTGAGACTTACAAAGCAGTGTTTCTTTGAAGACAAACTTTGGCGATTGTGGGACTGTTACCTCTTGTCTTGTGTGAAGCCATCATTGTGGTGCACACGGTGTCGACTGCCTAGGCCCCCAAAGTTTCAAGTCCCAAAAGACATCGCGAGTTGTCAAATTACTTTCACTTCAGGTTTTGGAGCCTTTTGTATCGATTAGGGAAGTCTCCAAGCCACAATCGCGATGCTGTCAGTACGAGAGTGTCTGAATAACCCTCGGCCTCTCGAGCCTAGTACCCACCTGTCTGAACTCAGTGAGAAGCCACAACAACACAAGGTACCTTAGGCAGTCACAGGATCTCACGACTTTGATTAACCTTTGTTAGAAGCTGTACAGGATGGACTACCAGTATCTTCAAGGGTCCAGAATGACGAATTTGCTTTCTTTCCCCCTTTACTAAAAAATTCCATCCTAGTATCTCCGTTCTGTACTTTACAGTGCTTTCTGCAAACCTTTGTTTCGCCAAAGGCTACCAGATCCTTGTATTTGCTTGTATTTCTAGCACAAAGCGTTTGATGAGTCTTTTGCAGCTATTATCCGGATTTACAAGGTGTTGAACGTACCGATTGCTCATACCATAATCTCCGAGCAAACTCGACCCACGAGCTGATTCACCCAGTTCGACAGCAACTCATCAATCTAGACCTTCTATCATCAGTTTGAGAAGAGAAATGGCGCCACAATCTGATAAGATGGGCCGCGGTCGCCATGATAGCTGTATCCGCAGCAATCGCTTTGCATGGAGCGACGACGACGTCAAGAGCTTGCAAGCACTGTTTGATGGCTCAGATGATGCAGTCTTTGGCGAGACGAAAGTACAAGGGACTTCCACAATTCAGGAGTTTTCTTCGAGCCCACAAGAGGCAAAGATGTGCTTGCCAGCGGGAGACATTGGCGAAAGCGATGCGTCGAAGGAACGACAGCAAAGACACCATCGCAGCCACGCACAAGATGCTGCTGGTGATTCCATTGAATCAATCAGAATCCGACGTTGGCTACATGGGAAGGGACCAAATGCGAGCCACCACAAGCAGACACGGAGCTTCAGTCCACAACTCAAAAGCCTCCTTCACCGCAACCCAATTCAAGGAGCTTCACCGAGCGCACCAGACTCCGCAGACTCACGCTCTGCATCACAAAAAAGCTCGGTATCTTCGACGTTGTGGCAGCCGTCTGTTCCCGTTGCCTGTCGCCACAAGCATCGACCGTCCACCCCTTCCGATTGCCAGCACCACTCTCCCAGCACAGTCGGAAGACCTCAATTCGCGAGTGAAAGCCACCATTTCGAGATCTCCCTCCAAGAGTCAAGCTCTGCAGACAACACTTTGAGTGATGAAGAGGATTGGGATCTGGTTGAAAACCCGATGAACGACAGTGTGCATTCGGACAAGGCAGAACCTGATCACCAGCGCAAGCCGTTGACCTGCTCATTATGGCGACCACTGCGATCACAGCCCGAGCCGCCAATGAAACCCCCCTCTGATGACGCGGTCGAGGTCTCTGAATCACCAGAGAGGGAATACGACGAGATGGTAGCCAGCGAAGAGACGCAGGTGATCCGCTCCGACTGGACGGTCCCGGACAGCGCTGGCCGAAGTCAGCTACAGCAGGAGACGTACACGTTTGAGGCAGAGTATCCAAACGCAGCGCCCATCTTGCGTGGCATCTCAAGCCAGACGTATCTGTTCGAGACAGTGGGCTTTGTGCGCCCCACGATCAATCCTGCGTGGCATCAGTTTGCATCCGCTCTCGACAAGGCCGTCTGGGCAGGCGAAATAGCGGGCAAGGGTGTGTGCATAGCTGTCGAAGGGACCAAGATTGTCGGAAAGGTGGCCAATGATATAGTGTTCACTTTGGCGCCGGATCTATGGGATCGGGCAATTGTACAATGGGTCGAGTGAGGCGAGATGGCGGTCAGTTTTTGCAATCTACAATTTCATCATGTTGAGACCTCCAGAATGATCGCTTTTCGAAAGGACACTATGCATCCTCCATGTCCACACTGAACTTTCTGAACTAGACGGCGGAAGCAAGTCTGCCATCAGTCCAGGTTTCCTCACAAGGCAGGCAAATCCCATGCTCATCAGCAGAGACGGCAAGATTTCCTCAAGCATGTCCAGAGAGATTGAATCAATTCACCTTGTGCCACGATATGCACATTTGAAATGCGACATTTTTTTTACAATTGTTTTAGTCGATCGCCAACGGACACGACTGCGAGCAAGGACGAGGCCAGCGGATCATCGAGAATGGGATATGATCAGGCTGAAACCTTTGCTGTAAGTTGTCTTCATTTTCTTCGGTCGAAGCCTGTATTGCCTTGACAGGCTCGTGGTTTGAGGACGTTCGGAAGAGGCGGAATCCTGTCAATCGTTAGTCGAGGTGTGTAAAAAAGGGGCAAGCACACAAATGATTACATTACCTGTGCACAATCTGCCACGACTCCCTTGAGAGCAAAGGATGCACATTGACATGATTAATTCAGAGTCATATTATCTGGAGAGCATGGATTAGAAGCTGACCGGTGTTGCCCATCGCAGATGAGCTTCTGGAGGTACGACGCTCTTCAAACTGAACTGAAGGTTATTGGCAATCTAGGAGAGAAGAAGCATAAACCATAGCTCCAAGCGCCAGATGAGACTCAACATTCTGTTGTGTTGATTTTAACAGATCTCGATCTCTTGGCCTCGAAACCCTCCCGTTCTTGGCGGCCCGTAAGCTGGCTGTGGCTGCGACTTGGGAGCTGGTCGTCGTGTATGGAAGTAAAAGGCCCATGAAGAGACAAGTCTCAGCCAGAAGATTCTTTGAACAGAGAATCCCAGAACAAAGGTCCAAGAAATATGGAGGATGCGTGGTGCGGTCTGGAAAAATCTACAATCAGCGGAGAGGTTGACCCCTACAGGCATCCAGTCCCTGAGGTAGCAAACTTGAGACCCCACCCATGGTCTACCAGGACATGTAGCTTGCCAAACATTGTAGAAATACTTCCCAGGTGCTGTATTCCATACCAAACACCCTTCACAACAATAAAACTTTTTGTACTTCATATAGGCCGTCACACGTCTATCTTTCGGTCTGCGGCCTGCCCCAGATATCACTCCTAAACCTTTTCCTGGCCAAGTGTTCAACCCTCCCATCAAGGCAGATTACCCCCACCGATCGAACACTTTCCTGGCTCAGGCCACTGCCAGCTTCCCCGCCAGATTTTCACCACACGCTCTAACGCGTTGGACACCGTATGGAGAAGCGGTGGAAACATCGACGATCGCCTCTACTGACTTGAGGCTCTTGCAGAACCAGACAAAAACAGCTATTCCAACTGCGAGGTATGGACTTCATGCTCGGACGCCGACACAATTGGCTCGGGAAGACGATCTTCAGCACCTCACTACGTTCTGTAGAACTTCCATCCACTTGCCACCGCCGTCGATGTTGACATCACAAAAAGCTCGTTGCCAATATCCGATAGGGAGCTCACTTGAGACACCTACATCTCCAAAGAGAGGTAAAAGTATATCACGAATGCTTTTGCTGAAATGTGATAAAGTAGGGCATATACCACGTTGATCATAGCAGGGAACGCTGCCTCGATGAAAGCGGCTCTTGCAACTCGACACTGGTGCTAGCAAGTTCCATCAAAGTTATCCACGGAGAAAGGCTTCCTTCTGTGGCCTTTGCTGGTCGGTTACGTTTCTGCGAGTATTTCTCAATGTCACGCATAATCCCAGGGGCTAATGTTGGTGGCAGGATCTTTCCGAAAGCACGCTTTGTATTCATACTCATTCACGAAAAAGTCGGAATACTATCTACATAGGCTTTATACAGCAAATGCACGACAAATGGGAGACTTTTTAAACCTTCGCACGCCTGGCCCTGTCTGCTGTCACTTAGTAAAAAGGCGATGTACGTTTTGCCCTGTCACTTTCAGCCCTCACAGCATATTATGTAGAGTTTCGACAATGAGTCTAAAGATTCCTAATCTATAACGGACATGGTTTTGTAAAAATAGAGTTTCGGGAGTGTCTCCGAAGCTTGAATAAAACGGAGGAATATCACGATGAAGAGGAGAAAGTCCAACGCCCTTCCTACCTTGTTGATCCCGGCAAAACGAAGTGGCCTGCTGCCCACAAGGGCAAGAGGATGCTGCAAATACTAGCCACGGGGAAGGTCATTTATGACAAGTTCAGTGACGATTGGTCCAACCGAGAAAAGGAAATATTCTACGACTTTGTTGACGGCATCAAGCTATTGACTGCCATAGTGGGCCAGCAGATCGCCAAACATAATACTTGGAAGAAGAAGACGAAGAAGGAAAGCTCCTACATTACCTCCTATCGACTCCACCTGTACTACGGAAAAATGAAAATCGAGAACGCGAAGGTAGCCTACCCCTGGTACCAGGACACTTACAATTGAGGCGAACCCGGCCTAAACACTTCCCCACGCGCAAGCCCCAAAGCTGGAGAAGTAGAAGATCCTCCAGTTTCTGAACTGGTCCCATGAGGGCGTTGTAGAAGAGGTTTGCAGGACACTTGAATAGCCTGGCTCGTCGACGAGACTTGGAAAGCCCAATCGTCTAGAGATGAAGAAAGGGAGAAGCTTCTCCGTGTGAAATAACAAAAGTTACAAGAAACAGCCTTTAGGGACAGGAAATACTGGTGCCTGGAGGAGCTTTCGTTGAGCTTTGGCATCCGGAATCTTATCGAATCGCTTTGTCAAAGACGTGAAAGATGAGTTGAAGTCGGAATGAATGTCATACGTAGCCCTACACTGTGCCTACATTGTTCCGTCTTTCACTTTTGTTTTGTAATACTTGTTTAAGACCGCACTGCTATGTAAACAATGTCCTCGCCATAACCACCAACTCTTCCGCCAGCCCCTTGAACATCACCAACACCAACACCAACCCCAACAACACCAGCAGCCCCCTTAACAACCACAATGTCTGCTTACGGCCTCAACCCCATTTCCCTCCCCTCCAAAGTCGCCCCAGCCCCGGCTACCACCACTCCTCTCGTCATCACCGTCAAGTTCGAGGTGCTGACGGTCGAGTCTCCCCGTTCGCCCCGCCCCTCTTCTGGCACGGACTCGGACATGTAAGCCTCCTTACACTGTCATCCTACTTATGGACGTGACTGACGCAAGTAGGTCCGTTCTGCTCGAAGCCGCCCCTGAGGTTCGCCCGGCTCGAGCCCTTCTGGGCCCTCGCATCGAATACGGGGTGCATGTCGAGCGCACCCTCGGCACGAAGACCGAGACTAGCTGGGGCTGGCCCAGAGAGAATGGGCTGATTTGCGTGGCGAAGAAGGGGTTCCGCCTGGACTGGGACCATCTGTTCTCGCTGTGACTTTTCGAGACACTGCGCGGGGAAAACGCTTCTTCCGCCGGTATAAATATTTTCCCAATTGGTGAACAATAAAACAAGATTCCTCACGATATGAAAACATTTTCCTAGGGTTACTTTGGTGACTATTACATATCCAATATGAACTATCTAGCGAGAGTGAATACTCAACTACGAGCTGTGCCACGGTAACCCAGGAGGCGTGGATACTGGAGAGAACGCCGCCGTGTCTTTGATGTCTACTATGTTTAACGAGAAGTTGCCCCTATATATCCTTGAAGTGTTTTCGTCTTTGACAGGCCCTAACTGCCTCCTTATCTGAAGTCCCCCGTGTTCTCTTGTTGCGCGTACTCTAGTTAGATTGGAAGGTATTGTGAGTATTGTTGCATGTATGCCTTGAGACCAGTTTTGCGTGTTCAGGAAAAGGACCAGAGCTGGCGGTCTCCTCTCTGGCTGGTCAAGAAGACCAGAGCCAGTTTCCAAGCGGTAGGTGAACGTGGTTTCGATATTGCGGTATTCTGCGGGTGCAGGAGATTGATTCGGCTGTCGAGACATCTCTTCGCCCTTGAGTCGCTGCTGACAGTCTAGAACAAGTAGCTTCCAAGTTCTTAGATGTCAAAACTTCTTCAGCGTTGAAATCTTCTGAGACAGAGTCAAGCCTGACGCAAAGACTGTTGGACTCTGTTTTGATTCTTGCAGCTCGCGAGCTCGGCGCTCGAGCTCCTTTTCGGAACATAGATCGTTGCTCCCTTGTCGTTTCTGAAGAATCCCTAGGGTCAGTCAGCTTGGGTTTATTCAGCAGAAATTTGCGAGCGATGTGCCTGGAGGAAGAACATGAACTTACCGAATCCTCACTCAAATGTCCTGGCTGCTTTGTTTTAGTCTGTTTTCCAGCGTCTTCCCCTAGAGAGACTGTGGGTTAATCCTCGGGGGTTTGGAGCTCTGCGCTTATCTTAGCACTGGCGTCAGTTTACTGGCACTCGCAGACTACCATATTCTCAGTAGCGCCAGCAACAGCTATGTTGACGAAGTAATCTTCGTCAGTCCGATCTTCTTCCCCGCCGTATTCATAGCCATATTCCAACAACTTTCGTTCGTACATGTAGCCCTCCGTACCTTCAAAGTCCCCATCCAGGTAATGGTCCTCGACTTCTCCCACCAAAAAGGCTTGCTCTCGCGCCTGCCAATGCCGGATTGGACGTGTCTGGCCTCGTCCGCGCCATTGATCTCGCTGACTGCCGCGGAACACGCGTCGTTCCCATCGTTGCGTGCCTCTACCGCCAAAGTTTCTTCCAGCCGGAGCTCTGTCACCAAAGATGCGATCGCCGTGTCCTCTTCCACGGCCAAATGCGCTATTTCGATTCCAGGTACCTTATGGAACAAGTAGTGAATAACAAGTCTAGTTCTTTATGTAGTTCATCCTTTTCGTTTTGGAACCGATAGCCAAGAGCTTTCGGGCATTAGAGAGAAATGCGAATAACAAAGCCGAGTCGATCACTCTTTTATGGACAATCCATAGATTGATGGCGCTTTCAGGCCCGAAGATCGGAAACAAGTGGCTTTGGACGCGGATCACATATTGACACAAGACGTAGGTTCCTCTTCGAACACCACAGCATCTTCCAGAAAGAACAATCAAGAGCGATCACAACGTGCAAAGCTGGATTCCAATTAGTGCATGGGGTCAAATACCGCACTCTCATTCAAATCAAGCCCAACCCCAAGCCCCTGTTTGCGCCGGGACAAACAATAACCGCCTCCCGAACCAAATAACAAACAAAACGCCCCCTATCCCAATTTGACCACCGGCAGCTCGAGGTTTCCCTCCCAAGCGAGCCAAACCAGCACCAGCCGCATCAGCCAGTCTCGAAACTAACGACGAGCAGCCGCACGCAGCGCCAGCTCGAAAGCCGCCGCCGCCTCAGGAACCGGCCGCGCCCAAACCACCAGAGGTCCCTCACGAGGGTACTCCTGGTTGATAGCAACGTCATCCGCCAGCATGTGATCCACCACATAATCGACCTCGTTCACGAACCAGTCCTGTGGACTCTGCAGAGCGCTCGCCGCTTGTCCATCCAGGCCATCAGCCAGTTCCCGCGAGAAGTGCGCCGTGGTCATGGGCCAGTACTCTTGAGGAATCACGGCCCAGTACAAGTTCAAGATTTGTAGGGCGTGGGCGCTGTACCGTGGTGTCGGGGGATTGGCGTGGCGGAGAAGGTATTCAAAGGCGCCGGCAAGTTCTTCGGACCTGTACGTGATCCAATCCAGCGAAACAGAGGAGTGCCACGGGTCGCGGGCAAAGACACGGATGCCGATGAGACGAGAGAAGAGGCGGGAGAGACGCTCGGCGACGAGGATCATGTCCAGGAAAACAGCGAGATCCGTAGCACCAATGACGAGACCGAGAGTGAGGTTAGCCTCGTAGCCAGTGACAGTCCAGGGGTGAACAGTCATCTCGAGAACAAGACCGAGGAGAACGGGGTCCATGACCAGGGACAAGGAGTAGTTGCACGCTCGCAGGTCCGTGAAGAAGTCTCGCCACCATGCGTAGACGCACAAGGCGTGCATAGGCAGAGTGACGAGGAAGCCACCGCGTGCTAGCACGGGAATGTTCAAGCTATCGTAGAGTGTGCCCGAGGCACCGAAGACACGGGGAGTTGCCAGCAAGGGGTGGTCTTCGTAGGAGGGTACCTCGTACCAATCGATGGAGCGGCGAAAGGGAGGTCCAGACTGTGCCTGCGCAGCACCGCGAGCTTGGGGAGGAAGTTGATTTAAGCAATTAGGCCTCTCACCATTCTCTCCATTGTCCTGCTGTTCGTGACACATTTTGGTTGGCTTTGCTTCAGGCTTTGCACAAGTAGAGTTGCTAGATCCGTTGGATAGCTAGTTAATAGAGCCAGTGCAACGGTGAGCCGGATTCGGAGAGGAGGTGCGTAAACAGTCTTGAAGTCTTTGATGAGGCTTCTGTAGGGACGAGAGAAAAAAGAAGGTTCTCCTTAGGAGAGTATGATGCTTAAGGAGATAGGCGTGTCTTAGCAGAGGAGAGAAAGGTGCTTGTAAGGACTAGAGAAAATAGAAGCCTTTCTTAGGAGAGTATGTTGCTTCAGGAGGTTGGTGCATCTCAGCAGAGGAGAAAAGTATTTCAGCAGGCCATCAGGTGGTGATCAGTATCTGCACAGCCCATACTGCTCTTTGACCTATGCCAAGCGTTCCCCTATTGGGGCCTGGTTCAGACGGACAAGTAGCTGATGCAACCAAAAGACTGTCATAAGTACTGTATTAGGGCTCTGCAAAATTTGTGGCTATCGACTATAATTTCCAGACTCTGTATTTCACGTCCACACGTCCGTAACGACCCAACCGCGCATTTCCATAGAAACCCCCATGTGTCCTTTTCGTTCTTCTGTCAGAGAATCTCTGCTCAGTTTGCGTTGTTTGCTGCCTGAGCAGCCTTCTTCTCCTGGTACGCGGCGTACTGCTGATCGTACGCAATCCTGCCCACCGTGTCTTTGACCTCTTCGATCCACGCCTTGACTCTATCCAAGTCCCAGGAGCCCTCGCTGTTTCGCATCTTAGGCGCGACTACTCCGTAGCTCTTGTTGTCCTCGAGCAGAATCTTCTTCAGCGCCTTGACGAGAGTTCCACGGTACTGCTGCGCTTTGGTGTCGGTGCTGTCGGCGGGAGGTGCCGGAATCGATCCCTTGATGAGCGTTGTCCATATGTAGTCCGCTTCTTGCTCCTGCATGAACTCCTTTTTCCGCGCGTTGTACTCTCTCTCAACCGCGAACCGATCAAAACATTCATACATGATCTCCTCACGGTTCGTCCTGCGACGCACATACTTGCCCTCCCTGCGGCACTCGGGAATGTACTCTTCGATCCATCGTCGAAAGCCGGGACGTACTTTCATCCGCTTGCGGTCGTTAGCCTTGAGTTCGCGGCGGTCTTGTCCTTCAGCAGACGGGCCACCAGCCTCGTCGGACGAGTCCTCGAGCGGCGGGACGTAGAACATGCGACAAAGCGCGATGAACTCGCAGAGCTCGTGGAAGCTGCCGAACGGACCACTAAAGAACTCATCGGAATCCAAATTAAGAAAATCGAGAATTTCAAACGGGTGTGTCGTCAGCTCGATACGGGCGCGCTTGCGGTTGATGTGTTCGTATTCGGGGATGCGCAGCCACAAAGCCTGCTCATCGACGGTCAGGCCATAGGGGCGAATGATCGTGCCGATCATGTTCCAGGCGTCGCCGTGGGCATGCTTAAAGAGAACCCATTCCAGACGGTGGAAAGTATCGCACACGCGAAGGTCGACCTGGATGTAATCGACAGGAGGAGGGGGGGTGTCGGGACCATCGCGAATAGCAGTCCTGACGGACCCGTCGGAGCTGGACTCGGAGTCGGAGTCAATGTCCCATGGAATGGCGACACTTAGTGAGATTTCTTCGTGGTTGACAATCTTTGACCGCACAGCAGACAATTCGGACTCCAAAAGCTCGACGATGTTCTCCCTGGACGGGTTCCGATACTTGAACCCATAGAGAACGATGTCAATGTCGCCAAAGTCCTCTTTTTCAGGCCCCTCGATGGGCGTATCGACTGTCTGGAAGTGATCTTGCAAGATGCTTATGATGCGCTCCTTGCGGTCAAAGTAGACGTCCTTGGGCATGCGAGGAGTGCGCAGAGAATCAGGTCCCGAAGAGAACACTGAGCCACCCATGTTGTTACCTTGAGCGGCTGTGACAGGTCAGAAAGGAGAGCGGCAAGCTGGAGCGTGCTGTACCTGCTGTTGATCAAGAAAGACAAGACTGAAGCGGGGTCGGCCTGTGAGTCAATCTCCAGCAAATGATGACAGCAGACATGTAAGCAGAGTGCTTATCCCGCCGGGCAATATTGTGGAAAGAAATCCAGGGAGTGTGACGAAATGGTGTCTGGTGTGGATGAAGAAGATGGTGAAAGTCGGAAGTGTTGGGATTTGGGGGGTTGACGGGGATCGAGTGCAAGGCTTAGCCTATAGGTGTCTGGCAAGAGCTAAAGCTAGGGCAAGAGATTGGACGGCGGCACTGCCACTTCTACAGGTGCTTGCACTGGTCAAGTCAAGGAATTGATGTCAATATAGATGAGCTCTAGTCTGGAAAGTGAAGATCTCGGCTTTGTCCCGGAGAATCACCATGTTGATGCTTTTGGTGCATGCGCGTTATGTACCTTCCCGTGAACGGAGACCGGGACCTGCACGTTTACAACGTCTTCTTTCAGCATGCTGAATTTTCCACTTGAGACACAAGACGCGTAAGTCTCCTCAGGTAATGCCCGAGTCTAGTACTCGGAAGTTTTCAGTTGCTTCCCAGAACATTGACCTTCATATCACCCCAAGTGTGCATAGTGTCGTCGTTGCAAGACAACATCCAAGCAAGCGACCCAACAAACACACCAGCACACGATGGCTTTTTCAAAGGACAAGGAGATAAAATTGAGTCCAGCTGTTGAATTTAGCGAGGTCTGTCTGTTCTCACATGTTGGTAGATGCTCAACGACCACCCTCCGTCTGATGCTCGAAAATCACACAAATCTCAACGTCCCGCGCCGACCGACGTACTCTCTGGGTCGTGGTATCGAAAGACGCCTTCCACTACGACTTATAACATCGAGAAGTGGCACGTCATCATCCTCGCAAGCGACAGAATCCTCAACAACAACCGCCGAAAGCTTTGACTGCTGCTGTTGGAAGCTATCACCCCGAGACATGCGGAACGTGTTTGCCGATGTCCAAGTTGACGCTTTTCTTGTCGGGCGTCCACTCCCTGTTCTTGAACGCGCGAGACTGGGGCGCTGCGGGGGAGAGCTGGCCACGGTGAAAAGGTCCTCTGGCGCCTGGCTGTCCACGTCACACTGCTGGAATTGGTTCTGCTGCTTGATGATCTCGTAGTGTTTTCCGAGCAAGCCGGTGGAGCTGAATGGACTGTTCTCTTCCAGACGATCGAGATTCTCTCGTGTCAATCGACGCGAGTACGCTTGGTCTGCTGCTGCGTGGCTCGAGGCTGGGAAGGAGTTGTAGTCCCCTGAGTGCATATGTTGTCGTTGCTCTCCCACGGTCGATCCGTTGAGTGATCCACTGGACCTTTTTGCTGGTTTCTCGGGCTCTTGCAAATATGGGCGAGGTTCAAAGGCCTCGGTCGTGTTTGAGGACAGCACCGGCATTGTGTAATCGTTCGATCAGCGTTGGGCGTCAGAGATGCGACATAAACTTGCTGTTGAACACATTGCCATTTGCCTCTTTCAACGTGGACATGCCATTCTATAACCTGGTGTTATATACGTACTCAACACACCATGTCCACGAACATGCGTACAGAGCTCTTACGCAAGTGCTAGGCCACCACCATCAAAGTCCGAGTTCTCCACCTCAGGACTTTTGGTCGAGAAGCCTGCGGGAGGGAAGTTTGGCTCTTCATGCCCAGGCTGTTTCTTGAAATCCTAGGATTCCAGCGAATCAGAGGTAGTTCAACGAGCCAGAAACCGATCACAGATCGGCCATTTTTCCCCGTCTCCACTTGCTGTCAGCTTCAGCTCCCGGCCCCTGTCGAACCTGCATATGCTTGGCATCTATGAAGAGAATCCACAAATCGAAGAGCTCGTTTGAGAATGTAGCCGTCATGATTCTGTCTCTGTCGCATCCAATAAGCACTGGAGTGCAAGGGTCACCACCGAGGGTCCCAATCTGCTCGGAGGTATGAAGACGCAGAAGTAGGCGGGATCAAGATATCCTAGACAATTGCTAGCTTTTGTAGAAACATTTTCTAGCTACGAACAAGGCATAAAGGACCTCCATCTTTTTGATTCTTTCTCAAGGAAACGATGTTGGCTAGCATTGATGAATATTGCGCAACGACTAGTCGGAGTAGTAGAGGTCGAGATCCCACTCGGGAATGATGTCCCTACAGTTTGTCGGACTATCGTCTACCCAATCGTCGTATGTACTGAAAACAAAGTCTTCTTCATAATCGAAATCCCAAACTTTGTCATCGTCGAAATCCCAAGCTTCGTCATCATCGAAGTGGGCACGAGGACCAGGTCCATGACACCTGTCCAGAGTTCTGTTCTGGTCCTCGTTCCACGGTGCTAACGTCCGACTAGGGCCATTCGGTTTGTACCCGGGTCTCTGAGATGCCAGAACGCGCTCCCTGGTCTCGTTGTTCACCAAGTCCCGCTGCATATTGGCAGCTACTTCAAACCTTTTCCACAGCTGGGGAAGATACTGAACATCGCCAACGCAGTAAGAAATAATCTCACTAGGAATTGGTCGCTTCTCAAAGACTGTAAAGGAGCCGCCACTTTTCGGATTGAACAGTTTTGTCCCATTCTCCTTTGCCAGCTTCCAGCTGGCGAGACCTCTCCTGTCTGGCGAATATTGCTCAACACACCTGGCTAGGCTGTTCAGATGCTTTCTAGAACGCGCAGTCGCCCTCGAAGCGCTCTCCATAAGTTGAACATCCTGCACTCCTTGTAGTGCGACGCCAAAATGTGCAAACAAGACGTCTGCGTCGTTGCGGACGTCAAAGAATACTTTTGGGATGTTCTCGTTTTGAAGGACGTCTTTCAGCGTCTGACCCTTGGCACCGGTGGTTTCGAATGTTTGCATGCCGAGGGAAAATACATCGATCAGGTAAACGCTTGGCGTCGGCGTGCCAGTATCAATGAGAAGGGTAAAGATGGAAAGTGTGCCTTCACGGCAGAGGTTCACACCTTCGAGATCGATATACATTGTTGGCTCGAGCGGTTTTGCTGGTGCATGGCGGAGGATGAGCGAGTCGACTAAATCGCCGATTTGCTTTGCTGCGTTGATGATCTCTGTCTTGATCTCTCCCATGGTGTGCAGGGTCTCATTCAGTCGTATGCTCATTGGCAAGAAGGATGAGGTACTGGGTTCTTCAACGTTAATGTCGAGCGGGGTTCCATGGTGCTTTATGAAGGCCATGAAAGCAGGTCACGTACCTATCATTGGCCGTTGGTTGGCGCCCCTGACACTGTGACTGACGTTGTCCTACCCAACTTCATGTTGTGCCGCGTCTGGTGTTGACCAATGGCTATATGTATGTCTCGGAGCAAGCGGAACAAACACGCAGTGCTGAAAATGCTCCTCGTCTCGTCACGAACTTCCTACCTACTCGATTCCCCTCCACCAACGATCATTGACTCCATAGCTCCGGTCACGCCTCTCTCCACCTCGGCCTCCCACTTTCGCCACAATTCCACGACTGCAACGACACCAGAAAAGGGGCTGTCTTGATAATACCCAAGAAAACACCGGTCCCTAATCTAACGGCGACTCCCTACTACCCCGCTCGTCGTTTCGGATTACCATTGCGGCTAAGTTGCTCGCGATGATGCTGGCGTACTGCTCGCGGCCGATGAAATGATCAAACCAACGGACTAGCATGCTTAACCACAACGTATCCAAATGCGTCTCGGCGTCGGCCTAGGCTCAATAGACTATGCCCGTGTCGAAAACGCCTCATGCTATCTGCATGTGCTGTCTTTGGCTTTTGGTGGCTCAATGCGGTGGCGCTTGTCTTCTAGCACGCCTCTGTACGTAGCTCGGCATGATCATGAAACTGACAGAATGTGCCCGTGGTACTCATTTCCAGCCGCTATAAACAACCATTGCAATTCTGGCGACTTGGTTTGCGACCTGAACCTCACATCATACAGGTACAGGCATGTATGGTGTCTCAAGCTCTCATCGCTTAATGATGTCGAGGCCTCTCCACTGCGCCATGAGCTGTCGTACTCGGCCTTCCTGGGCTTCTGCCTGGGGAGCTCCCAGAGTTCCCTCTCGCTCTCCGTAGAAGGCAGCCGTTCCCTGGGGCCCACATAAACGGCGACACCAGGCTTGGACCGTGGCGCGTCGCTGGACAGCTCCAGACCGGCACTGCGGGAACCGGTCGAGGCTTGGCCCGCGCTGCTGTCCTCCACGTACTTGCCCTGGCCCGCCCCGAGCTTGTCCTGCCGCCAGCACCTGTAAAAGGCCTTGATGGCCGGCATGTTGGCGGCGATGATGCCCATGTCGATCTCGACCGCCGATATGATGACCATCTTGCCCAGCGCCCAGGTGAAGTCGGGGGACTCGGCGAACTCGGAGAGGATGATGGCTCGCAGGCCGCCGCACAGCACGGCAGCGCCGCCGGCGGTGACGACGGCAGTGACGGCTAGCTTTCTCTTGGTCGACATTTGCAATGTGATGATGGTCGGTAGGGGAAGGACGAGGATGCAGACGTCCACAAAAAGATTCTTCAAGTCATTACTCATGTCAGTAACTCAGCGGTCCGTGAAAGAGTGGATAGGATGTTGCATCAAGACTCACCAGAGAGTATGGAATGAAGTATGCGCTGCGGGAACGGCAGTGTTAGCGAAAGGTCACCAACTCCCATTGTTGTTGTTCGCTTTGTCAGAGGAGCTTACATGTCGTTACTGATGCACTTGACGTCAGGGTAGAGCTTAGGATGGTAAAATGCCTCCAGCGGCTGACATTGCAAGGCATAGAGCAGCCATATGGCAATGGTGGACCCGGCATGGAAGACAATAACAGACCATAGCGCGATGCGAAATGGCCGCTCGCTGAAGAGACGGAAGAAGAAGAGCAAAAAGCACATCTTGACGCTGAACTGCATCCAGACATAGTAGAACTCCTCCGCTAGGAGACCCTGGCCACCGTCTTGTATTAGTTGCGTTCACACGTTTCGTCCACAAAACCGTATGGGGACGCGAGGGTGTGCCTACCTTGAGGAGATCTGTCATGACCTCGGGTCGTGTTGCCGTGACTACTTCAAGGTGCCTGATGCATCTCCCGGTTAAGTTTTCTGTTTTGCAATGTGCCTTTCCATACTGACGGATGAGGCGACGGAGAGGACTGCACGCAACACGATGCACTTACACGCCGGCGCCCTTGTCGAGGAAAAGTTACAGAATGGCTTGCTGCGTAGGGAAGAAGATCTGTATGCCGTAGCGTTCGTTAGCCTGCATATTTCGTTCGCTGACTGCATCGGAGTTGTACGTACCGTCATGCTAGCCATCATCCAGTCGTCCCAGCTCAAGTCCTGCAGGGCGATTCCCCTGACCCAGATGCGCATCGGGATAGTGATCACGGCGATGGGGAACAGCGCTGTGATGACGCCGTACGCGAGGGGGGGCATGTCGTCCATTTCCATGTTGGTGATGGCAGCTACGGCTGCTGCTGTCGTCGCGTAGGCGTCCTGGTCCCGGCGGTTGAAGGGTGGAGGCTTTGGGACCCCGAGTGTAAGAAATGGGGCGAAAAGGAGCCAAATGATACTTATCGGACTGCCGAGAGACGGCACGGCAGGTTCCCCTTCAGCCCTTCTGGGATCTGGAATAGCGAGTCGTAAGGATGGAGTTCCTTACATGTAGCTCCGTACCCTTGGCAGAAACCAGACGGCAGCAGGGGCTGGGCTTCCCCGAAGCTCGATGAAGAACTACTAACCCCCGTTAAGAACTTGTCATGAACACCTGTCAGACTAAATAGGGAAGGAGAGAAAGCTCTTTTGGTTATGGAGCCGGGGGCCCTGGAATCCCTTCGCTTTGGCATTGTCAGTAGTGGATTCTGATGCGGTTGCCAGAGGCCTCGGAAGAGAAGAGAAGCCATATACTTGACCCCTTCCTTCTTTGGAGATAAAGATAGCTGGGGAGTACATGTAGCCGTATTCGGGGTAAGAAAGAGTTAAAAAAAAATAGAAAAAAAACCCTCGTTCCCGAGGGCTGTCCACAATGTTGCGTTGCAGGACATGATTGTATGAAAACGGGGATCATGAGGATGCAAACGGTGGATGCAGTCCCCTAGGCCAGGCCGGAAAGGCAGGGCCTCAACCCGAGAAGACTACGATTGGTGCCCTGAGGGTCTGCGCGTCTCCATTGCTGCGTTTTGTCAACTGGCACTTCGCTTAGCACCTGCCAGACTGTCCATCCGTGTTCCGTAGCGGGAATAGTACGGATACCTGGGATGACACCGGCAAATTCACGCCAATACGCGGCATCTCCATAAATAACCGTTGCGACGCAACAAGCGCGCCTGGTGCCTGGTGCAGTGGTGCCTAATCGGCACTCGCAGTCCAGTCTCGCACAGCGCACAACCCCCCTTTTGCCGTATCGACTATGCCAATATCTAAACCCAGATGGCATCAGCATCACAATCTCGTTCGTCACGTGAGGTAAACCGCAGTCAGGGGACCAGAAACTTGGAGACTACAGTCGATATCGAATGCACGTAGTACGGCGCATTAGGGGGATGACGAGCGGTGATTGAATACCGGGATCCCCCGCCCCCCCAGTCTCAGTCTGTCTGTTCGTGCGTACAGATATAATATTACGCCACATGATTCAGGCATTCGCATATCCGTCAGTATGTACCGTTCGTCTCATTAATGATCAGTCGACTTTCTCCCCAGTCCTCGACACGTCTGCTTGTTACATACGGAGTACATGGGGGGTGCTATCGTTCGATGGGGACCATGGTTCCCTGTTCCAATCATTTCGAGGCCATTTCAGTCTGCATCCCTCAGCATGTACGTACCGTAGCTTTGTGGCCGTTTGGCCGTTTGGCGAAGGGTCACTTGGCGCCCGCGGGGCATTTGCGTTGCTTGCTTGCTCGCATTTGCCCTCAACTCTGTCTGAACATTGCTGTTATCCTTACACACCTACTTCCGCGTCACAGGCTGAGGAAGGGCGGCAACAGAGTTAGCCAGTCGCTGCGTGTTTTGTTTCGGCCTTCAAATCCTTGATCCAGAACAACGATCGTGTGGCCATGAGCGCAGCACTGGAGCCGATCCTGCGATCGTCGTGGCAGGCGACCGCGGGCGTGTCAGCTCTCGCCGGTGTCCTCTCTCACCACACCGTCTTCCGGCCCTATGAGATCGACGGCGCTGGCTGGGAGCTCTTTTTCACCTACATCGGCACCTTCGTGACCCTCTGCATCGCCTATGTGCATATTGCTGGTTTCGGATTCGTGGCGAGCCTTGGTCGGATCTTGCTGGTCGCCACTACCTACAATGTGAGCCTCACGGCCAGCATCCTCGCCTACAGGGCCTTCTTCCACAGACTGGGACGCTTTCCCGGCCCTTTCCATGCCAGGCTCTCGCGCTTCTATGCATTCTACAAGGCGACCAAGACCGTCCGAGGCTGCGAAGATATCCAGAAGCTTCATGAGCAGTATGGCGACTTTGTTCGTGTCGGTACGAAAGCAGCTTGAACCCCGCGCCTCAATGGCTGCGCACCACATTGGTGTGCTTGACTACTACATGTAGCAAAACGACTAACAGGGGCAACAGGACCCCGTGAAATCTCCATCAACCGCCCTTCTGCGATCCGACCAATCTATGAGCCGCCTACAAAGACCACACGATCGCCGTGGTACGCCCAGGTCTCCAAAGATGTGACCAAGATCTCCCTGAACTCGACCCGCGTCCTCAAGGTGCACAAGCAACGCAAGAAGGGCTGGGAGCGAGGCCTCGGCTCTCGAGGTGAGACGGGCCAGACAACTTAGCTCCAGGAAGCCTAAAGTTGACCACGCACTGACGCTCCATCACAAGCCATGGCCATCTACGAGCTTCGTGTGACAGAAAAGGTCAACTCGTTGCTCTCCAGAATCGCAGCAAAGGCGGGCACGCCGATGAACATGGCCGACTATATCATGTTCTTCGGCTTCGATGTCATGGGAGACGTCGGCAAGTCCTCCCATGCTCTTTACTTCTTCCTGTTTGCGGTGAAGAGTCTTTGGCTAATGCGACGGAGCAGGTCTGTCCAAGGATTTCCACATGGTCGAGAACGAGACCGAGCACACTGCCATCAAGGGGATCCACGAGAGTATGATGGCCATTGGCATCATTGGGACAGTCCCGTGGCTGCTTTCCATGCTTGGCAAGATCCCCGGCGCGGCTGGCGGGTACGCGCGGTTCACGGGGTGGTGCCATGACCAGCTCCAGGAGAAGCGCAAGGTAACACGCATGTCCGTTCCCGTTGGACGTAGTGTCTAACGCCGAGCTAGATTATGGTCAACGAGAAGGCGAGTCTCCAGGACCAGGAGCCGCGGGATGTCATGTCGTGGCTTCTCAAGGCCAAGGAAGAGGGTAACCCGAGTGCTCCTCCGGGCGATCAAGCTGTGGAGGAGGACGCTCGACTTCTCATCATTGCTGGAAGGTAGGTCGCTTTGTTATTCCTGGCTAGCGGCCCTATATGCTGATAAATTTCTAGTGACACCGTCGCTTCTGCTATCACCAACGCGTAAGTGCCCCCCAAGGCTAGGCCGAATAACACGCCGCTGCCTAAATACCAAAGGCTGCATACTAACATGGACACAGACTCTACTATCTCGCAAAGAATCCGGACCGCTACAAGGCTCTACAGGACGCCCTTTGGCAGCACTTCCCGCACGGCGACAGCGACTGGACGTACGAAAAGGCCCGCGCCGTGCCCTACCTCGACTGGGTCATCCACGAGACCCTCCGCCTACGGCCCTCAGTCCCCGGTGGCCTCGCCCGCGTCACACCGCCCGAGGGCCTCATGGTCGACGACGTCTTCATCCCCGGGGACACTGTGACCTCCGTGCCGACCTATACAATGCAACGCGACGAGCGCTACTGGCCCGACGCCCTCTCGTTCAAGCCCGAACGGTGGGAAGGTCTGAACACCGAGAAGGCTCCCTGGATTCCCTTCACCAGGGGCCAGTGGGCGTGCTCGGGCAAGGCGCTCGCCATGATGGAGATGCGGATGGTGCTGGGACGGATTGCCCTGCAGTACGACATTGCCTTCCCCAAGGGTGTGACGGCGGAGAATGTCGACTTTCAGTTCAAGGACACCTTTACGCAGACGCTACCACCGCTACCGCTTGTGTTTACGCCTATCTCGCGGTAATGGCGCCTTTCACGGTGGACAGTGGCACCCGCTAGGTGTAGACCTCGTACTTAGTTCATGTTGGCAAGGGAGGGTACCAAGTTGGAAGCAAGCAAGTCATCTTCGGATATGTGCTGAGCTGGCTGTCCTCAACCTTGTGCTTTGGTCCTTGGCGAGATCCATAGTCAGCAAATCACTTTGAGCATTTCTCTCGCCTCCGTTCATGTCGTGATCTAAATAGCCGTTGTCCACCCACCGCCTTGGGCGTCGGGTCGGGGCATGTGACTGGCTACACTCACTTTGCAGGGCCACTTTGTTCTCCCACGCCGTTTGCCAGGCACGACACGTTGTGCACATCCGATTGATGTCTGTTTCTGGCCATGAGGTGTGATCTGAGTGGCCACGCAGTCACGTCCGCCCGGACCACCTTGGAGACCGAGCACACCAAGTGAAGACACCCAAACCCCGCGTGGGTATGGGTGTTTTTTGGCATGGGCGTCAGGACGTGCGTTGTTCCGCCCGCTCCCATGTCGGCTGTTTCCGTCGTCATCGACATCATTCGTTCCGCCCTAGCCGTTGTGGGTAGTATAGTTACCGTGGTTACGTGTTCTCCATCTGTCTGGGCGGCTACCCTACGTCAGTCCTCTTTGCGGCATGGCAGAGCTGATTCTACGTTTCCCTGCGGTCAGCTCACTTCAATATTGCCGCCGTCCAATTCTGCAGAGCTCCCGCTGCCAACGAGATTTATCCAAACCGTACCAAATGTCACCAATTTCAAATGACAATTTTGGTGGAAAACCACAAAGTGCACAGCAAAACTTCCAATTGACAGGTGCTGCCACAGCAACACATCCAGTCGCCAACCAAACACCACGCATTAATCTCAGGAGCCCCTGTACTCCGTATCCGGATCTCGTCATCGTTGAGTGGAAACCCAGGCTCAATCGGCGAGCACATGTCCGTCTTCGGCCCTCAATAATGCAGCGGACTTTTGCAATTTGCATACTAGCGTCGGCGGCCCATGCCGGGTGGGTGTCCCCAATGCAGCACTTGGTCCGACGGGATCCTGGGGTAATTAGCGTCTACGTAGTTCATGCCAGGGTTAATTCATTATTCATTCCATCGGAATCAGGATGATACATACGTTCGTTACACGTAGGACCTCTCGCAAGAGGGCGGAAAGCTGGTCGCTCGAACATGGGAATATTCCGCCTAGTATTCATTATTGTTACAAAGCAGCTGGCCTGCTGCCGAGCAGCGCGACAGTAGCGGTGTCTGTCGCCCATGAATCCGTGGCTTGGTCCAATGTGCCTCGGAACTCGGACAATACGCATATGCATGGTTAGACCGCGCCCTATGACGCATCCATCTACACGGAGTGTACGAGTGAGTACCCGAGCACCACAACCAAGCTGTGTAGACGGCTGTCTCGATACCACAGGAGATGATTACTTTCAACGACCCAGAATCCACGTACTCTCTCTCTCTCTCTTCAAGTACAAGCAGTTAAGCATCGCTCCAATCCATCGTGGCAAGCTAGCTACGTTTAATTAGACTACGTAGTCAATTAGCCCCCGGAGCTCCGCAAGGCGCCGCTTTATCCCCGCTACTCCGTCCCCCGAGTTCCTGGGCCTAATTTATATTATGGTGGCTTAGCCACGCACGCAGCCCACCATATAATCATCTGCCCAGCCGCCCTCCCAACTAGCTCCCAGTCCACTCCAGTCTCCTTGCACTCGTCACCTCCGCCTCTCTCTCACAACCAGACAGACCATGCTCTCCTCCGTCGTCTCCGCCGTGGCCCTCGCGGGCGCCGCGACCGCCAGCGTCGAGTGCGCGCGCGGCCTGCACATCATCGTCGCCCGCGGGTCCAACGAGGACGCCGGCACGGGCATCACCGGCACCCTCGCCGACCGCATCGCCGACCGCATCCCCGGCAGCAACGTCGCCGCCCTCGACTACCCGGCCACCATCACCGACCCGGCCTACTTTGAGTCGGTCGACGACGGCAGCGACGAGATGCGCGACGTCCTCCAGGAGTACATCGACGAGTGCCCCGGCGGCAAGGTCGCCGTCATGGGCTACTCGCAGGGTGCCCAGGTCTCCGCCGACGCTTTCTGCGGCGACGTCACCACCTCTGGCTTCGGCGACGAGGACGGCCTGCCCTTCCAGCTCGTCGACGACCCCATTGTCGCCATTGTCCTCTTTGGCGACCCCTCGCACGTCGCCAACGCCACCTACAACCGCGGCACCGCCGACTCGGACGGGGTAAGCCTTTTTCCTCCTTTTTTTTTTTTTTTTTTTTTGCCTTGGACTATGCTGACAAGCAAGCTCTTCCCCCGCCGCGACCAGGACGAGTGCGAGAAGCTCGGATCCCGCATTGTCTCCTACTGCGACGAGGGCGACGAGTACTGCGACCTCAGCGGCGAGCGCGACTATGACGTGCACGGCGAGTACGTCCAGAGGTACGGCGACGAGGTGGTCGACTTTGTCGTCGACCGCTACCAGAGCGTCGCGTCGGGCACGGACTCCTCGACCAGCGTCACCACGCCCACACCCACACCCACACCCACCTCTGGCGGCAGTGGAAGTGACAGCGAGGACGAAGCAACTGGCACGGGCGAGAGTGGTGCTGAAGAGACGGGCGAGGGTGGTGATAGTGCAGCTGCTGCCATGCTGCCCAGCCTCGGCCTCGTCGCGCTGCTAGGCATGGCTATGCTCTAGTGGAGTGGCCATGCGATGAACCGCGCTGCGGCTGTGCATTGTAGTGTAGATAAGCATCATACTCTAGAGCGCAGAATAGAATTAGATTCATGTCACAGCTGCTCTTCGAACCACTATGCTTCCAGGTCAGAACAGCGCAAGACGCGGCGGCGGTCGTCCTGCAATGCCCCCCCCTCACTCGATACAAGCAAGTATCATCTCATGTCGCGCTCACCTCGCGCTCACTAGCAGGTGAGTTTAGAAAATAAACATGAAGAAAAAGACTTCTGGCGCTGACTGTTTATTTATTTATTTCTATCTCTTTCTGCTGCCTTGCTTGTTTCTCATCCCCAACATCACTCGAGCTCTTCCTTCTTGGCTCCCTCTGTTCACATTTGAATCACATTACCCACACACAAACACACATCACATACCAACACCAACACTACAGCCAACATCAGCTCCGTCATGATGGACAAAACGGCTACTGCCAGTCGAGTTTGATCTACTATAAGCTCACGGATTTGGAGGAGGCGCTGGAGAATTTCGCCGGGGACATCAAGGTCGTGGAGCAGCGACGGGCGCCCCAAAAGATCCAGCGGAAGTTGGTGCCCAGCGCAGAGACAGTGTCTGTAGTGGGGACGGGGCTTCCCAACTTCGATGACTCGAAGGAGGCAGTTGTCCTGACGCAGGAGGAAGCGTCGCTGAAGGCGGTTAACGAAGGGATCCAAGGGCTTGGCAGACGTAGCTAGATGAGCTGCGCACCAAGCAATCGACAAAAATACACATCAACTGCCAATAACAAATCCCTCTCGCGCACGTCTTCTACTATTAATCGTGCTCGCAAACAAAATAGCAACAAGGGGGCGCGCAGGATCCCCCGCTGCCAAAAAACATGCCCCCACACCGACTTGAACGATGGGCCTTTGCATTACAAGTGCAACGCTCTACCACTGAGCTATAGGGGCTTCGAGAGGGTTGTTGAATTTTAAAACTATATTCTTCTCATCGTTTGCTGAACCACTACCAGGTCATTGACTCGGGCTCCCTGTTTTGGCATTGCTGGTGATTCACTTGACTTTTCAAGCTGCAGCACAGCTGACAGTCAGTCTCTGGTTTAATCCTAGGAGATTTCTTTTTCCCTGTACGTGCGACACACTTATACTTATTCTGTTCAAAATCAACGTGTTGTCGCGGCGTACGGATGTACAGATTTTCGCTTCCCCAAACGGCTACTTGGGGAAGAACCTGGTAGCCACCGCTAGTCCTGAACAAGCAGCCAAGACGCACTCCCGCCTCTCCACCTTTGTCGCCGTCATGAAAATGGACATCTCGCCTCCAGACAGGTCGTCACGATCGGAGAATTACACATCAAGCTCTTCTCCCTGCTTAATTCTCTTCAACTCCGGGGCCATGTCGACTGTAGCCATATCTCCTCGTTCCCTTCACCCTCGTTTTGACTGCCCACGATGGACACCTTGACCAACACTTAGACCCACCAAACCCTTCAGCGTCCAATATCACGACACTCACAAACGGTCTGTCTCGACTCTTGAGTCTTTGAAAACCCCCCCCTCTCACACACCATGGCCTCTCAAGAGGCTGGCATCCTCAGTCCGGGGATGTCCACGCCCCTCTCCACCTCCCCGGACAACGACAAGTCCCCCGACCTCGAGCGTCTGGGCCGCCAACGACCCGCCCTCCTCCCGACCTGGCTCACCGAGGCCGCCTTTGTCTTCACGATTGTGGCGTCCATGATGATGAGCGAGTACTTCATCTCGGGCTTCAACATCATCCTCCCCGCCGTCGCCACGGCCCTCGACATTCCCGACTCGGCCCGCACCTGGCCTGCCGCCGTCATCAACCTCACCACCGCCTGCCTCCTCCTCCCCTTTGCGCGGCTGGCCGATCGCCACGGCGGGCGCGTCGTCTTCCTCGCCGGCCACCTGTGGCTCGTCCTCTGGTCTCTTGTCAGCGGCTTCGCCCAGAACCCCGTCATGCTCATTGTCTGTCGCGCCATGCAGGGTCTCGGGCCGAGCGCCTTTATGCCCGCGGGTCTGGCCCTGCTCGCGCGCACCTACCGCCCTGGACCGCGCAAGAACATTGTCTTTAGTCTCTACGGTGCGTTCGCCTGCATCGGCTTCTACGTCGGCATCCTCCTCGGTGCTGTGAGCGTCGAGTTCCTCACGTGGCGGTGGTACTTTTGGATCGGCACCATCATGACCTTTGTCGTCCTCGCGAGCGGTTACTTCTCCATCCCCACGGACCTGGGCGACAGCGACGACACGGTCACCATGGACTGGCTGGGTCTGGCGACGATTGTGCCCGGCCTGGTGCTCGTCGTGTTTGCGTTTGCGGACGGCGGCCACGCGCCCCAGGGTTGGAAGACGCCCTACGTGTACGTCACGCTCATCCTCGGCGTGCTGTTCCTCGCGGCGGCCGTGTATGTGCAGGGCTGGGTGTCCAAGAACCCGCTGTTGCCGGCGGAGCTGTTCAGGCCAAAGTACATGAAGAGGCTGTCGCTCGCCCTGTTCTGTGCCTACGGCGTCTTTGGTCTGTTCCTCTTCTACGCGAGCTTCTACATCGAGACGGCTCTCCGCGTGGGGCCTCTACTGGCGGCAGCGTGGTTCACGCCGCTGGCGGTGGGTGGCGTGGTGCTCGCCATCACGGGCGGTCTCATCATGCACATCCTCCCCAATCGTGTGCTGATGCTCATCTCGATGACGGGTTTCCTTCTCTCCGTGCTGCTCTTCGCCGTCATCCCGTCGCGCCAAGACGCCTCGGGGGGCCTCACGTTCCTGTACTGGGCGTACATCTTCCCCGCCATGCTGTGCGGCACGATTGGCGTCGACATCACCTTTAACATTACCAACGTCTTCATCACAACGGCCATGCCCGCCAAGCTGCAGAGCACGGCCGGTGGCATGATCAACTCGCTCCTCTACCTGGGCATGGCCTTTTGGCTCGGCGTGGGCGAGCTGGCCGTGTCGTCGACGGTCATGACGCAGGGCGAGGCCAATGTCGGGCTCGAGAAGCAGTACAGGATCGGCTTCTACACGGCCACGGGTGTCGCTGGTGTCGCGCTGCTGCTGGTGGCTACCATCAAGATGGGCAGGGCCGAGGCGGGCATGACGGCGGATGAAAAGGCCGACATGGAGAGGGAGCTGGAGGCTGTGAGGGCGCGCGAGGGGGGAGACAACCGTGTCTGAGGGGGGGAGAGGGTGGACTTAAATATTGACATCCGTGGATAGAGTGCTTTGACAGTTACAGCGAGCGATTTGATTAGACCATTGTATTCCATCATTGACTCATTATTTGTGCCGTCTATATCCAAAGCAACTCTCCGGGCGCTCGGCTCAGCTGCGACCCACCTCATCGTGAACATTACCCCGGTATCTTGCTGTCAAAATGCACGCGCAGAGAGAGACTCCATTGTCTCCGACATCGCAGCCGACTACCTCAGCGCCCCATGCGTCGCCCTGGCCTCCCAATTCGGCTTGTGGTCACTTTTGGGGGTCTTGGATGATGGCGAGGAGGATTTGAATTTGCTCAGAAACCTTTCCGTCTTGGACGTGGCGCTTTTCTTGTCTGGGAGGGATGATGTTAGACCGTGTGGCATTGTGTTTTAGAGAGGAGACGACGTTACCTGTCTTGGACTGGACGGACGAGACGTCTTTGTCGAAGACTGTGTACTCGGACGCGTCGTCGGCGGCAGGGGCCATGTTTTGAGCAGGCGAAGTTGAATGCGACATGTTGATGGGTGTGTTTGTGGCTGAATTGGTGTTCTTGGGAGGGTGGTGCAAGTGAAGCTCTAGCTAGGAAGCTGGGCTTGGGTTGTCCTTGATCCAACAGTCAATTGATTGAAGATGAATGTGAATGTGTCTGGTAGTTCTCATCTCTCAAAGGGAACTCACGACTCTTTATATGTCCCATTCCTGCTTTCTAACTGATGGTATTTGTGATGCGAGCCAATTCACAGTGGGGAGGCACCGAGACCGAGCACCGAACTCGCGCTCCTGTTCCGCTGCGGCTGGATCCCAATGCTAGCGCCCGTTCTTCTTGTCTCGGCATGCCATGTGTATACTAGCGGGGGATTTCTGTATCCGGCATGGCTGACACGTCGTCAGGGTCTGCGTGCATGTGGCTTGCTGCTGAGTCAATCGGCAGCGGCATCTTGATCCGGCCCTTGGCTGAGTTTGTACTGTGCATGCGTGCCTAGTTTGGGAACGCATCAACGCAAGGGCGTGCGCCAGAGTGGAGATTACGGCTGAGATCATGTTCGATGGTGTCGGCATGCAAGACGATGGTCGGAGCATACATGGACCAGACGTATAGGTGATGTTCATCATGCTCGTTGAGACCAAAAGCGTTAGAAGTGAGTCGAGACAATACGGCACAAGACTTGTCAATGGTGTGACCCGCAACCGTGTCTGGCTTCCAAAATGTCCTGGAATCTATGATAGAGTCTGATGCAAGAATGGACGCATGCGTTCATCTTGGACATGACCTGCTCGACTTGCAACAACGCTAACCAAGCTACAGCACAGATGGGTGGGCGGCCTACGATGGGGATACACATGTCCGCCTCGTTTGCTGTGAAGAAGACAAAGTAGATGTGCACGAAAAGACTCGCAACTGGCGTGTCTGCAAGCAAAGATCGCAACATTGGTGTTGAGATGCGTAGTCGTCCGTCTGCGCTGCCATCCCCTGCCTGTTTCGATACCATACATGTACCCCGACCATGGCAGAGTGCACAGCACGCGTCTCCAAGCGATACTGGATGACTCTGTCGGCATCTCAGGCACATCTAAAGCAACGTTCGTCCCTCTTGTGGAGGACAGCCCCCACAATCTCAAGCCCTCTGCTAGAGTCAGGTTCGTCCTCTCGGGGGCTAGCACTTGCAGGAGACGACTGGCAGACAGATAGCGACGCCAAGGAGAGCCCATGCCGAAGAAGCGCGCAGATTCCAATTGCGTCAAGTGCAACGACTTGGATCCGACTTCGGCCATACGACGACACGAGTGTCCAGTCTCCAGGAACATCAAGAAAACCCCAGACGCCACCATTTAGCAGACGGAATTCATCCGTCTCTCTCCCTTGAGTCACAGGAAGATGCTGACCAATTGACAATGGTGTTGCGCTAAATACGTTCCCTGTATTGACCGCTTGACCTCGCCCATGAGAGATGACTCCATCATCAACAGATATCGGCGCTCGGTCATGGCTGCTGCATAAGCAGCTCCAGTCCTGTGGGGAATCTGGATTACTATGGAGAGGCGGCTGTCAAGATTTACTCCGAGTGACTAACTCGGCGACAAGGCTCAAGCCGAGCAAGACAGGGCCCAGTGCGAAGCCGAGACCGAGACCAAGACCAAGACCGAAGCCGACGTTTGTCGGCTTCCATTATCTCATCTGGACGTCCTCATACTCCTCGACCACACAGAAGAAAATGCCATGACACCCTCCCCCTTACGCCGCCGCAATGGCCGCCCCCAAGCCTGCGACCCTTGTCGCGCGCGCAAAGTGGCCTGCGACCACGGCCAGCCAACGTGCAACCGCTGCCAGCGTCGCGGGCAGACCTGCATGTACACCCTGAGCGCGCACTCGGCCATGCCCGCGCGTCGCTCAACGTCGACGGCTTCGTCCTCCACCGGCAACGTGCGCCTGCGCGATCGCGATAGGGACCCGGGCGCACCGGGCAAGTCGCGTCCAGCAGGCTACCTGGGCCTCACGAGTTACTCGGCCGTGTTCGAGGAGACGAGCAACTCATTGTCCTATCTCCAGGGCACGCCGCGCTTCTCTGTTCCGCCGCCCAGGAAAGACGGGTCAAGGGCCGTGCCGGATGAGCTCTCGCCGCTCACGAGGGAGATGTGCCTCGTCGTGCTGCGCTATCTGCGCGATCTGATCGACGGGGACGTGATGCCACGGCTCGACCCGGGACCGCGCGACATCTGGCCACGTATCGTGGGTGTCAGGGTCCTCGACAGCTTGAAGCAGACAATGGGACATCATCCTTCAGAGGAGAGACTCTACAACCTGGCGAGGCGGCTGTGCGCCAACACGGCGAGAGCCATGGTCGAGGAGGCCAACACGACGAGCGAGGAATGGATGGCGCAGTTGACGGGCGAGAACCTGCGATGGGAGAGCATTGGACTCCTGTTCACCTTTTATGAGCTCTTCAAGGGCACCACGGACCAGCCACTGAATTACCACAGTCCATACACCAGTGTCGCTGTCAAGTGTGTCGGCGTCTGTATCGAGCTGGTGCATATGTTTGCGGACGCAAACGTGCTACTGCTCCATCTTTGCTTCCGGCGCAACATCATGGAGTCGATGACGGTGGGTGACGCAGGTACGTGAAATGAAACAAACGATGATGTTTCGCTTCTAACACACGCCCGCCCAGGCTTTGCTTGCTGGCGCGCCCATGCAGAGTCCATCTCGCTACTCACATTCATGGGCATCCACGCCGACCAGCCCGCGAGCACGCCAACCTTTATGGCCGAAATGCGCGCCCGCTTGTTTGCACGCATCTTCACCGTCGACAAGGTGTCCGTGTCGTTCCAGGGACGTCCATGCTTGATAAGCGGCCGCTACGTCACGACGCCGCTGCCTCGCGACATCCCAGACGGCGCATTCATGGGGGGTCCAGAGGCTCTTCGCCTGGCCGCGAGCCAGATTGGCGACGACGGCTGGTTCAGGGGCGATGAGATCCCCTCCGTCACCCTTGGGCGCGCGCGGCTGATGATCGCCTATGTCAAGGACGAGCTGATGGAGGTGGCCCTCTCGCAGCGGGAAAAGCCCCCCATCGAGGTCCTGCTCGACCTCAAACGACGCGCGCAGGCCACGAGCGACTCCTTCCCGCCCTCGCTGGCCTACTCGCCGCACGACATGGAGGACGCGTCCGCCGACACGACAACCATCTTTAGCTCCTCGCTCGCCCGCATCGAGCATCTGCAGAACCTCTTCCTGGCTGAGCGGCTCCTCCTCAAGAGACCAGACTATCCCCAAGACGGGGGCGAGCTGCTCGAGATCTCCTACAACATGGTCCTCCTGACGGTCAAGTTCTGGGTACACAAGGACCGCTTCGCCGACATGAGCGGCGACTACGGCTGGCTCGTCATGAACTACGCAGCACCCGGCGGTGGCATCCTCTGCATGGAGCTGCTCAAGGGCTCCGTCGCCTCGTCCACGGTCAGCCGCTCGGCCATGATCCAGCAGCTGAGCCTCCTCGTCGGGTTTCTGGGTTGGGTCAGCTCGGACGCGCCCAACGCGGAGCTGTGCGCGAGCTGCCGGGCAATTATCCAGCGGGTGCTCGACCACGCTCTGAACCATCCGGACGCCCCTCTCACGCAGGACGACGGGATCGGCGACGGGCGGTTGGCGGATGACGGCATATTCTTCCACTTTGACCTGCTTGACACCTACGAGTGGCTGAGGTCGGACGAGATGGCTGCGCTGGACGATGTCAGGGTGTGAGCTAATTTGCTTGTTCCCTGACGCTTGGGCGGGGACAGCCTTTCGGCAGCGAGTGAGGTGGCCAGACGAAGAGCAGTCTGCACGATTGCTGCGGACTATCGTCTCTCTCTAGCGAAGTTCGATATGCTATAAGCATGGAATCGAATTCTCCTTCGCCCGTCACTTCCCAGAGGGGTCCAAAAAGGACTCCAACTACTCAACTCACCTCTCGCTTCACCAACAACCCTAGCAGGCTCTAGCTGCGCCTCTGATGTGAATCTAGGATCAAGATGTAGACATGCACTTCTTGCTTCATTTTCATCAGGCCTTTCTTGCCAACATGAAGGCAGAACAGATGTTACGACTCGTGTCTCTCTCTTGACAGCCAAGTCCGGATCCGTTTCTGAAGCATTGTCATGAACTCATCGCACGATCCAACAATCCGAGTCAATCTATTCCCGCATTGGATATTTCCGTTTATATGCGTATGGCACAGCCTCGGTGGATGGGGCCTAGGCGGTGGAGATGGCCAAAACCTACCGTCCAACCTCGAGAGCACCCACACCTCTCACAGATAGCCTGGCTTGGCTAGACACCGCCACTAGTCTCAGAATTGCTCCTCGTCAGCCTGGCCTGGAGTAAAAAGGGGCGGGGATTTATGCACTGGCGGCTTGGAGACTCCTATCGTCTCGTCGGCAGACTTTGACGAATCGGACCGTCAGCCACCATCTCGACCTAGGATTTCTGTCATAGGAAGCCTCCATCTAGTGACAGCAAGGACACATCTCCGCGGAACTCAGTCACCTGCTATCACGTCACTCATGGCGACCGCTGTTGCGACACCTAGCCAGCATCTCCCTGGTTGCCATCTGTACCAGACGACAGTGTGGTTGATGCCAGCAAGACACCTCTATCTGGGCCCTTCTTCTCTTCACTGTACCATCTGATAAGGCGATAAAGTGCAGGCGCCCTAAACTCGCTGCCGTATACCGGTCCCGGCACGTCTCGACGTGAAGCCATTTGATAACGCCAGTGGAGATCAGGCCGAGGGCTGCCTGTCACCACCAGGCGTGGCAACTCTAAAATCGAGAGCCTTTACAAGTTCTCCCAGGTCAAATATTCCGGTGTATTCCCGTCCTGGCCATCTCATGCTCATCCGTCCAGTGGACTACTCCCACGCCAGCACGGCGAGGAACTTTTGATCCGAGTCTCATGCTCCTGTATGAGGACCGTGGCTGGAAGCCTCCTCCACAACAATACCACCACACGCTGTCACACCCAAGGCAAGTGACGTTACACCCATTCTCGAAGAACAAGGTTCACGCCGGAGACTCTTACTGCGTCCACCACCGCGATTAGCAGCCTAATACGTGTAGCGCGCAGCTCCAGGCCCCGGCAACGCTAGACGAGTTCCGAGGTGTCATTGGGTCGGGCTTTCTGCCTACACGCCTATGTGCGCGCTTGTCGACGCACGCTACACTGGGAAGGGCCCGGCTGTCGCTGGCCTGGCGGGTTGTTGCGAGCGGCCTAGCCTTGGATGGGTGTGCCCGGTGCCATGGGGATCGAGATGCCTTCTCCCCGTTCACATGCAGCCCTGTGTGTGCGTCCCGGTCTGGCCGTGGTCCATTGCCCAGTCAATTCCCAACTGGAGTTTTGGTTTCCGGGAGCATACACCTACACTATGGCCTTCGCAATGCCAAGATCTGGACCCTGAAAACCAACCCCTATGCCTCTCCAATCCTCTTTCCATTCCTGGTGCCTCGAAGGCAGAGAGAAGAGCAAGTCAACAGTGCATTCTAACTTGGCCAGATAACAAAAGAGTGCCTCTTGTTCCCAATGGGGAATGTTGGAGGCAGATTGGAGACACTTCGCCATGTCTGCCTCAGACTTGTCTCGTTCGTTGCCTCATTCGCGATTGCTATCTAGAAGCCGTGCAACCAGGCACCCAGAGTCTAATCTGACGGGTGCCACACCTCACGAATGTCAATGCGAAGTCTAAACCCTCTACAGGCAGTAACAAGCATGGCTTTTCTAGTCGCTGCACTACCGGCCAATTTGATATAAGAGGCTCATACGACCCTGGTCTGGCCGTCAACCACAAAGAGAACCCACGGCTTTCTAGCTGCAGAGGAGGGCAGTGCTCATCAATCCTTCACCCTTCACCTGTAAAAGCGTACTCATTTGCTCCTTGCACAATCGCCGTTAACGCACATCTCTGGGTGTCACCGGTGCCGAGACAGCCAGCCACACAAGACGCCAAAGAACGCATCGCACCGTCAAGGATCCGCTGCCATGTCGACACTCGCCCAGTCGTGGCTCCCACAGCCTTACCACCAGCTCGGCTTCACACCTATGCCCATGTGGGATATCCCCTTTCCTTTGACCACAGACAACGCCCAGTATCCTGCTTGTCTCCAGACCACGGCGACTGCCTCCCCCCTGGTCGGAAATCAGCCAAGCAACTATCCCTCAACCTTCTGGCCCTCCGATTCCCCATCATCCAGTCAAGGCCCTACAAGCGCAGCGTTCCCTGGCGTCTTTACACACGGTCTGTCAGACCACCGTATTTCTCAGGTTTCTTCGCAGCAGAGCCACGCTCAGCACACTGAGAAGACGACGTCTCCGTCCGCGCCAGCCGGAGAATCGACCACCGAGTTCTTTGACGATTCAGCGCCGCCCCCCGCCAAGCGACGTCGTGGTCGTCCCAGGAAGCAACTTTCCTTCAGCAGCGAGTCCGGCTCTCTGTGTTCCGACGCACTCCCCGCCGACAGGCACGAGCGCAGGCGTGTGCTGGAGCGCAACAGGCTGGCCGCCACCAAGTGCCGGAACCGCAAGAGGGACGAGACCAAGGACCTCGAGGCGCAGGAGCAAGAGGCCCAGGAGCGAAACCGCCATCTCTCGGCCACGGTCGCCCAGCTGCGAACCGATCTTGTGGATCTCAAGACGCAGCTCCTACGCCATACCGACTGCCAGTGTACCGTAATCCAGAAGTACATTGCCCACCACGCAGAGAAGGCCGTGGGCGAACTCATCGAGTCACCCTCGCATATAAGCATGCCTCGTCGTTCTTCGACCAAATCGGATGATGTGGGCGACGGACACACGCTCTGGTTCGAGAGGCTACCGTCCTCGATGCCTCAGCGGAACCCGATCCAGGCCGGCACTGGCTTTGTTGATCCGTATACGACGTTGCCATCGCAGTCGCACATGGTGGACACGCCACCGCTGGCTTGGCCGCCTGAAGAACAGCAGCATCATCACATGCATGCCATGACGGGCGTGGTGCCCACAGACCGCCACGCCCTAAAGCAACCCCAGCCAGTCCAGCAGCAGGGATGCTGGGCGAATTGGGCACAATAGACTTTGTACGTCAGGCAGATGTGTGCAACGTCACTAGTCAATCGAGAAACTTAAGCAGGTGGTTAGAGCCAAAAAAAAAAAAAAAAAAAAGAAAGAATTTAAAAAGATAATTCCTCCTGCATCGTTGTGTGTGGTGCTAGGCTACCTTGGCTGTCAATTCGGTCCGGCACAAGTCGTATTGCAAGTACTAGGCGGTGGCGTCAGTGTATAGCCACCCCACCGTCCGCGTCTGTGCGGTTGACTGTGAACTGGTCAAACATGACCATGTCATCAAACTTTTGCGTGACGCGGTCGATCCGGGCGTTGGCCTGGTCCGTCAAGGCCAAGTCGAGGTCGACGATGAGGCAAGTCGTCGAAGGGTCTGACGGAGGGAGTGGGGAGGTATCGCCCGTCTGCCTGTGCTGGATCTTCTCCATGGTTGCTAAAGCTTCCTGTGGAGTAACGAGTCGTCTTGTCACAGCAATGGCCAAAAGACTTTTGTATATCGTCAGGGCCACCGGATATTGTGGGTAGAGAGCCCGGTAGCCTGCTAGCGCAAGGTGTAGATCAGACACTTGGGCCGGCTGTCCTGTCAAGGAGGGCATGGCTGCGTTGGCTAGATATAGGCAGCCAGTATGCCACAGGATGGAGAGGGTGTTTCGGGCAAATTGTGACTGGTAGATGGTGACCAGCCGTCGCAGCTGGTTGGCCGATGCCCTACTGATCTCGTGCGCAGTGCACAATGTCTCGCTATCGGGAATTAACGAGTCAGTGTTGCCTTCCGATACCAGGGGTCGAAGACAGAAGAGCACAGCCGAGTGGAAGATGATGTGCAGCGTGATCCCTTGGTGCGTGATACGGTTGCCACGGACAACCGACAGCGGCAGTTGCGCCCCCCAGTGCAGGAGACGTTGCATCGTGGACCTGACAAAGTGGTGGTTGGGCTCCAACTGCTCAGTCAACAGATCAACCGAGCAGTACCGCGAGACGATCCCTTGGATGATAGCCCAAAGGTGTGCAAAATAAGGGAAGATGGCACTCTGGTGCCGAGCTTCTTGTACTGGGGAGCCTGTCTGGGCGAGCTGCCAGGCTGGGCTATTGGGAATCGGTAGTGCTGGCGGCGGCAGTGTTGCGAGTTCGTTTCGATGGTAATGAAATCCATGTAAGCTAGGTAGCTTCAAGTAAGCCAAGACGTCAGACGATGCATATTTTTGGGTTCTCACCTGGCGTACGAGAACAGTCCCCAGGCGCATTGACACGCTGCCTTGAAGTCCGACGGATCCGTGATAGCGGGAGCTACGACGTCAAACAGCCCTAGTCTTTGACCCATCTGGATCGCGTGAAGCAGATATTCGAGAGCTTGGTGCCCTTTGCCGAGAATATCTGCCGTGAGGCTGACGAATTGCAACGCTGCTACCGTGAGCAGACTGTCGACCTCCTCCCCGCGCTCCCACATGCAAGTAGCTTCCAAGAAGAAGGACTCGCCAAGACCCCCTGCGTGGGCGAGACTCGACATGAACGCCCAGCTTGAAAGAGCATTGACCATGAATTCCGTGCAAAAGCGCGTGCTGTAGCTGCTCAGATCTTCTAGAAACAAATCCGCATCGAACAATGCCAACACGGGATGGTCGGTCTCCAGGTACCAAGCCAAGGCCTGGGCGGCATCTTCGTTGCTCACGAGCACCTTTGTCCACACGGCCATGTCAACGGCGCCAACTCGGGGGTCGATCGAGAATGAAGCTTCGTTTGGCGGTACTGCAGTAGTATCCTCGTCACTCGGGTCCCGCGACCGCTTCTTCGAGCTGACAATGGTCGGGTCTAGAGTGAGATCGAGGGCAACCAGTGGTGGATACATGATCGGTTGGCGACACATGAGCTCGAATTCGACGTCTCCCTGCTCTGGTGGTACCAGCGGTTGCGATATCTCCACTCTACCGGGGACATCGCGCCTCTGTTGTATCTGAGCCAACGCGGAGGAGGTGTCGGCCTGCTCTTTGATATCCTCCAAAAAGCCGGCAGCCGTAGTTGGCGGCACTGAAATCAACAGCCCGAGAAGCTCACTGGCATCCGCGTTTCGATCAGCCCCTGGCGCGGACGGAGAGGAATCCGAAGAATCGATACCGCGTCTGACAAAGGTGCATATAGATCCTCGACGCTCGCAGGCGGCGCAAGGGCGCCTCCCATCGCAGGCTGACTTCTTGGCGCGGCACGCATCACATGCGACCTTGACTTGTATCCGTTTTCGTGATAAGAGTGTGTTGGTCTGGCTGGAGTCGTTACTGGAACTCTTGGTCCCCGAATCGGCATCGCTGGCAGGAGTCGCGCTGGGGAATGCTGGTCGAATCGGTTTGTATTTTCGGTCCATGGACGTTGAATTGGGCGTACACACGCCAGCACATATGCATGCCAGCACAATACATACTACGAAATGCCATTTTGCCTGAAGACAAAGTCCTTATGCCATAAATATAATCGCCTGTTCCTGAGCAGACGGCAAGCCTCGCATCACGCGGAGCCTCCCCTATGAGCCTCCCGTGGTCTAGAATCGGTGTGGCGAGCCTCGCGGATGGAGGAAATCCCAAGTATAGCGCGGCAATGTCGAAAATCTGCATCCTCACACTTCACTGTCCGGCATCGAATTTTCTAAGATACGGCGCAATTCCAGTCATCAGCCAAATCGTGCACATGTAAACACCCCAATCCCAGGGGCTCAGTGGGCATTGACCAACAAGCGCGCGCGCTGAAGTTCCCACCGTCGTGACAGGCGGGCCTAGACTCTCGGGGACCAAGACTCCAAGAGAAGGAAAATTATAGTCGGGATGTATTCTCCGGGGTTGGGAAGAGCTGGTTGTGGTCATCGACGAAGTGACAGCCGACTCAGCCATCCGGTGACGGCCCACGGGGTGTGGCACTGTGGCTTGTAAGTCATGGTGGCGAGAGTCGCGAGACACGCCTGGCGTCAATATTACGTCGGTTTGTGATCATGTTCGCGAGCGCTGACCGGTTTTCGTGGCAAGCCTGTAGCCCGCTAATAAATGATGATAGACTGCTCGCGTATGTCTGCGTTTATCAGCGATCTTTTCGTCTCGATACCGGGCCATGTCCCCAGTCTTGGTGCTGCAGGCGTCAAGTAGGCGACCGCAGGACGCCGTGATTGGCGGATCAGCAACGTGGTAACCGGTCATCCGGGGATATCAGCTTTCGATTTTCGATACCTGCATTGCTGATGCGCTCCTTAAATTCGATGACATGAAAACGGACATCCCGTCTTGGTGGGCAGGCGTCAAAGTCCTTGGCCATGGGCCAAGACTCTTGGAAGGCCGGCGATTGGACCAGACGGACGTGGGGCCGGAGGAGAAACACCTCGGAGGGCGATGATGTTGGGGTGGAGTCACTCGAGTGAGGCCCATCCGGAGGCTGAGTCCGGCCAAGAAGCGGACTGGCCCGAATCCTTTGTGAGATTTTTATTTTGAGACAATCGACATTGGCGCCGGTTTGAAAGCAATTGCCATTCTGTCCGCTTTCCCGCTGCCATGTTTGTCAGCAATTCCCGACAAGCTGAAATTATGTCGAGGCCGAGGCTATCGCGGCAAGCCGGGTCCGAGGCCGGACATGTCCAGTACGTAACAACAAGCGCACACATTTATTATCAGGGAAACCACTGCCGTGCAATTCTCGACGGCAACAGTTGTTCCAACTTCTTGAGACATGAGAGTTTGATGCCGATGCGGTGAGCCTACAGAAAGCGGTGTGGTGAATCACAAAGGCAGTCTCACGGCACCATGCAGCCCGCGCACCCTCTTACAATGCAGTCCGCCTTGATCAAGACCAACCACAGGAAGCGTTATGAGTCAACATGGCATATTTGTTGTTTCGCCCATATGCTTGCTCGGGACGCCTTATCGCCAAGCACCTAATGTCTCTACAAGAATAACTCACTTCGCGAGATTCATGCAGCCATCGCAATACGTACAAACAGAAGCGAGTCGGAGGATGGGAAGTGCTCTCCGGGCATTTGCTGGCAAGGCACTTGTTGGTTAGAGCTCTAGCTGTGATCTGATTCTGAGGAAAGAGTGAATGGCATCCAAATTTGGCAACCAATCGCTAAGATCCGCACCCCACAACATCCCTTATTAGGAAACGCGTTGTTCTGCCAACAAGGTGCATGAGGACCCTGAAAGTCACACCTGCTGCCTACCAAATTAATCAAATTCACGGCCAGGTGGTGCTCTTGCTTTTTTGTGCTCTTTCGAAATCAGGGGAAAGTGCACCCGCAGTCATTGAACAACAAATTGGAATTATTGCCGTCGTCGTCGTCGTGCTCATCCTCCTCCTCCTCTTCTCACCTTCACCTCCAAGATTCATTGTCAAAATCGCACTCATGGCACGCTCTCTCGACACGGTCCTCGTGGGCCTGCAATACGCTTACCCGGCCGCCGTGCTCCTCTACTTCACCGGGGCCACTTGTGCTGCTGTCTGCACTCTCGAGACGAATCGGGCCAAAAAAGGACCAGCAATCTGTCCATCAACACGACTGGCTGTTCTTTGGCTCCTTGCTGCTTTTGTGCTGGCCCACGCCGCTGTCGCAGCTCTCATCTTGACGGATTCTGCCGCCCAGCCGCAAGACTATGTTGTCGTCGGCCATCTTTCATGCGTTCTAGTGTTCTCGGTGCTGTTCATCAAACTTGCCGATAATTTGCATCCGGTCTGGTATCCTCACTGTGGTAGCTGGCTGCTTGGTCTCGCATTCGAGGCTACCATTCACAGCCTGCAGTTCAACATCCTTGACGTGCCCCAGCTCGTCTTGGCTGGCGCTCGATGCGCCATCCTGATTCTCTTGCTTGGCTTCACTCTTAAAACAGTCAAAGAGAAACACGCCGCTTCCGACGAGGAACGCCAGAGTCTGTTGAGCAAGCCCAATGGCGCTGTCGCAGGGGGTTCTACTCTCAATGGAGACAACGCCCAATACGGCTCCACGGCTCAGTACCATGACGAAAACAACGAAGAAGAAGAAGAGGACGACAAGGATGCGAACAATTGGGAGCGTTCCCAGACCAAGGCGCGGAAGGACATGAAGAAACGGCTCGAAGGTGGCAATTGGTTCCAGTTTGCCAAAGAGTTCGCCCTTTTTCTCCCATACATATGGCCATTCAGCCTGCCTAAGCTCCAATTGAGAGCCGCGCTCGTTCTTGCGTGTCTCCTGACATCCAACCTCTTCAACCTTCTGTTACCACGACAAGTTGCCGTGATCGTCGACTCCCTCAATGGAACAACTCATGCAAACCCTTGGGTTGCTGTCGCCGTCTACATTGCGTTGCGTTTCGCTTCTTCCGAATGCGGCATCAATCTACTGAACCAGTGGTTGTGGGTGCCTGTCAAGTACTACGCCAACGAGTCCCTGAGAAGGGCAGCATTCTCGCATATGATGTACCTTTCTGCTGACTTTCACGATTCCAAGAGTACACCAGACCTGACTTTGGCAATCAATGGCGGAAGTGCCGTTTCGTCGGTCATTGAGAGCGTCTTGATGCTTGCGTTGCCGATGTTGGTCGACCTGGGAGTGGCCGTGGTGTACTTGTCCTACACCTTTGGTTCATACGAAGGGCTGGCCACAGTTGCTACCAGTATCGTCTTCATCATGCTCGCAGGAGATCTTCTAGCTCGCACACAAAAGGCCAGCCGTACCCGCTTGCGTACAGTCTTCAAAGAGTCATCCATCCGGTGGCGCGGCTTCGAATCATGGACAACTGCGAGCACCTTCAATCAGATAGGGTACGAGAACAATCGACACGCCAACGCGGTCACCGAGAGATTTGTGGCGGAGAAGAAGTACATCATGCGCTGGAACTGTTTCATTGCCCTTCAGAGTATGGTCCTCCTGCTTGGCCTGGCGGTGAGTGCATACCTTGCTGTGGCCCGAATCCTTGCTGGGAAGGCTACGCCCGGTCAGTTCGCCATGCTTCTCAGCTACTGGGCTCAGCTCAGTAATCCCCTCAAGTTCTTCTCGAGCCTAGGCAAGGATATAAGCGACGATTTGGTGGAAGCCGAAATGCTGCTGCGTGTCATGCAGACTGAACCAACAGTCCAGAGCAAGAAGTCAGCACGCCCACTGCGATTTGAGGCGGGTGAGGTCGAATTCGACCACATCTCGTTCAGCTACGACCGGCAGAAGAGCGTCATCAACGACATCAGTCTCAAGGTCGAAAAAGGGACCACAGTCGCTTTGGTGGGATCAACTGGTGCCGGCAAGTCTACATTGCTCAAGCTCTTGGACCGCTTCTACGATGTCAGAGAGGGCAGCATCAGGATTGACGGACAGGACATCCGCGACGTTGAGCTATATAGCTTACGGGAGCGCATTGGCGTTGTCCCCCAGAGCCCGGTTCTGTTTGATGATACCATCATGAGCAATGTTCGATATGGCAGGATCACAGCCACGGATGAAGAAGTTCACGATGCGTGCCGGGCGGCCTGCATCCACGATAAGATTCTGGAGTTCAGTGACGGGTACGAAGCACAGGTTGGGGAGAAGGGCGTGTGAGTACACTTTGGCTCGTCCTATGCAGTCGCTAACATGGCTCAGGAAGCTCTCTGGCGGTGAGCTGCAACGTCTGGCCATTGCTCGTGCCATTTTGAAGCGACCCGACATTGTGCTGCTCGACGAGGCTACCAGTTCTGTAGACACCGACACCGAGCAGCAGATTCAAGCATCGTTCCAGACCCTATGCCGAAACCGAACCACCTTTGTCGTTGCGTGAGTGCCCCGAGCTTGCCGGTGAGCACAACTTGGCTGACCATTGCAGGCATCGCTTGTCCACAATCATGAATGCGGATCTCATCGTTGTTGTTGAGAAGGGCAAGATCATCGAGAAAGGTGACCACGAGTCTCTGGTTGCAGCTGGCGGACGATACGCCGATCTGTGGTCGAAGCAGGCCTTCCTCAAGCCTCACAAATACGTTGAAGTGAGCGATGCGCGGCAGACGGGCCCAGACCCCGAAACTACTACCCACCCCACCCCGGAGGTAAGGGTTGTAGCGGACGCTGAATGAGGTTGTAGTCTGACAGAATGATGCTAGGCACACCCTCTGAAGCCCCTGAACCCGGTCGCCCCTACGTTTACGCCAAAGTCGGTGTCGCAGATGCCACAGACCGGCGAGACGTTTGAAGACTCCGTGGTAGTGGACGATGGCGGCCGTTGGTCAGATGAGGTTGCGGAGGAGGAGAAGGGTCAATCGACCGCAGTCTCGAATGTGAATAAAGGAACAGTCAAGGGCAAGGAAGATGGGGCCGCCACTGGGCTGTCTCTGACAGGGCGGCCCGACGGGGAGGACAATGCGAGCGCTGACGCCTAGAAGTTTCCAGCCGAGGCAGCGACAATCAATTATCGAAAGCCACACTATTCTCGCCGCGTACAGTCACGTAGCGAGCCATCTGCTTCGCATGAGTCAGAGGCCACAGAGGAGGACGAAGGGGTGCTGAGTACAGTCGTGGAAAGGGACGAGGCTGGTGATTTAGTAAGGAAATGGAAATCTTGGTATCATTACTGAGCGACGCTTACTGTTGACAGATCAGCCAAGAACCTACTCCCAAGCGAACAGTGTCAGCCAGATCCCAGTTTCCCGGACGCCCTTCCACCGACAACTACGTACAGCCATCATCCAGTGCCTTGGACCGTGGTTCGCGCAGCCGTCGCGGCAGAGGCATACGGGCTCGTCGCGGCCGTGGCGTTGTTCGCTCTGCTTGAGAGAGGCTGTGAGTTATGATGGAGCATGGAATACGGCATGTTACGGCATTTTGGACGCGATGAACACACAGTGTATAATAAAGTTAGACTAGATGATATCGTCAGTGCAAACGAGAACCAAAAGATTTCTATCTTATTATACCAAGGCTACCAATATTGTCGACTCTTGCGTAGGTGAAGTAATTACATTGCTGCCCTCACTGCCCTGAGCCGGGGGGGTTGTTGCCGCGACCGCCCTGTCCACCAGCACCACCGCCGCCCATCATGTTGCGGGCCCTGAAGCAATATTAGTCGTGGTGTAGAAAGCAAACAAAGCTATTCACTTACATGTCGGCAATGTTGGGGTCGTTCATGAGGGCGCTCATGTCAGGCATGCCGCCACCGCCACCGCCACCGCCACCGCCACCGCCGCCGCCGCCGCCAAACTGCTCAGCCATCTGCCGCAGCTGCGGGTTGCTCATGAGGTTGTTCATCATGTCCGGGTTCGACATGAGGTTCTGGGCCATGCTGGCAAACATGGGGTTGGACATGATGGAGCTCAGATCGGGCATGCCACCACCGCCGGCGCCTCCACCACCAAGCATGGAGGCGAGCGAGCCGAGGTCAGGCATACCGCCGGCGCCAGCACCCCCCGTGGGAGGGGGTGAGCCAGGGCTCGAGCGTGGCAGATCGGCCTCTTCCGTCTCCATCTCCTCCACGCGGCGTTTGGCGGTCTCAAAGCCCTTCTTCATGGCGTCGCTGCCGCCATTGCTCTCAAACTCGATGCCCTTGCCGTAGGCCTCCATGGCGCCCTTGGCGTCGCCCAAGGCGAAGCGAGCGAGACCGAGGCGGGACCAGGCCTTCGTATAGGTCGGGTCGATGGCGACGGCGGACTCGGCGTCGGTGCGGGCGGAGGCGTGGTCCTTGGCGGCCGAGTGGGCGGCGGCGCGGTTGCTCAGGAAGATGGCGTTCCGGGGGTGAACGTTCAAAGCCTGGGTGTACAGGTCGACGGCGGACTTGTAGTCCTTTTGGGCCATGGCGGCGTTGCCCTTGCTCTTGAGGGACTCGGCCTCCTTCTTCTTGTCCTCGGTGAGCTCGGCGTCGGGGGCCGGCTGCTGGCCTGCTGCGGCACCGGGGGCATTCTGCTTGAGCTTCTCGTAGACGGAGTAGATCTGGAGGAGATTCTGGTTGCCGACGGCGGCGGCGGTCTGTGCGGGGTCGGACGGGTCAATGTTGAAGGATTCCTTGATAGATTCCACGGCGACCTCGATGGAGGCGTCGTTGTCGGAGGACAAGGTGCCGTCGGTGAGGGAGGTGGTGAGGAAGTCGCAGATGGCGAGCGCGAGGCGCTGCTGGGATGTCTGTGCAGGCTGTGGTGTTATGTCAGTATGCGTGCTCTGGCTGTCCGTGGTGCGACTGTGCTTACCATGTTGGCGGGTTGGGGGGGGGAGAGGGGGGATGAGGATGGGATGGAGAGAGTGAAGCTGGTGATGCCCCGCGATGGAGAAGAAAGCGGCGGTTGTGTAGAATATTCTGGGCGCAATTGTGGGGGAGCTCACTAACAACAGTACACGGGATTCGGGGCATGTCGTGTTAGCGTCGGCTGCGTACGAGGCCTCGGCGGCCTAACTTGGACATCGTCACCAAAGACAATTTTGTCTGAATAATCATGAAGCCCGTGGATTGATTAACGCTGTCAGGAGGGGCGATTGTTTGTGTTTCATCATTATAATACTAGCCATCCATCCCCCTTACAAGCGAACCCCCTCGCAAGCGTGTGAATGCATCAAGGCGACCCCCTTCTTGATCGGTCCACGTTCTTGACCCTCCGTTTGTTCATGGCCGCGACCTTGCGTGACTTGGCGTATACTCTCACGGCATCCTTGACGACTACGTATATGCATCCTCCCACCAAGCTTCGGCCCCATTGTTGCTGGAGCATGCCTGTCCTCTTGACCGTGAAGCCCCTCCACGTGCGCTCCATGAAGCTCGTTGTCCATGACCGGGGAAGAATGGCGCGCAACGCCTCCCCCATGACGAAGCAGACGCCCGGGAGGAGCAGAGCACTGACCACTGCATTCGAGGCCAAGGACAGTAGCTGACCGATTCCGCCACGCGCAGGAGGAGCGGGTGGCGCCTCGTGATTTCCAGGCCGTTCTTGTTGCGCCTCGTTGACGGGCTCGTTGTGATGTTGGTCGTCCCCTTGCTCTTCAACCGCCTGCTCGCCATCCGCCCGCTCTTCGCGTACTTGCACCGTTGGCGCGTTGCCGTCCTCACCGCCAAAGCCAATGTCCAGCTCTACCACGTATTCAGCCACCTCCACATCCCCTCCATCCTGCTCGGCCTCGGCTTCTCCGCCTTCACGTCCAGCTTGGACATTGGCGTCGTTCCCGTTGCCCCCGTCCTCTGGGTCCAATGCGTCAATCAGCTGCTGAAGGAAGCCCAACACACCGCCTCCCTCTGCCTGCCTTCTCTCCCGTTGCCTGTTGTTACCATTTCTTTCGCCGCGTTCCTCTAGTGGCGGCAGACCTTGAATCTGCCTGTGAAGCTTGAGCTCGTAGGGGAAGACGAACTCGCGCCATAGCGAGTAGTAGATGCCCCGGATTTGAGGGAACATGGCGATAGCCAGCTGCGGCGAGGGAGGCCAGCTGAAAAAGTTCTTGGTGTGCGCCGCGTGCCACGTACCGTACAGGGAGGCCAGCGGGAAGAAAAGCTTATTGGCCAGGGACGGTAGCAGCTGGCTGACCAGTAGCACGGGCGCAATGTTCATGAGCACGACGGCGTTACCGACCCTCCTCAGATAGTGGCCCTGTGGTCTCCTCCCATCCAAGATCATATTCGGCCCGAGCAGGAACTTTGTGAGCTCTTCGCGGCCCGCAAACGCCCAGAAGGCCATGGCACCGTACACCTGCGCGCCAACCTGCACCCCCAAGCTCAGCCCGGTGAACAGCACCACCGGGCTCGCCCTTGTGAATGCCCGTTCCAGTTTGTCCGAGATGCTGACGATGGGATCCCACGGCCCCTCGAGTTCGATGCGCGCCTGGCATATCGGGCAGCGAAGCGGCTTGTTGTTGCGTTCGCAGTCGAGCACCCACGAGTAGATGCAGTCATGGTGGGCTTCGAGCGTGCAGGGGCAGGGCGACACCCAGTCGTTGGGGTCGTCGGCGGGTTCTTGGTCCATCTGGCAGACAAAGCAGCGGGGAGGCGCCTCGGTGGGCATGCTGGGCGCGCTGCCGGATGCGTTGTCGGGGAGGGACTGTAGCGAGGCAGGCGAGGAGGCCATGGTGATGCGGCTGGGGGCCAATGGGCCTATCGCATGGTACGTGGGCTTGGGCTTGAATATGAGGTGCAAGCGAGAAGCAGCTCTGGAGCAATGTCTCGCATGTAGTGAGGTGATGCAGATGTTGATGTCAGGCGAGCAATCAGTCTGGGTGAGACTCGGATCGGCACATGTCATGTAGGTAATGTAATGTCATGGAGTCACGACCATTTGGGGCTAGCCTCATTCGGGCACCGTATTTGGGGGCTTGCGCCTCCACAATTACTATGGTATATGTAAGCGTCGAGCCCGAGGCGCGACCCACCCCGACACGCCTCTCTTCAGCACTCAGCATTCAATGACAGAACTTTCAAGGAATCGCACATTCGAAACTTGGTCTCTGTACTCGCTTTCTTGGGAGAAGCAAGCAAAGCGATCCATTCAGCCGCCGCACTACCCCCTAACTATCTAGAACACTACACCCTTCGTCTGCATTGTGTCACTCGAGAACTTGATGTTCTTGATCATAAAGATGCTCGCGACCATCAGCACAGACACGCCCAGCCCAGCCGCGAGCATCCTGGCCTGCGCATACCCGTACGCCTCCTGGATCGCCGCGCGCTCAGGGGTCCCGACCGCATAGGACAGCTGCACCCCCAGATTGGTGTAAATCTCCACGACATCGGGCAGCGCGGATTCGGGCAGGTTGCGGAGCAAGGCCTTATAGAATGTGTTTGTCCAGATCGTACCCGACACCGTGCGCCCGATGGCACCGCCCATCGATCCGGACACGTACAGCATGGCGAGCACGGCGGCCACGTGCTGGTGGTCCACCGAGGCGAGCACCGCGAGCTGCACAAGCAGGATAAAGACGCTCCCGCCCATGGAGATGAAGATCTCGCACATGACAATGTAGCCAATGTGCTGGTTCGGACGACGAAAGTGGATCATGAGACCCAGGCCGAGCATGTACAGCGGCGTCGTCACGTAGAACAGCCACTTGAAGCGGCCTGTCCGGCGGACGCCGTAGCCCACGATGAAGAGCAGCACACCCGAGACCACCTGGAATGTACTGTTCACGTACCCGGCCTCCGCCACGCTGAGGTTGCTCACGACCTGCAGGAAGGACGTGAAGTAGCTATTCCAGCAGTAGTACGAAACCTGGTAGATGGCGTCGAAGAGACAGGCACCAATGACCGTTCGGTCGAGCAGGAACTTGCCCCTCATAAAGGGCGAGGGCGCGAGGTACACCTCGTAGAGCCCGAAGGACACGAGGAGGACAAAGCCGACGACGATCATGGCGATGATGTAGTCCTGCTCCCACCCCTTGGGTGCTGACGTTGCCAGTGTGAACGGGAGGAGGAAGATGGTGAGACCTGCGCCAAAGAGGACGACACCCGGCACGTCAAAGTCCCTGAGACCCTGCCAGAAGCGCTGTGGCATCGGGGTGGTCGACTTCTCGCGCACAAACCGACCCTGTCGCTCCGCTTTCCGAAGGTTGAGGACGAGCATCACAAACAGCGGCATGCAGACAAAAGGCACGATAATGGCAAAGGACCCAAAGCCCCATTGCCAGCTCACGTCCTGCAGATATCCCTCGGCCGCCTTTGACCCGGCAAAAGCCGTGATCATGTAAGGAGACGACGTGAACGCAAAGGCGATGCCTCGGTTCCTCAGAGTGGTCAGGTCCGCCGCCATGACGGCCACGACGTAGATGATGCCCGAGAAGCCAATGGCGTAGAAGACCTGGGCGGCGCAAAAGGTGGCCAGGTTGTCGGACGCGGCCATGAGGATGACGCCCAGGGTGGCCGACACAACCATGAGGAGGAAGCCCTCGGCGCGGCCCCACACGTCGAGTAGCTTGGCCATGGGGATGTAGACGGCGGCCGAGATGGCGCTCGATACGACGCCGATCACGGTGAGGAGGGAGTGGGCCTGGAAGTCGGACGTGACATAGGGCGTGAGGCTGATGAGGACGGCGCCGCGAAAGCCGTTGACGAGGAAGATGAGCCAGATGCTGGTCGCGTTAGTTGGCCGGCAGACATGCCATTGAAGGGACGTACTTGATGAGCAGGGCGATCAGCCATCCCTTGGACCAGGACAGGGTGACAGCCTCGATCTTCTGGACACCGAGCTGGGCATCCTGGCTGGGGACCGCATCGTCGTGCGTCTTATCGAGGTCATCCACAACCGCAGCATTCTTCTCGGTGTTTGTTCCAGGCGCCACCGCAGCGGGTGTCGCCTCAATGTCAGAGTTGCCCGACATGATGGTCTCGGGGAGAGAAGGAGTTGCAGATGCAATTTCATGAGTGCAGACGCGGGACCATCAGCTTCTTAAGCGAAGCCATGAGGGGTTCCATCGCGGACATGGCCCCATATTCATGCAATCTTGAGTAAAACTCTGTTCGCTTCGCTTAGGATCTCGCGATACCGGAGGCGGGCATGCGGGATCTAATCTTATCAGATGGGTTTTGCGCCGGACTGGGGATCGGGCTATATGCTTGGCAGTGGGTCGGACAATGAGCCGCCAGGATATTGGTCCTGTTTACGGTCGAGGTGGAGAGGTTCTGGCGTGCTCGGCAGCAGAAGACGATGGGATTGGCAGTTGACGAGCTCGTGGGCTAGTCGAGCGGACGTCCGACTTTGTCCGGCCCTTGGCTGATTGATTAGATCGTGAACTCAGGTGGAGAGTAAACTCTGACCCTGGCTCAACGCAGACTTTTCAGCAGTTCGGGGAACACACTTAAGAGGCTCCTTCTGTTGTGGATCCATGAACGGCCGACAACCATGCCAACCCGTCTTGGACGATCATTCACGATATGTCCCTAACCAGTTGGCTCAACTGAGTTCGAGGAAGGTGGTATTGGGATACCGAACCGACGGGCTGCGAGAGGGAACGAACTAGCTAGGTGAACAAGTCTGGGACCCAAGAACATTGCGAGGCTATCTACCGTAAGTGAGAAGCTCAAACCACACGGCTTCCTTGAGATTTGTAAGTTCCAGTGCCCAAGTGAACCACCATACACGTGTACAGGCCATAAGCCGGCCGACTTATAGTCAACACGCCAGGCCGTGCTTGATCTCTCTTCAAAAGTCGATTTCCATGCCTAGCAGGACCTGCTGCGAATTGTCGAAATCGAAGACTGAGTCTGGCTCTTTCTTCCCTCGCTGGCAGACGAGCACCACACCACCAGACGTGTGCGTGTGGTGGCACAACATTCCACCGTGCCAACACGCCACCCCACGTCGACCTACATGCAATCCAACGCAGGCGAACCATCAGGATACTGGTGAGCCAGTATGAGCAAGGTCCCCCTTGATCCCCTCGTTGCTATGTATATCGACTTGTCACAACTCCTCTGTGCATTTGGCAGAGCCCATAGGTCGAGACCGATCCCCGGGTACGATCCACGACGACGACCAGACCAGCACGTGGCGAGCACCCTCTTTTTGTGGTACGATAGCTTCACGCAAATATCGATTCGCCCCATTGTTGTTATATTTATCATTCTCAATATCAGTCTGTGTCGCGTATAGACTCCTTTCCAACCAAACACATGTAGACCCCTTCCCAATCACCAACCAAACACCATCCAACTATGCAAATCGTCGTTCGTCGTCTCTTCGTCTCATTGCGCGCGTCTCACGCCGCTGTTCAAGCACCGAGTGCAAGCGTATAGCTTATTTGTTCTGAGAATCAGTGTTAGCAAGAGTTGCCGCCATGAGGGAGTAACTAGAGTCAATCCTTACGGGGCAATTGGCGCAAGTGCAGCTGGAGCCACAGTTGCAGGAGCCAGAAGAGGAGCAGCCGCAGTCACCCATAATGTCGGTTTATAAAAGCTGGTGGAAGTTGTTGTGTGTGTGTGTGTGTGTGTGTGGTCTCTTGTGTTTGCGAGTTGTTGGTAGCAGAAGCAAACTCTGAAGAAGCCGCATGGACGTCTGCCTTTATACCCTTTCGCTACGAACCCCTCCATCTCAGGCAGGGACTGCACGCGGGGCTTTGGGTGATGTGGCGATGACGATGCTCCATAAATCTTATCGCCCCTCTGGCCAACGGCAAAAGGCCCGCGACAATAGGCGAATGTCGCGCAGCTCCAAGTGGTGTAGCGTCTTTGAACTTTGATTGCGGGAGCGAATCAGCTGCGTGCGCTTTTTGTGCGTGGAATTGTAGCGGCGGGGGGGGCGGCGGTCACTGTCGCACCTAGATTACCTAGTTCGGCAGGCGATTCTCGCGCAAGCCAGCGCCTGGACCGTCGTCATGCGCTGTTTGTGCCGTGGCGAGATTATCACGTTTTGGCGTTACAATAAACAGAATATCGATCACTAGGTACGTCATATGGGTGGCTAGCAAACGATCGCCAGTGGGTTTCCCCTCGCTCATTCCATCTTGTCCCTGCGGTGCGAATCCTCCAGCGACGGCCATGCGTCCATGGGCAACATGAGTGGCGTCTTGAGCGGCTCCTGCGGCCCCTGCGTCTCCTCCTCCTCACCATGACCCTCACTCTCCCCACGTCCCTCCTCGACAATGGTGACTGCGAACCGCGACACAATGACCGGTCGTGGCACCTGTCCGCCAATGGCGTAGCCCAGCTCGCTGTGCGCCAGGCCCAACGCCTCTCTCAGAAAGCCGTTGACGACAAACGTGTTGCCCGAGTCGTCTCCGTCGGTATAGACCCCTGCCGTGTGCTCGCGACTTCGCACGTAGCCCGTGGCGGCCCAGATAAAGGTGCGCGACGCGGTGCGCGCCGTGTGCCGCAGGAGCCAGACGAGGTAGGTAGTCACCACATCACACAGCGGCCGCGGGACGCCAAAGACTTGGAGGATGATGACGACGGATCGCTTCATCCGCAGCTCGACGGGCGACACGGTCTCGATGGTGAGTAGGTACAGGCTCTGCTTCGGGTCGACCTCGCATCGGTAGAGGTAGGCTGTGTTCCTCCGCATGGTATAGTGCGTGCCGGCGCCCTTGTCGTCGAGCCAGTACAGGCCCTAGCTGAACTGCTCGTGTCCAAAGAAGGGGTTGCACGTCGTTTCGTAGGACGAGGGCTCGAAGGCGGCGGGTGGGCGCGTAGGGCAGAGGAGAGGCCCGGCGATGTATCGGGGGTCGTCGTGCAGGGACATTGTGATGTACAGGTTGCCGGGCATCATTTCGCGGACGTAGTACGCCATTTGGGCAGTTGAGCGTCGAGTGACTGTGTGAGAACGGAGAATTCTACTTCGGGTGAGGTTAAAATCCCATCGTTCCTATACCTCACGCTCACGGCAGGGGTGAATCGTAGCTGAGGCGCAGGGCAAGGCAGGCATTCTGCTGCTCTCCTCAGCCGCCTAGCTCCAGTCATTTTCACATCTGAGTGGATCGCCTGTTTGCCCTGGCTAACGTAAGTATCCCGCCGCTACTCTTCATAGCATGCCGGATTGTCCGTCCCTCGGGCGGAAAACTCGGTGGCCAGTACCCCGGATTGACAGGAGAGAAAAAGTATGCGTCCCCGCCGCAAGCCTGGAAGCTCGCCATGCGCAGAAGCGCGAGAGGTATTTTACGTGCGCAGCTAAAAGTCGTGGTCAGGTCGCGCGTCTTGACTCCCTAATTTTTTTTATTTTATTTTTTTGACACTCGCCCTCCTCCTCCTCCTCGCTCTCGCAGTTCTCTTCTTGTGCATTCTGTCGTGATAGCTTCACGAATCTACGTCATCAGACCCTGGACAGAGACTGAACCCACCACTGCGGGGTACTGATACTACTGTCTGCGACCCCAAACTGCTTTCCCCCGAATATCACGAGTTTCGTCCAGTACTAGCAATTCGTCCAGCAGCAACATCCACCAACATGGCCGTCCCAACCGCCAATGCCCTCGCCGACATGTACCCCGAGGCCGCCCTCGCCGAGCAGGCGCCTCGGTGGAACACGCTCCTCGAGTCGTTCTCGTCGGCCTTTGGCCACAAGCCGTCCTTTGTCGCGCGCTCGCCCGGGCGGGTGAACATCATCGGCGAGCACATTGACTACTCACTCTACTCGGTGCTGCCCATGGCCATCGAGGCGGACGCGCTACTCGCCGCCTCGTCATCGCCGGCCCAGAAGGACGGCGTCTTCCAGATCAAGATCCGGAACGTCCAGGACGCCAAGTTCCCGGGGCAGACGTTCGAGGTCGACGCGCGGGGGGACGTGCCGATTGACTCGACCAAGTTTGAGTGGACCAACTACTTCAAGAGCGGCCTGCGGGGCGCGCTGGAGCTGCTGCGGAAGAAGAAGGGCGCCGACTTTGCGCCCGTGGACATGGAGATTGTCATGAACGGCTCGGTGCCGGTGGGTGGTGGCCTGAGCTCGAGCGCGGCGTTTGTGAGCGCGAGTGCGCTGGCGGTCATGGTCGCCAACGGCGAGACGGCCGTGGACAAGACGGAGCTGACCGAGGTGGCCATTGTCAGCGAGCGCGCGGTGGGCGTCAACTCGGGCGGGTGAGTTTCTGCCTTTATACTTTGCCAAAGAGCTTCAATCTGACACCCCCTCCCCCCGCAGCATGGACCAGGCCGCCTCGGTCCTCTCCGAGCAGGGCGCCGCCCTCTTTGTCGAGTTCAGCCCCAAGCTCAAGGCACGGCCGATCCATTTCCCCCCGACGCACCCGGAGCTCTGCTTTGTCATTGCGCAGTCGTTTGTCACGTCCAACAAGCACGTCACGGGGCCCATCCACTACAACCTGCGCGTCGTCGAGTGCAGCATGGCCGCGGCGTACCTCCACGCGGTCCTCAACCCGCCGGGCACGCCGCTGCCCACCGACGCGGGGCCTCTGGGCGTCAGCCTGCAGGGTTTCCACGAGACCTACTTCTACCACCAGGGCGGCGACGCGAGCGCGGCCCGGAGCGTCACCAAGGAGGAGGAGCTGGCGAGGCTGCTCCAGCTGGTCAAGGACACGCTCACCCAGGAGGACGGCTACACGCGCGAGGAGATTGCGTCGACGCTGGGCGTCTCGGTCGCCGAGCTCGAGGCGCGCTTCACGTCCACGTTCCCCGTCCGCGCGGACCGGTTCAAGCTCCGCCAGCGCGCGCTGCACGTCTTCTCCGAGGCGTTGCGGGTGCTGCAGTTCCTGACGCTGCTGGAGCGGCCGGTGCACACGGGGGCGACGGACACGACGGCCTTCAACACGCAGCTGGGCGACCTGATGAACGCGACGCAGGACTCGTGCCGGGAGCTGTACGAGTGCAGCTGCGACGAGATTGACGCCATCTGCCGCGTCGCCCGGGCGGCGGGCGCGTACGGCTCGCGCCTGACGGGGGCGGGCTGGGGCGGATGCAGCGTGCACCTTGTGCCGGCGGACAAGGTCGAGGCGGTGCAGGCGGCGCTGGAGCGCGAGTACTATGGGCAGATGGACCTCACCGAGGAGCAGAAGACGCAGGCGGTGGTTGTGAGTCGGCCCGGGCACGGAAGTGCCATCTACAAGGCCGAGGGCGTGGTATAGGGCTGTAATTGAAGCAAGTAATCATGAGTAACACGGGCCTGTCACGGAATTGCTGTAATTGAGTTTGACGCTATTGTTGTGTAAGCGGTTGTGTCAGCGGTTGATGGCCACTGTGCCGTGCCGGGGTAGCACTAAAATGTGTAAAAAGTACTACCTAATCAAGTAATGACAGGCCCCCACGTCTTGCGTGTTGAAGATGCGGTCGGCCAAGGACTGGACTAGGGGAGTCGGGGTATACTTGTATGGGTGCAATCCGTGGATGACAGCTGGCGGATTGAGCCGAGTCCTCACGGGCCAGACTACTCGCATGTCAGACTACTACATATATGAGAGCCCAGCGCAGGATCACCGTCGCCGCCGACAAGCAGACTCGCAAGTTCGTCAACTCCTCGACAGCCTCGACCCTATAGCACCATATGCTGACAGGTGCCACTGACAAATGGAGAGCCACTAACGCTGCGTGGCGCGATCCAGCCTGCAGATCGTCCCCGGGCAGGCAGGAGGCTAGAGATAAGGCGGCGAGACCCTCAACTGCTTGAGGACGTACACGTAGGTTTGAGGCAGTGAGGTCTGTGATCAATGGCCATGCCTGGTATGCAATGGACTTTGATGATTTGTAGGCCCAAGGTATGCCTCGGGTATGCCTCCATGTCCATGTTGACGTCGCAGCATGGGGAAGCGGACAAGCATCACCCTGGGGCGTCGACAGGCCTTGAGTACTACTGCCTGAAGTAGCCATTACTACGCGCCCTGACCACTATCATCTCGCCTTTATCACCAAGTGCGTACATTAGTTATTACAGCACCAGTTGAGACTGCATACGACGACTGAAACCCCTGCAGCCCAATCGCCCCCCGGATCGCCCCGCTGCCTGGCCTTCATTCTCCCAGACTACTGTATCTCTTCTTTTTCTCTATCTTTCTTCTTCTTCGCCGTCAATTAGCGAGGCATCGCAGCCAAGGCGCGGTCGCCGTCGACTCACCTTCCCTCCCCTCCAGTCCTCCACCTCCTCCGCCGCCAACACCCTGCGCCGGATCAATTGAGAGGACCAAGCGACAGCGACGACGACGACGACGACAACGACGGCAGCATCCACTGCAATTCCATTTCACCCGCCCAAAGGGGTCATGCAACGACCCCCCGACATGCCCGCCCCCGATTCGTGGGACGCGAGCGCCGGCAGTGGCCCGTCCCCAGGCACCTCCTCCTCCTCGCTGCAGCAGCAGCAGCAGCAGAACAATCACCAACGCCCGCAGAGCAGCACCAGCGGCAGCATCCACAGCAATGGCGCGCCCTCGCACGAGGACCAGCTCGACCGGCAGATGCTGCGGCATCTCATGCGGAAATATGGAGGCGCCGAGGGTCTGTCGCGATTGATGCTCGAGGAGAATGGCCTGCCTCCCGACAGCGCGTCCGAGATCACGACGAGCACCTTCTCCAGCGTCGACTCGGCGCCCACATCCCTCTTCGACAGCGGGTCCAGCATCCGGTCGGAGGAGACGGGCTCGGGACGCGGGAGCATCATCTCCAACGTGTCCGCCCGCACGGCCAAGTTCCTCAGTCGCTCGAGCGAGGACGTGCCCGCGTCCGCGTCCCCATCCGCCGCCGCCGCCAACAAGCAGCGAGGCACGTTTACCTGCGGCTTCTGCTCCGAGGAGGGCGTCGTCAAGACGTGCACGCGCAAGAACGACCTCAAGCGCCACATTGAGGATTTCCACTACACAAACGCCCAGTGGCAGTGCCGGCAGCGGTCCTGCGGCCAAATGTTCGACTGGGCCACCGTCTACAAGACCCACATCAAGGTCGTCCACGGCGGCTCGCGGAGCACCAACCTCGACGACGCCCGCATCGAGCTCTGCCCCCAGCAGGTCTTTGCCTGCGGCTTCGAGAACTGCATACAGGTCTACGAGACAACGCGCGACGGCGAGGAGGCCGTCGCCTTTAAGAACTACGTCGCCCATGTCATCAAGCACCTCGACGAGGGCTCCAACTCGGGCGACTGGTCCTACTCGACCCGGATACGCAACCTCATGCGCCAGAGCGGCACCCTCCGCGCCTGGACCGAGAGCGACTGGCCCGAGAGCGAGCGCAACAAGCTCGTCTGGACGCCCCAGACCAGCGTCGTCCTCCGCAAGCAGCTCGAGACCAGGCACCTGGGCGACCTGCGCATGCTCGTGCAGTACGCCATCGCCCTCGGCTCCGACCCGGAGAGCGTGCCCGTTGTCAGCAACGGCCTGCCCATCAGGGAAGAGTGCCGCCTGCACGGTGGTGAGAGGATCCGCATCCAAGGCGCGCAGAGGGCCCCGTCACAGCCCTTCACCCAGCAGCAGATGATGAGGCAGGCCTCCGCCACGGGCGAGGATCCCTTTCAGTTTAGGATATCGCGGGGCGGCACCACCAACAACCCCCAGCTCGCCGAGTACTACGCCACGCAGCGACGCATGCAGCAGTTTAGCACGAGACCACCCGTGCGCTCCGGTCGGTCGGCGCGGCCTCCCGTCCGGACGATCCCCGCACAGCAGCAACAGCAGCAGCACCGGCAGCAACAGGCTCTACAGCAGGACATGTTTGACCCGACCGGGTACTATCACGGACAGCCGTCGTTTGCGGCGGCCAGCGGCGACGGGGGCATCGTGGCGGATGACATTCGGAGTCTGCGCAGCCTCGCGAGCAGTCACTCGGGCGGCGACGTGGACATGAGCGACGGGCCGTCCATGGAGGGCGGGTATGGTCTCCCGGACCAGAGGGCGTTTTACGAACTCCGAGCTGGCTCCGGCGAAGTCAAGTTGGAGCCGCCGTTTGCGTACCAGCAGGGGTACCAGTGAGGCTTTGCTTTCTTTGGATGAATGACTCTCTTATGTAGGGTGGGCTGGCGTTATTTGCATTTTTGGTATACCCTAGGATAGAAGTGCCGGGCGATTTTTGTGTTGGAATGGTATGGACCTCCTCAGATACCACTACATGGTCATACCAACTTACTTTACTTTACCTTACCTTTTGACTTGACATTGCGTGTTTGTTTGGTATCTGCACGTATGTCGATGACGCACATGTCCACTTCTCGCTAGCGCTTGCCATGGCCTCAACTACCTGAGACAGCTCCAAGTCGCTCCACTGGTTCCGTTACACATCGACCTCTCTCTATGGACGCCGACTGGCTGGCCGAGCACTTTTCAGCGCGCCGCATCGGCCACGGCAAAAAGGCCAAGGGCACTGCCAAAGCCCGTGCCTTTGATCCTCGACGCAGCTTTGGGGTATATCAACTCCAATGCCCCGCGCTCGCCAAGCTGGCGCAGGGTTCGACCGCTGGCGTGCCGAGGGCGCGAGATACTCTGGAGATTCACGGGTTGGTTGACGGCCGCGACGACGCACTCATGTGTACGCTGCGCGTGGCTGGCTTGATGCAGGGCGTGGCTGTCCTGGCGGGGAGTAGGAAGGTTCTGGGGGACGTGGTGCGAGAGCTCGAGGAGGAGGAGCAAGAAGACGAGGCAGAGGGCTCTACTGATGAGGACGTTGAGGACGAAGACATGAGCAGCATCGAGAAGGATGACGAACGAGAGCGGCGTCGGTACCAGGCCTTTGAGAAGAATTCGTTCCGCAGCCCCAAATTTTGGATGCGCTGGCGTGCCGTGGTCCATGCGGCGGCCGCTGACAAGGACACCGACAGCGAAGCAGGAGGCGGGCGACGGACTGTCGAGGTGGATGGCGGGTACGTCGTCTTCAGTGGAAGTGACTGTTCTGGATTCCAGGGGACGATCAGCTGCACGTCCTTGGGGCTGGAGAACGTCAAGATCACGGGGGTCAGGGTTGTCTCCAAGGCCACAGAGTGTCAGGTCGGATGGATGGATGTGGTACTTTTGAAAGCTGAGTCGACAGATGGGGATACGCTTGTAAAGAGCCCTGCAGAATCAACATGAAGTAGAACTAAGACAAAGTAATGCCGCGGGCGGATGTTCAAGTCATCAAGACTTTTTCTGACTTGTGACGAGACGCTCATGGAGGGCCCATGTCCAGACAGCCATTTGATGCCAACTTGATGCTGAATCAACTCGTGACTTGTAGAATGTCAAGAACGATCATTGGCTTGTTTACCAATGTATCAAATATTACCTGTCTGTTTCACTACAAGCGTGTGAGAGTCCCTGTGATCGGGAGACCGACGGACCCCGTGTCACGAGATTACCCTGCAGTACAGCCTCACTCATGGCTCGCGGTTCGTATGGGGGTTTTTGTTTGCTATTCAATAAGCAAAACGGCGTCTAAGATATGGCACACATAGAATGAATAATTTTGAGGATCGACTATACTACCCAATGTGAAGTTTGACGGCCAGTTGATACAGCTTGACACGGGGGATCTTCCGTCTCATATCCATGTACATAGAGACAACGTGTCAGACCAAGTCACGATTGCATGGGCTTAAAAATGCAGTGACCGTCGCACCATTACTAGCCATGCTCTCATTCGAAAGTAATACAGCACACGATTAAACTCAATCATGCTACGGAGCATGTATCATTGATCAACATTTCCTGCGATTGATCTACGTGTACTTATCAGCAGCCGGCCACAATACCTACTTGACTGAAACACAATGTGTCAACCTGCAGATCACGTTTCCGTGTACCGACAATGCCCATGAACATGCATAAATATATAGACGAATTATGCCCGTCATTCACCTCTAGGCTCTCTGAAGAATGAGGGAATCGGGAAACCAATCACTAGCCAGTCTCTTCCTCAAGCCCGATCAGGACTGCCCAGCCAGCCACGCCACCCTAATCCTGGTCAGCTCGGCTTGTTTAATTAGAGCCCACGTCTTTCGTCACCGCCGCTGCGGCCGAGATCTCCCAAGAGTTCAAGAGGCCAAGACATGGCGGGCAGTCGTACGTAGCCAGCTCCCCACAGCAAAACTTCCGACCCGCCGATTGACACAGACTGTTTGTGTGGCGCGGCTGGGCTCTCACAATATTAGCGCAATCACCGGCGCCCTCGTCTGACACACGCATGTTTGGACGAAGAGATGCCTGACTCGCTGGCTTTTGCTGTCTTCTTCCCTTCTTCCCCGCCGTTGATCGCATCAGTCCCCCCGGGCCTTAATTGAGTCGCGTGTGCGCGATCTCCATTCTGAAACAACAGGACACACGAGCTTATTTGCTCATGTGTCCGTCCGTCCTCTGTTGTGTGGTGAGTCTGTGACTGGTCCCTCTGAACGTGATGAACCACTAGTACGTTGACTACCAAAATGCACGTACTGTCACTGGTTATCGCCGACTGGACGGCTAGGCCCGGAGCTGCACAGGGGCCTTGCCGCACGCGCGCCAGCAGCAGATGGTCGCGTTTCAGGTTTTCCTTGGTGTGTTTATTTTTGGAGGCAGATTCAAGATTGTGCGCTTCTTGGGTTCTTGGCACCGGGTCTCGTGGCATTGGCCTGATGGGGCCTGGTCTCGCGAGTGCAAGAGAAGCAACAGTCAATGACCTCAGCAGCAATGCTTGCGAGCAGCTGTAGCCTGTAATTAGGGCAGAAAGAAGAAAAAAAAAAAAAAAAAACCCAAAAAAAAAAATCAACACCGAATGTCACTGCAGCCCTGGGGCAGACAGATAACCGGCCGTGTCGGGGCTGGGCCGACTCTCAAGAGAACGAGTCAGTCACCCACACTATTTATTGCACGATGGCTTCGTCTGGATGGAGGTACGTATCAAGTTCTCTGCTGTGCCTGTCCTGATGCGAGGGGGTTGGCCCCCCACCCACGTGGCTTTGGCTTACAGATGAGAGTGACCATGGTCGGTCGAGGCTGTTTTGCTGGTGCAGCAAAGTGAAGCTGGTGTCGTCGTGGGATTGTGAAACGGACAAGACGTGTGCGGTGCGAGGGAGGGTGGTCAGCGGGACGGCTGTCTGCATTTGAACCGTGCTTGCGAAGGTGCGCTGCTGCTTTGTTTGATTATTGCTTTTGGCATGTATGCATGCACGTACATATGTAGGTACGATGCACGCGCACATTCATACCTGTCGACCCCAGAACGGTAATCTCCATAGTCCATGTCAATGATGATGATCACCTGCTAAGCAGCATCCCTGCCTTCCACATGGCAGCAGCCCTTTCCTGATTAATTATCCGTCATTATCGATCAACCGACCAACCAACCGTTTGACCAACGAACGGACACTGTTGCGGCTTGCCAGAGGATGGGCACGGCCGCCAATAGATACGACGCGTGCTGTCCTGCAGCCACTGTCTGGGCAGGTCTGGGCAATCTGGGCACCAGGAGCGCGTGATCCGTATTCTCGCTTCCTTCCCACTGACCACTGTCCTCCAGTCCTCATTGAATGACATCAACCATCATCTCGCGTGCAGCAGCAATGACAACAAATTGACGAGAGCGTGCGTAATTGCGCACATATTTTACGGGTACAGCCCAGGAAAATCCCCAAGGCCTAGCCGACAGGTGCCCACTGTCAATTTCCCGTGAAACAAGGGTACAACCGATGTGACACTGTCACTAACTTAAGTTCGTTAGCTGTTCTGGGCCGCTGTCACTCGCCCGACCGGTCTGAACACTAACTTACTGTCGACGAAGAATGTGGCTGGCGAAGGGACCTTCTGTTTTTCGATCAGTCTGTTTCTGCCGCCTGTCCGTTGGCTTCTAAAACGTGGGATCCCACATACGGAATTCCATGTATGTGCACTGCACGGCAGATGGCAGCCAACATGGCTGCAGCTGTGGCCGCCGTGTCACGCAGTGATGGAACAGGGCCGTGCCTGTCGAAATTGATGTATGTGCGTATCATCTTGCCCATGGATCTGAAGCATGAGCAGAGCAGTGCCTCGCCTGGCCCATCGGCGTTTGTGATGCCAGTACGTACGTGGTGGCTTTCTCTGGGGCACAGAGCCGCCGCCATTGGTTCCTGGATGGGATCCACGCGTGCCTGACAGGCCTGCGCAGCCACTGCACTAGTCTAGCTGGGACTGGACGCTACCCTCCAGGGCTAATGGGAATCTCGCAATGTGCAGCGTGCTCCAGTCGCCTAGGACTGGACGGGCGCTTGGGCACTAGTCTACATGCGGCGATTGCAGGGGGTGATCAACCTAATCAACGTGAAGGTCGGCGCTAGGCGCGGACGAGGAGTGAATTGACACCTTTCACGATCGCCCAGCTCGCCATGTCTTCTTTCGTCTCGTGGTGCTGGTGCCTGAAACGACGGTATGCAGCCCATTGCGATCAGGGGTAATGTGTAATATGTAGAGCAACAAGTGCGCATGCAGCAGGCTAGCATCGCTAGCAGCCGTGCTCTAACTCGGAACGAGTGCAGGCCGGGCTGGGCGTGGTCACCTCCTGGTGGGAGGGCCGCAGAACGGGACCCGGGCGAGTAATTAACGGACATGCCGTTCGATAGCCTGTGGATGAGCGAATGAATGATGATGATACTGCTGGCCTGCTGCTGGTTGAGGTGCGGATGAGGCCCCTGCAAGGCCTGTCCTCCCCTGCAGCTCCACCACCATCTTTTCTTGGCTCTCGCACCTTCAGGCTTCTGGAATATTTCCATTCACGACTGGACCTGAAGGCTGACCCTGGTCGCGTCCGTCTCGGGCTCCATAGCAGGCGAGCAGGGAAGACCCTCACTCACTCGCAAACTCATGATATTTCCTCCTTCTTATCCCCTGCTCTGCTCTGCTCCGCCCTCCCTCCTCTCCTCCTACTCCTCCTCTCCATATACCTACTCACAACATCCGTACGCTGATCCGGCACTTCCATTCATTCGTGCCCGACGGACGAACGCTCCTTTATGCCTTGACGACCTGTATCCTTACCATACCATCTCACCTATACCCCAGACTCCTGTCCATTCTGAATACGCCTTACCTTACATACAACCTCACCACCATATATATCAATACGTACACGGGCCGGCTCCGTCGTAACGATAGACATAATACCCAACTCAGAAACGAAGCAAGAAGATACCCAGGACAGGAAAGGATAGGACAGACCAGGAACGGAAAAGAGAAGAATACGACTCTGAGAGATATACATCACGACCATCTACGAACATATTACTACCCACCCAACCAACTACTTGTAATACCGGCAACCACAGTCCCCCGCCTAGGACACTCTACATCCCCTCTGACCCGGAACACTCTGAATCGCCAGGAATGTTCCCTACAGGCCCATTGGTCGACGACTCTGTCCGACCCCTCGGCGACGACGACCAGCGTGTGCTGTTGGGGTTGGTGCACAAGTATGGCCTCAACAGCCTAATGTGTGCCCTCACCGGGCTGGGCGAGTCCTGTAGGTTTTTTGCGAAGATGCAGTGATGACCGCGCTGATTCAGTATAGCCCGCCTCTCGTCCGTATCAGCGTCCAACACCCTCTTCAGCAGCAATGGCGCCCCCTCTCTTGTCTGGACCGCCTCGGACGGCGCCTCCATCCGCACACAGTCGACAACAGGACAGCACGGACAAGACCTGGACGTCCCAGCCATCCACGACGCCGAGATGGGCAAGCCCCAGGACCACACCTGGCTCGAGTCGCCCTGCGCTGTCCCCTCTGCCGACCTGCCAACCGGATCGCCCAAGCTGTCCATGGCCACCCTCAAAAGGTACCAGTGCCCCATGTGCTTCATGGACCGCAACCTGGTCGAATTTGGCCGCAAGAGCGACTTTAAGAAGCACCTGAACAACTTCCACGGCACCGACGTCACCTGGATCTGCCGCACCAAGAACTGCCACCTCTCGTTTGCGACGGAGCGCTCGTACAGCACCCACGCCAAGGAGGCGCACAAAATGGAGGCCCTCCCCTCGAGCGCGGCGCGCACCGAGCTCTGCCCCCAGCTCGTGTTTGCCTGCGGCTTCGGCGCCTGCAAGGATCGCCTCTTTGAGGCCGCCAACAAGGACGACGCCCCCAACGCCCGCGACAAGTATTTTGAGCACATTGCCAAGCACTTTGAGGACGAGTGGAACGTGAACGACTGGGAGTACAAGGTACACATCCAGAACCTAATGCGCCAGCAGCGCGTCAAGCCCATCTGGAAGACGTGCATCTGGCCCAAGGAAAGGAGGACGCAGCTGAGCTGGAAGCCCCGGTCGTCAGGCGACCTGAGGCGGATGCTCGAGGCCAGACACCTGGGTGAGGACATTTCGCAGCTCGTCCGCCTGGCCTACGTCCTTGGGCAGGCCCCCTTCACCCACAGCAAGGTGCCGCCGCCGTCCGAGGTCGACACCCACTTCCAGCTTCCCTTCCGCAGCCAGTGCCTCCTCGAGACGGACAGCCCCGAGCGTGGCTCGGACGACTCGACGCCCACCATCGGCGTCTCCAAGTCGCGGCCCCAGAGCCTGTTCAGGCTCCCCAGCCGCAAGAGCAAGCCCACGCGGCCGTCGACGCCCGCGAGCATCAACACGAGCGCCGCGCCCGACACGCCCATGACCGGCGCGGGCGAGATGCACCCTGGCACGCCGATCACCATTCCCCGGGGCGCGCCCATGCCCTCTGACGCGCCTCGATTCGTGCCCGACGACGCGCCGATGCCGAAGCAGATGCAGACGCCCGTCGGGACGCCCATGTCCACGCCCGTCAACGACTCCCCTCTTTACGCTATTCCCATGGACGAGCAAGGCTACGCCATGTACCACCACCAGCCTCAGCACCATCATCAGCCCCCGACGTCGATGCCAGACGCCATGGTCGTCTCGCCCTACGAGCCAGCCATGGGCGTCCACAACATCCCGCACGACAACTACGGCGAGATGATGTACGGTTGCGCACCGCCGTCCCTGCACCGGCCCGCCACGCCAGTCCCCCACCACAAGCGCCCCGGCTCCTGGTCGCGCGTGACCTCAATGGAGGACCTGCGCCCCAAGAAGCGCACGTCGACACCGCACGGCAGCCCCTACGACACGCCCATGGAGATGAGCATGCCGCTGGACCAGATCCCCAATGCGTACGGCGAGATGATACCGCCGCAGCAGCATCACCACTATGCGCCGCCCACCAGCGTGCCAGGGCCGGAGTGGGCGCTGCCCATGCGCGAGTCATCGTATCACTACGAGCCTCAGCCGCAGCCGCAGCCGCCGCACCACCACCACCATCACCACCACCAGCAACACATGGGCGAGCCCATGACGACGTTTTTCTTTGACGAGCAGTGATCTCTTTTTTGAAAGACAGACCTTTCTTCTTCTTTTTCGAACAGCGGCGTGTCCTTTGCACTATACTACGTTCTATCTAATGAGCCTTGCTTACCCGGGTAATGCACTTCCTTCACATACCTTAGATACACGCACGGGAACGGGGGTTATACTAGCCTGCGAGGGACTTTCTCTCTCTTTGTTTTACTTGGATTGGCCTTTGGCCTACGGATGATTCCCCACAACGGTTCTTTTCTGATACCATTTCCTACCAATGTTACATAATACCACTTCGTGCTTGGCTTGGTCGTTTCGTCTTTCTGGGGGCGGGGAACTCTGAAACCCTGAATTGAAGATGTTGCATGGTACTCCGTACAACCGAACCGCAATGTTCCCCTTGTGAAATAATCGAAGTTGCGCGTCTAAGGCCATATGTCGTCGGTCATCTCTCCTCGTCCCTCTCCCGTACGCCCCGGTCGTGTATGGACGCTTGATGTGCTGTCGGATAGCCCGGCCACGCGTCTCCCCAAGCCAGGGTGGCTCTGCCTGCCGTGAGAGTCCCGAGAGAGTCCCGAGAGATGCAGATTCGCGGAACTTGAACATGAAGTGAGACTGGCATGGACAATGTGTGCAGGCCAAGTACATGAACGAGCTGCACGCGGAGGAAACGACGTCATGAGTCGCGCCGCGCGATAAGATTATGAGAAGTAACTCTTGGCGGGCAGTGCAGGCGCGTAGGTACTTCCTCGTAAACCTCCCCTAAGGCCAGCCAAGACTAGCCCCGCGGGGGAGGAGGGAGGGTCCAGCCACGGTTTAAGCTCATGCCTGCATGCATGCACGCTGACCGCCAATACCATTCGCAATCTCCAAGTCCAGTCGCTCCAATCCCTTTAGTGAACCCGCGCGACATATGCACAATGAGATAGTTTCCCGTCAAGTGACACCGTCACATGCTTTCGCGAGCGCCTGGGCGTGACAGACTATCACGAAATCATCTGCTCTGCATTGACTGGTGGGCACGGCATCAATGCTCATCTCTAGGCTCTGCTGGTCTCAAGGGGGGGGGGGGGGGGGGGGGGGGGGGGGGGGGGGGGGGGGGGGGGGGGGGGGGGGGGGGGGGGGGGGGGGGGGG